ATAATTCCCCAACCCAGCCTGTTAAAACAACCAATACATACATACATATGTATTTTCCAAATATGATGTATATAAAACACCCTATTCTCCAAAGCACCTGAAGGCAGGACAAGAAACAATGGGTAGAAACTAATCAAGGAGAGAAGCAACCTGGAATTAAGGAGAAATTTCCTGACAGTGAGAACAATTCACCACCCTTGCGGGGTGGAATCTTGGGCAATTGAATGGAACTGAGTGTCTACTGACCGGATGCCCTTCCTGTCACCATTGCGGAGGTTTTTTCAAGGCAGACTATTGAATGAGGCAAAAAAAACCCCATCTTTTGAAGCCATGTGTAGCATCTCTTAACTGACCATCCATCGTTCTGCACTTTTTCTACTGTTTTTCTTCTCCCAGCACCTGTAATTACCGTATTTTTCAGACTATAAGATGCACTTCCCCCGCCCCCCCAAAAAAGTGGGTGGAAATGTCGGTGCGTCTTATAGACTGAATACGGCCCTGTTTTTGGCATCCCGAAACACACACCCTGCACGTCCCATTTTGGCCAAAAATGGGCCCATTTTTGGCAAAAACAAGATGCACAGAGGGTTTGGGAGGCCTGCAGAGTACTCCTGGGGCCCAGGGAGGGCAAAATGGGACGTGGGGGGGGGGGTTGAGGAGGCCAAAAACAGGCCCGTTTTCAAGAAAAACGGGCCAGTTTTTCACAAAACGGGACATGCAGAAGGTTTGGGAGGTAGTGGTGAAATCCAAATTTTTTTTACTACCGGTTTGGTGGGCATGGCTTGGTGGACGTGGTGTGGCTTGCTGGGTGTGGCTTGGTGGGCATGGCAGGGGGTTGGACTAGAAGACCTCCAAGGTCCCTTCCGACTCTGTTATTGTATTCTATTCTAAATGGTATAGGGTTTCCTGCTCGAGCAGGGAGCAGAAGAACACGGAGGCCAGACATCATCAAAACTACACCAGCCAGAGCATAGAACAACTCAGGAGCCTTGGTAGTACAGTGGTTTAATGCACCCTGTTATTAACACAGCTGCCTGCAATTTCTGCAGGTTCGAATCTCACCAGGCTCAAGGTTGACTCAGCCTTCCATCCTTTCTAAGGTAGGTTAAATGAGGACCCAGTTTGTGGGGGCAATAAACTGACTTTGTATAAATATACAAAAAGTATGAAGGCTATTGCTTAGCGCATTGTAAGCCGTCCTGAGTCTCCGGAGAAGGGCGGCATATAAATCAATTTTTTTAAAAAAATTGCTTGGAGTTCCTTGCTAAACGCCTGTTTATCCTGGTTAAAAACATGTTAATGGCATCTTAGAACAAGGTCCCCTAGGAGAAGGGCGTAAACGGGAATTAAAACTGCGGGATGGAGCCCCCCAATGTGCCGCCTAACCCAGGATCCAAATCGAGGCACAAAATCCAACTATGGGAAGGCGAGCAGAGGTGGGAGGATTCGTTAGCTTTACCCGTTTGATCCACTTCTTCCTCTGGGATCAGTTGTCTGATCCTCTTTAAAGCCGGTTTTAATTTGAAGGCAAAGCCGCAGATTTCCCATCTCTCCTATTTTTTGTGGGATGTGAAATGCGGAGAAGGCCGGGCCTAGGAGAAGCTTCGGCCTGTGTGTAAAATAGTCCACAAACCGCCAAATTAGGAGAGCAGACTCGGTTGGCAGATTCCCATCCTTATTTTGCAACCTCCCGCCAGCTATGCCTGGCTCAGGTTCAGGCGGACGTGCCGGGGCTCACACGAAGGCTGGACGGACGGACTCCTCAGCCAGGCCTTCCCCGCAGAAGCCCCACCACGGGATCTGTCCCTGTGGCGGCATCACCTGACACGAAGATGGGACGAGACGTTTCGGCTCTTCCCATGTTTGGCCCTCGTAAGGCTTGGAGACTTCTGCAGATTCCTGGGTTGTGGCTGATCTCAGGCGTTGAGTGCAATCCTTTAGCGCAGAGCCTTTGCAAGGGAGCTGAGCTGGCCACCATCTACATTGTTCTGACTGTCATGATTGGCCTAAAGGTGCTTTTTTTTCTAAGACGCAACTGAGTTTTCTTTGCTTTTCGTTGAAGACGTTTCGCGTCTCATCCCAGCCGCTTCTTCAGCTCTGACTGGATGGTGGGGAATGGAAGGAGTTATACCGTATTTTTCGGAGTATAAGATGCACCTTTTTCCCTCCTAAAAGTGGGTGAAAATTTAGGTGCATCTTATAGACCGAATACGGGCGTTTTTTGGCCTCCGGAACCTTCTGTGCGTCGCATTTCCGACCTTCCCGGCACCCAGAAGCACTCTGCAGTGCTCCGCACAGTCCGTTTTTGCCAAAAATGGGCCTGTTTTTGGGCTCCCAAGGCCTCCGTGCATCATATTTTCACCCTCCCTGGCCCCCAGAACAGTGGTGGGTTCCTCCTTATTCGGCCCGGTTCTCCCGAGCCGGTAGTGGTGACGATATGATGTCACTGAACCGGTTCTCCCCCCGTCCTCCCCCCCACCCACCCACGTTATTCTTACCTTTTATTTCGTCCCACCCCCAATCTATTGCTGCCTCCTGAGTCCCAGCTGATGGCTAGAGGGAAAAAAACTGTTTAAACTCTTGCCGCGGGCCTTCAAAGGGCCACCCTACAGCTGATCAGTGTTAAAAGAAAACAAATGAGTAGACCACTGCCTGCAAAAATACATGAGTAGATCAGTGCCTGCAAAAATAAATGGGTAGACCAATGCCTGCAAAAATACATGAGTAGATCAGTGGCTGCAAAAATAAATGGGTAGGCCAGTGCCTGCAAAAATACATGTGTAGATCAGTGTCTGCAAAAATACATGAGTAGATCAGTGGCTGCAAAAATACATGGGTAGACCAGTGCCTGCAAAAATACATGTGTAGATCAGTGTCTGCAAAAATACATGGGTAGATCGGTACAGCTCTGCAAGCAGTTAAAAGCCTGGTAGACCAGTACCTCTGCTAAATCCTAAATAATTGTCACATGACCATCAAGCCACGCCCACAAAATAAGCCACACCCACAGAACCGGTAGTAAAAAATTTTAGAACCCACCCCTGCCCCAGAAGCACTCTGCAGGCCAAAAACGGGCCTGGGGGCCTGGGAAGGAAAAAACGTGATGCGCTGAGGTGCAAACGGGCCGTACGGAGCACTGCAGAGTGCTTCTGGAGGGTGAAAATGCGACGTGCGGAGGCCAAAGACTATTTTTTCCTTGTTTTCCTCCTGTACATTTAGCTGCGTCTTATAGTCCCAAAAATACAGTACATTTATACATCCTTCCATCCCCCACCTTCATCCAGTCAGAGCTGAAGAAGCTTCTGGGATGAGAGGCGAAACGTCTTCAAAGAAAAGAAAAGAAAAAAGAAAGCCCAGTTGCCTCTTGGGGGGAAAAAAGCACCTTTGGGACAACCATGACTTGGAGGATGGAGAATCTCCCTAGAGATTCAATTTTGTCGTCTTTTAAGATGTGTGGACGGCGACTCCTGGAATTCCCCAGCCAGTTAAAAACCATAAAGAAAGACAAAAGAAGGGAGCGGGGATGGCAGAGTTAGCTTTAGAAATAGAAATGAAGTGGAATGAAATTAGAATAGAGTAGAGTAGAGTAGAGTAGAGTAGAGTAGAGTAGAGTAGAGTAGAGTAGAGTAGAATAGAATTAGGAACTAGGAACTAGGAACTAGGAACTAGGAATTAGGAATTAGGAATAGAATAGAATTAAGAATTGGGAATAAGAATTAGGAATGGAATGGAATGGAATAGAATAGAATAGAATAGAATAGAATAGAATAGAATAGAATAGAATAGAATAGAATAGAATAGAATAGAATAGAATAAGGAATTAATAGAAAATATGAAATAGAATAGAATAGAATAGAATAGAATAGAATAGAATAGAATAGAATAGAATAGAATAGAAATAAGGAATAGAATAGAATAGAATAGAATAGAAAATATGAAATAGAATAGAATAGAAATAAGGAATAGAATAGAATAGAATGGAATAGAATAGAATAGAATAGAAAATATGAAATAGAATAGAATAGAATAGAATAGAATAGAAAATATGAAATAGAATAGAATAGAAAATATGAAGTAGAATAGAATAGAATAGAAATAAGGAATGGAATAGAATAGAATAGAATAGAATAGAATAGAATAGAATAGAATAGAATAGAATAGAATAGAAAATATGAAGTAGAATAGAATAGAATAGAATATGTTTGATCTGGTCATCGAAACTATGCAATTATGAATGAAACATGTAACAGTGATACCCATTGCCATCGGGGCACTTGGTACCATGTCCAAGAATTTTACAAAACATATCAAGAAATTGCAGCTTCCTGCAATCACACCAGCGGAACTGCAAAAACCTACTATTTAGAACATCGTATATTTTAAGAAGATACTTGGTTGATACTTAGGATGCTGGCAGAACCCTTCTCAACCTTCAGTGCCGGTCAATGGTATTTGTGATACATTTTTAAATGTTCAGTTGACTGAGTTTCGTGTTTAATGAATAAAAGAGATAATCATGTTTAATGAATAAAAGAGATAATCATGTTTAATGAATAAAAGAGATAATCATGTTTAATGAATAAAAGAGATAATAATAATATTGTACATTTTAAGAAGATACTTGGTCGATACCTAGGATGCTGGCAGCAACCCGTATCAACCCTCAGTGCCAGTCAATAATATTTGTGATACATTTTTAAATGTTCAGTTGAGTGAGTTTCATGTTTAATGAATAAAAGAGATAATAATAGGGAGGAGAAGAAGAAGAAAGAAGAAGAAGAAGAAGAAATTATCACTGATTGTTTTGGTTTAAAAGATTGTTTTGGTTTTAGAAGAAGAAGAAAGAAGAAGAAGAAGAAGAAGAAGAAGAAGAAGAAGAAGAAGAAGAAGAAGAAGAAGAAGAAGAAGAAGAAGAAGAAGAAGAAGAAGAAGAAGAGAAGAAGAAGAAGAAGAAATAATAATTATCACTGATTGTTTTGGTTTAAATGGTGAAGCCAAAAGAGGTTCTGGAAACTCTAATTGAACAAATTACAAAATCTAACATAGAGTATACGACCATCACAAGTACAAAGTTGTTAGGATGTGTATACAATCACAACTGAAAGGCGCAGCACAAGCAAGAGGAGAGCGTCTCAAAGAACGAACGCCAAGGTACAAATTAGCATGACTTGTTCCCCCCCCACCGGAGTCATTCACACAATTATATTTTCACGGGGTCTTTCCTCCTTCCTGAAGTTTACCTGAAGTTCAACCATTCGGAAGAGCTGAGGCAACTGTTTTTTGTCTCTGTGTGGACTCCTTTACGAAACACACACGCACATCGTTTCAAATTTCAAAAACCGAGCTGTTTTTTTTTTTTTTTTTCTAAGAGATGGTTCTGGGGAGGTCTGAAAAGATGCAGCTGGCGTTTCCTGGACATGGAGGCTCCACTGGCGGGCCCCCGAAGGATCCCTCTGTCCTTTGTGCAAATGAACTGGAGGAAGGATACTCAACCGCACTAAACCAGCTTCCCAAATGACTCAATGTGCATGTGTGAATGAATCCTTCCGGATCAGAGAGACACGTCTGCAGAGGGGTTGACTTGACGCTGCTGCGGTGATGATGATGATGATGATGAGGGGGGTCTTGGGAAGATGCCACTGGTGTGGTCTCGGCTGGAAAGCCTGTGTAGGGGGAAGAAAAAAAAAACCGGGTAGTCCTCGAGGTATGACTACCACTGAGCCCGACTTTTACGTTGCTAAGCGAAATATTTGTTAAACCGGGCTTTGCCCCGTTTTCTGACTTGTCTTATAGGGACGCGGTGGCTCAGTGGCTAAGACGCTGAGCTTGTCGATCGAAAGGTCGGCAGTTCAGCGGTTCGAATCCCTAGTGGGCAGGAGATAAGGACTCTCCCTATGAAGAAAAGTAAGTTGCTAGTCCTCATGGTCTGAAGTGAGTGGAACAGATACAGATTCACAGAGTTGGAAGGGACCTTGGAGGTCATCTAGTCCAACCCCCCACCCACTCAAGCAGGAGACCCTACCTATCTCTGACAGATGGCAGTCCAGTCTCTTCTTGAAAGCTTCCAGTGATGAAGCTCCCACAACTTTTGAAGGCAACTTTTGTTCCATGGATCGATGGCTCTCACTGTCAGAAAATTTCTCCTTGTTTCCAGGTTGAACCTCTCCTTGTTCTGTTTCCATCCATCGTTCCTTGTCTGACCTTCAGGTGCTTTGGAAAATAGCTTGACCCCCTCCTCTCTGTGGCAGCCACTCAATTATTGGAAGACGGCTATCATGTCTCCCTTGGTCCTTCTCTTCACTAGACCAGCCATGCCCAGTTCCTGCAACCGTTCATTGTATGTTTTAGCCTCCAGTCCGCTCATCATCCTGGTTGCTCTTCTCTGCACTTTTTCTAGACTCTCAACATCTTTTTTATAGTGTGCTGACCAAAATTGGGTGCAGGATTCTAGGTGTGGTCTTACTAGGGCTTTATAGGGTGGTATTAGTACCTCTCTTGATCTTGATTGTATCCCTTGATGTAATTTAGGATTGAGTTGGCTTTTTTGACTGCCGCCAACACACTTTAAGCCAGTTCGCTGGAAGTGATGATTCCTGGCCCTGAGTGGCAGCCAGACTGCCTGGACTGAGGCTGGACGGGGCTGGGAGCTTTCTGCCCATCCTAATTAGTTGCCAACATCTAACTTTTTTTTTTAACTCAAATGAGGTTTCCAGCCAGGGACTCACCTGCTCGCTTGGAGCTCAGCAGGCCAGCCCGCTGAAAGCTCCGATACGGTCCAGCTTGGCCCCGAAGCAACCTCGCGATGGCCCCTTTTTGTTCCTGGACTGGTGCCTCCTGGTGGAGTTTAGGAGCTCTCTCAACAGCTGCTGGAAATCAGCCGGGTGCTCCTCCAGGCTCCTGGCCCACGGGAAGACGAGGTCTGGTTGGTCCAGGGCTCCGGTCATCAGGGACTCCTCCTGACCCCGGTCCATCTCCTCTGCGCCCATGGGGGGCTCCAGATCTTCCTCCAGCAATGTTGATAAGCTCTGCAAGGAAGGAGGAAGAAAAGGGGAAGGAGAAGAGGAGAAGGAAGGAGAGAAGAAGGAAAAGGGGGAGGAAGAAGAGGAGGAAAACAAGAGGAAGGAGAGGAGGAAGAAGAAGAGAAGGGAGGAAAAGGAAAAGAGGAAGGGGAGGAGGAAGAAGCAGAAAAGACAAAGGAGGGAGAAGAGAAGGAGGAGGTGGAGGAAAGAGGAGAGGAGGTAGAGGAAGAAGAGGAGAAGAAAGAAAAGGGGGAGAAGAATAGAAGGAAAAGAGGAAGAGGAGGAAGAAGAGACAAAGGATGGAGAAGAGGAAAAGAGGAAGAAGAAGATGAAAAAAGGAAGAGGAGGAGGAGGAAATGAGGAAGGAGAGGAAGAAGAAGAGAAGAAAGGGAGGAAAAGGAGAAGGAAAAGAGGAAGAGGAAGAAGAGGAAAAGAAAGGGAAGAGGAGAAGAAAGAAGAGAAGAAAAGAGAAAAAAGGAAGGAGGAAGAAGGCAGAGGAGGTGGAGAAGGAGAAGAGGAAGAAAAGGAACAGGAGGAGAAAAGAGGAAAAGGAAGGAGGAAGGAGAGAAGGCGGAGAAGATGGAGAAGGAGAAGAAAAGGAAAAAGAAGAAGAGAGGAGGAGGAAGAAGATAATAAAAACCTGATTTCCTCTCTGCAAGATTGGGAGCTGGCTAGCCCCCCCAGCAGCAAGAGCCAGGGCTCCGTCTCCCCCCCCCCAACTCCCATCCCAGAGGGGCAGTTGCCCCCATCCCAAATGGGGTGCCTTCCCTTGCGGGAACGTGCTTCCAGGGAAGGCAGGCAGGAAAAGCCCAGCTGGCTCCTAGCAACCTCGTTCCTCGTTCTAAAGGGAGCCCCTCGATCCTTTGAGCCTGCAGAAACCCACCAGGTGCAGCCTCCCTCTTACCTGGATCTCAGCCAGCGGCTTGGCTCTCCCTCGACCAAGCATCAGCAGAAGAAGCAGAAGAAGCCAACCTGAGCAAGGAAGCTGGACGGTCATCCTTGCTTCGTAGCAGTTTCTGGGACAGGGACCCCCCTCCTCCCCACCAAGTGCCAAGGTGCAGCCGGCCTGCTTCTCTCGGCCGCTTTTATACCCCCTTTAAACCCTCCCAAGCCCCCAGGAAAAGCTCAGGGATTGGCTTAGATCCAGCTCATCCTTGGTCGGAAGAGGAAACGAAACTCAGCATCTCTGCCCTTCCTTCCTTCCTTCCTTCCATCCGTCCGTTCTCTCTGCAGGTGGGAGCCACCTCTGGGATGGAAGAGCAAAGAGGAGATCAAAACCTCTGGACCGGCAGAGCTCGGGCCACCTCCTTGCAGGCCACCTGTGCCCATCCATCCCAGGCGGAGAATTGGCACAAGATTGCTTTGACGGGCCGGTCACCAAGAAAAGAGTTGAGAACGGCTCAAAGGGGGGGAAAAGACTTTGGACTTAGTTATTGTCACTTTGAACGTACACGAATCGTTTATACAGTCCAATGAAATTGCGTCGCACACGGTTCTCAAAGCATCACCGGCTCCAATATGCACTTCGTACAGTAGCGGCCAAAATTGTGGAAACCTTTTGGGGGGAAAGTCTATTTTCTAAAACTAGCTAATAACATCACTTTTTTTTTTTTAATTAGAAAAGTTTTACAAGTACAAATTTTCCCATTTCCCCCCCCCTTTCCCTCCCTAACCCTCCCTAGCCCTCCCCTCCTCCCATGACTTCCCCAAGGTGAAATCCAAATCCACATCATATTATATCATACTTTACCGCCCTTCTAATCTCCCCCCTGTGTACTATACATTTCTACATAACACTGAACTATTCTACCCCCTATATACTATACATTTCTACACAACATTCAACTAAAAGCTATCTGATACTTCCTAGTTTGGTATTTATTCTGCACATAATCTATCCATTTCTTCCGCTCCCATGCATAACTCTCTTGAGTCCGGTCTTTTAAGTATGCTGATATCTTTGCCATTTCTGCAAAACTGGCCACCTTCAAAGTCCATTCTTCAATGGTAGGCAAAACATCCCTTTTCCAATATTGACCAATCAGTAACCTAGCTGCTGTCACCATATACAGTATCAATTTTGTTTCACCCATTGAAAAACCCTTAACTATACCCAATAAAAACAATTGAGGAGAAAATTGGAGTTTTTTCTTCAAAACATTTTGCATAACCCACCAAATTTTTATCCAGAAAGCCTTCACTTTCTTGCAAGTCCACCATATATGATAATATGTGGCATCTAAACAATCACATCTCCAACATTTTGGTTGAACATTAGGATACATGCATGACAGTTTCTTAGGATCTAAATGCCACCTATAAAACATTTTATAAAAATTTTCCCTCAAGTTCTGTGACTGCGTAAATTTAACATTCTGAACCATATTTTTTTCCCACGTTTCCATCATAACTGGTTCTGCAAAATTTTGCGCCCATTTTATCATACAATCTTTAACCAGTTCATTTTCTGAGTCTCTTTCTAACAAAACATTATAATCCCTCTTGATATGCATTGGGCCTTTCTCTTTTATCTGTCTGACCAATTCTTCTTCATGCAACATTAAACCAGTTTTTTGACTTTTTTTTTTTTTGAGTATTAGTACTATAAAGTTATATATCAATGGAAAGATAATTTAATCAAGAACGTATTGCAAGAACTTCTATGAAGGATTTGCCATTAGAATAGCAGTTACAGTAGAAAGAAGAAAAGTGAAACACGTAGAAAAAACGAGATATATATTTTTTATTTATTTATTTATTTTATTTATTTATTTTTTTATATGCTGCCCTTCTCCGGAGACTCAGGGCGGCTTACAATGCGTTAAGCAATAGTACTTTTGTATATTTTATACAAAGTCAGCTTATCGCCCCCACCACCGGGTCCTCATTTTCCCTACCTTAGAAAGGATGGAAGGCTGAGTCAACCTTGAGCCTGGTGAGAATTGAACTCGCAGTAATTGCAGGCAGCTGGATGTTAAATGCTGCCTTAGTAGGAGGCATTAGCCTCCTACACCACTCAGGCTCCTGAGAGCATATACAAAAATGATCACCATAGAAAAAATGAGATATACGAAGATGGAAGGATGGCTTCTATTAACTGGGTTTTATCGCTGGGTCACCTCTGACTAACCAGTTTCTTGAGTCGGCTCCCTAGATTTTCAATGGGATTAAGGTCTGGGCTATTCCCAGGCCATTCCAGCAGTGGAATAGGATTATCTTGAAACTTGGGGGGGAAGTGGTGTTATTAGCCATCAAACCTCAAAAATACACTTTTTCCAAAAGGTTTCCACAATTTGGGCCACTACTGTAAATAAGATGAAACAAACAAACAAATAAATAAATAAATACAAAAATTATGCATATACCAGGGGTGAAATCCAGTAGGTACTGACAGGTTCTGGAGAACTGGTAGCGGAAATTTTGAGTAGTTCAGAGAATACTGGAACATTGTTGTGGCTCGTTTTATTTTTTTGACAGGGAGAACGAAAGTGTGAAGTTTGGGTTGAACCTGCAAATTTAGGTTCCTCTCTCCTTGCCAGGAAGGTCAAAGCCAGGCAAGCTTGAGAGTTGACTTATTGATTATCTTTCTTTAAAAGGCCTGAGTCCAGGGGTGGCATTCAGCCGGTTCAGACCGGTTCGGGCGAATCGTATGCTAATTTTACATCTGGTTCAATGAACTGGTAGTTGCAAAGATTGGCTGGCTCCACCCACCCACTCTGCCCCGCCCCTCCCAGGAGTCTCCACGTGGCCTGTTTTGGATGCCACGTACGTACAGGGCCCACGCGGAGGCTCTGGGAGGGTGAAAAAACGGGCCCGTTTCCAGCCTCCGGAGCCCAGGGGAAGCTGTTTTGACCCTCCCGGAAGTTCGAGCAAAGCCTCCAGAGATTGGGGAGGGTGAACCCACCCACCCCCGCCATGGTGCAGGAGGACCGAGTAGGCCACGCCCACCATGGCCACGCCCACCCAGCAACCAGGTAGAGAACCGGTCGCTAAATTTTTTTGAATCCCATCCCTGTCCGGGTCTGTTTGGGAAGCTGACAATCTCAACTTGACGAACCGAAGGCGGCTGTTTTCCCCTCTTCCAACCCTCCCAGGATGAAGCAGCTTGAAGCTGCCTTGCACTGGCACAGTTTGGGGGCTCCCCAACGACTCCCCCAGTAGGTGGCTTAATGAGGTACCTCTGTCTGCTTCTCCAATTAGAAACCGTCCATTAATTTTTCAGAAGGTCTGGGGCGGACATGCTGGGAACAAAGGAGGCAGCCTTTTCCATAAATGTTGAGGCTTACAAGTGTAGGAAGTTAGCACCCACCGTTCTCCTAGAAGAATGAAATATTCTGGGACCGCGATGGCGAACGTATGGCACGGGTGCCACAGGTGGCATGCATAGCTATTTTGGTGGGCACGCAAGCTCAGCTCCAGGGCGCATGCACATGCACATGCACATGCTGGCCAGCTGATTTTCGGGCCTTCTGGGTCTACCAGAAGTAGGGAAACAGGCTGTTTTCTGCCTCCGGAGGGCCTCGGGGGTGAGGGATGGGGAAGGCCCATTTTTGTCTTTCCCCAGCCTCCAGAGCCTTTCTAGGAGTCTGGGGAGGGCGAAAACGGCCTTCTCCCCCCCCCCCGGAGGCCCTCCGGAAGCCGGAAACGGTGGGTCAGGAAGTTGCCAAACAGGCAACTCCTAGAAAGGCTCTGGAGCCTGGTGAGAGAGAAAAACGGACCTACCAGGCCATCGCGTGCCAGAAGCAGGGGGAGTCTGGGGAGGGGCACATGTGCAGGGGTGGGGTGCATAGAATTATGGATGTGGGCATGCACGCATGTGAAAATCCCCCCCCCCCGCTCCTGGCACACGATGGCAAAAAGGTTAGCCATCACTGTTCTAGGAAATATTAAAAAGGCAGAATATTCTACCTCCCCGGATGAGAAATGGAGAAACATGGGTTTTTTTAGAGGCAGGAAGCACTCTTAATAGCCCTCACCTTTCTTAATAGCCCACAGCAGATGTCAGCACTTAAGAGTTAAAGAGCTTCTTGAGCTCTAGGTAGCTCTATTCATAGGCAAAATACTGCAGGCAGAAAGCCATTCGAGGCAGGATATTTTGAAATTCCCTGCAGCAAAGTCTGAACAAGGTAGGATTAGCCCTCAGCCACAATAGGAATTGCCCAACAAGCCCCTTCGTTGCATCAGCCCAAACATCAACCAAACCTAGCTCAGACAAACTCCTAGGATTTGTACATGGCCCATGGGAGTCTGATAACAGCCAATAGAAGATATGTTCTTGCACAGGAACAGGAAGCTCAAGTGCAAAGCTCAAGAGAAGGTATAAATACCCCCCCCCAATTTCAGCTCCATGTGGTCAGCTGCTCAGAACCACTCATGCGCTTCTGCTTCATCAACAATTGGACCCTCTTTCCAATCAGCCTCCAGCCTCCATTTTGTCTCCAGTGCCTTTTTTCTGGCTTGGAACTGGACCAGATGGATATTTCTTCCAACACCATTTCAGACAATCCTCCAGTGATGGAGCACCCATAACGTCTGGAGGCAGGGACAGATGTGCATCTTTAGAGAAAGGGTTTGAGCAGAAAAGCAGCCACAACTGTGGCAGGATTTGTATTACCCTTCTGTGCAAATTTGGTGCTCAATTAGGGGACTGGAGGCGAAAACATATATGAAGAAGGGTTGCAGGAACTGGGTATGTCTAGTTTAATGAAAAGAAGGACTAGGGGAGACAGGATAGCAGTCTTCCAATATCTCAGGGGCTGCCACAAAGAAGAGGGAGTCAAGCTATTCTCTAAAGCACCTGAGGGCAGGACAAGAAACAATGGATGGAAACTAATCAAGGAGAGAAGCAACTTAGAACTAAGGAGAAATTTCCTGACAGGGAGAACAATTCATCAGTAGAACAACTTGCCTCCAGAAGTTGTGAATGCTCCAACACTGGAAGTTTTTAAGAAAATGTTGGATAACCATTTGTCTGAAGTGGTGTAGTAGGGTTTCCTGCCTAGGCAGGGGGTTGGACTAGATTACCTCCAAGGTCCCTTCCACATTCTATTCTATTCTATTCTATTCTATTCTATTCTATTCCATTCCATTCCATTCCATTCCATTCCATTCCATTCCATATTCTATTCTATTCTATTCTATTCTATTCTATTCTATTCTATTCTAATTCTATTCTATTCATATTCTATTTTATTCTAATTCTATTCTTACGTAATCATACATCAAGGACTGCCTGCAGCCACCAAATCTCCTGTTTTGTTTCAGCCAGCGGAGAATTTAAATTGAGTTTAGGGGCCACGCGACGCGTTCCCGCTAAACTAAGCAGGACCCCAGCAATTTTAGGAGATGAGATGGGTCAATCATTTCCTTCTTGGCTTTGGGCGGTTGGTTCTTTCTATAAATAACAGAAGAGCAGAGGGCCGGCTCGGCGGATAACTTGGTGGGAGGCCCGGCATTTAGTTCTGTGCCAGCGGTTCAGATAGATTGCCATGGCACCTGGAGGTCCCTGTAATAATGTGTCTCCCGGCTCTTTGTTTTTCGTTGGAGATTTAACATTTCATTGGAGATTAACCTCCACCTTTTCTGTTGAGCTCCTCTTTCTAATCTTGCCTTCAGCCCATCCGGAGGCAGCTGGTCTTGCCAATCACTGGGGCACGTAGGGGCATGGACCCCTACCACCAGCCCCAAAGTTTGTCCTTTGTAAATGTTAGGAGGCGGAGAAGGTCTGCCTCCGCCAAGAAAAAATGGGTCATTAAGAGAATTAATGGGTGCCCGCCTCCTGGACTTCCAACACCGAATGTGTGACGTTTGACATTTGCAGTTGCCTTGTTGTTGTCGTGCAAATAGGGGCCCTTGAGGTGTTGATCGGAACTGTCTGTAACCCCAAAGGAGAGAGTTGGGAGGCGTGTGGTTCCTGCTGAAAAATAATACAGGTCCTCGACTTACGACCACAGCTGAGCCCAAAATGTATGTGAAGATTTGTTAAGTGAGCTTTGTCCCATTTTACAAAGCTTCTTGCCACAGCTGTTAAGCGAATCGCTGCACTTGTTGAATTAGTAACCCGGTTGTTAACTGAATCTGAATCGACTTGCAACGGTTCATTTATGACCATTCACACTTATGACCATGGCAGCATCCCCATGATCATGGGATCCAAATTCAGCAGCTTGGCAACTGGTTCCTGTTTATGATGGTCGCAGTGTCCCGGGGGGGGCACATGATCCCCTATGGCGACCTTCTGACAAGCAAAGTCAATGGGGAGGCCAGATTCACTTAACAACCGGGTTACTAGCTTAACAAAGGCAATGATTCCCTTAACCACTGTGTCAAGAAAATGGGGCAAATGCACTTAACAAATGTTTCACTTAGCAACATAAATTTTGGGCTCAATTGTGGTTGTAACTCGTGAACTACCTGTAGATAGGATTTGGCAGTGGATGGATGGATGGACAGAAATATATAGACAGAGATATTAGATAGATAGATAGATAGATAGATAGATAGATAGATAGATAGATAGATAGATATGAGAGAGAAAGAGATTAAATGATAGAGATATAGATAGATAAATAGATATAGATATGAGAGATTAGATGATACATAGAAAAGAGAGAGAGAGATTAGATGATATAGATAGAGAGATATGAGAGATTAGATGATAGATATGAGAGAGAGAGAGAAAGAGATGATAGATGATAGATAGATAGATAGATAGATAGATAGATATGAGAGAGAAAGATTAAATGATAGAGATATAGATAGATAAATAGATATAGATATGAGAGATTAGATGATACATAGATAAGAGAGTGAGAGATTAGATGATAGAGATAGATAGAGATAGATAGATAGATATGAGAGAGAAAGAGATGATAGATATACATGATAGATAGATGATAGATAGATAGATATGAGAGAGAAAGAGATTAGATGATAGAGATATAGATAAATAGATATAGATATGAGAGAGAGATTAGATGATACATAGATAAAAGAGAGAGAGATTAGATGATAGAGATAGATATGAGAGAGTAGATGATTGATAGATATGAGAGAGAAAGAGATGATAGATAGATGATAGATATGAGAGATTAGATGATAGATATGAGAGAGAAAGAGATGATAGATAGATGATAGATAGATATGAGAGAAAGAGATTAGATGATAGAGATATAGATAAATAGATATAGATATGAGAGAGATTAGATGATACATAGATAAGAGAGAGATTAGATGATAGAGATAGATGGATATGAGAGATTAGATGATAGATATGAGAGAGAAAGAGATGATAGATAGATACATGATAGATAGATAGATAGATAGATAGATAGATAGATAGATAGATATGAGAGAGAAAGATTAGATGATAGAGATATAGATAAATAGATATAGATATGAGAGAGATTAGATGATACATAGATAAGAGAGATTAAATGATAGAGATAGATAAATATGAGAGATTAGATGATAGATATGAGAGAGAAAGAGATGATAGATATACATGATAGATAGATAGATAGATATGAGAGAAAGAGATTAGATGATAGAGATATAGATAAATAGATAGATATGAGAGAGATTAGATGATACATAGATAAGAGAGAGAGATTAGATGATAGAGATAGATAGATATGAGAGATTAGATGATAGATATGAGAGAGAAAGAGATGAGAATAGAATAGAATAGAATAGAATAGAATAGAATAGAATAGAATAAGAAGAATAGGGAACAATAGAATAGAATAGAATAGAATAGAATAGAATAGAATAGAATAGAATAGAATAGAATAGAATAGAATAGAATAGAATAGAATTCTTTATTGGCCAAGTGTGATTGGACACACAAGGAATTTGTCTTTGGTGCATACGCTCTCAGTGTACATAAAAAGAAAAGACACATTTGTCAAGGATCATAAGGTACAACCCTTAATGATAGTCATAGGGTACAAATAAGCAATCAGGAAACAATCAATATAAATATAAATTGTAAGAATACCAGCAACAAGGTTACAGTCATGCAGTCATAAGTGGGAGGAGATGGGTGGTGGGAACGATGAGAAGATTAATAGTAGTGCAGACTTAGTGAATAGTTTGACAGTGTTAAGGGAATTATTTGTTTAGCAGAGTGATGGCGTTTGGGGAAAAAAACTGTCCTTGTGTCTAGTCATTTTGAGGGTAGGAATTGAGGAAGAGGAATTGGGAGGCAAGGGGTGACCCCAGGGAAGAACGGGGGGGGCTTGGGGACTCCTGGCCACTCACCAGTCCTTCACTACGATTTTGGGCTGGGTGGTGTCCATCAGTTCCTCCCAGTAGCCTTCAGCTTGCAGGTCAATTATTTGGGATTTGCTGCACCAGCTGAGGAACAAAAGAGTTGTGGTGAAAAAGGATCAAAGCTGCTGCTTCCAGGCCTGGCATCCTTTTTTTTTTTTTTTTTTTTTTTTTTTTTTTTTACCCTAAAGACTAGAAAATTTATTTTTTTTTTTAAAAAAAAAAAAAAGGAAAGCAGATTGCTTTGAGTTCCCCTTGGGTTTCCTGAGCTCTTGGGACATTGCAGCATGTACCCGTACCCCACCCGGCCCCGTCCAGAGCTGCCCAGAAGCCTGCGAAATGGACTTACTCAAAAGAGGAGACGAAATAGGTGTGGACTTCCTCCTTGGGGAAATCTTTTCCGAAATCGCCCGGCAGCTCTTCCACTTTCCAGCCGTCGCCCCCGTTTTGCACATCCTCCCAATGCTGGAGACCCTCTAAGACCGAGCAGGAAAGCCTCAAAAGATGCTCACTCTGCTCCCAATTCTCCCCTCTCCCCCAACAGAATGGGAGAACGAATTATCCCGCTTGGAGGGAAAGGACCTTCCTGATGCCCTTTGAAGGTCTCTGTGGCCCAGAGACACCCCCCCCCAGAGAGCCTGGCTCAGGAAAAAGGGGCCAAGCGGGAGGGGGCTGCCCAGATCTGGGCCAGGGGCTACTCTCCCCACCCCCACCCCGCTCTCAAGGCTGGGGTACCTGTTTACCTTCTCCGTTTGGGTTCTTGACCAAATTCCGCTTCTTCTTATGGAGAAAATAGAGGGTTTGCCAGCTCTCTGCGCCTTCCTCGTCCACGTCCTTGCCCGCGAAGCCCTCCTCCTGGCATTTCAGCAGCCAGAGGGCCCCTCCGTCCACCAGCGCCTTCCACTGGGAGCAAACCAAGCGGCACACCAGCACCAAGTCGAGGGCGGGCAGGCCGGCCAGGATCCGCACCAGGAGGGGCTCCGGAAGGGCGTCCTTGAAGGGGGGGTGGCAAAGAGAGAGAGAGAGTTGGCCTGCATCTCGGTGGCAGGCCAAGGGACTTTGGTTCCTCAGTTTGGCTAAAAAAAATTTATATATATATATATATATTTAAATAAACAAACCTACAAACAAACAAACAGTACATTTTTTCAATGGTTTTAGGAATAACATTATGGTTGGGGGTCACCACAACATGAGGAACTGTATTAAAGGGTCGCGGCATTAGGAAGGTTGAGACCCACTGCTCTATACCGTTTTGACAAGAGTCAAAATTTATACAGCTTGTAACCTAAATATTTCCCAAATATAATTTATATATTTCAATTTCTGCCATAAGGTTCTTTTTTTTTTCCCTATTTTTTTATTATTCATCTCTACTTAATATTTACTATCTAATCAACATTTATTTATTTATTTATTTATTTATTTATTTATTTATTTATTTATTATTGAATTTCTATACCGCCCTTCTCCCTGAGGACTCAGGGCGGTGTACAGCCAGAATTAAAAAACATGCAGTACAAATATTAAAAAACAATTAAAAGATATATAAATTTGGCCATCCACCCTGACCTCCAATCTTAACCTTATTTCCTTTCTTTGTCTTATTTCTCCATTTATCCCATATATTTCTCAAAATCGCCACATTTCATAAGTTATCATCCATTTATTTTCTCTTATTTCCTTATTTCTATTGAAACCCTTTAATTTAAACTTTAGTCATTTCCATCCTTGGTTTCTTTTATTTTCTTTTTCTTTTTTTTATTATTAGTTTGATATTTCACATTTGTCTCTTAATGTCCATTGTTTTCCAAAGTGGACCAATTCATCGTTTCTTATTTCCTATTAATCATTTTACCATTTTACCAAAAACAATATATTTCTTCAGCTTTATTTTTCACACCACCTTTTTCAATTACAGACATTGTAATTGAACATTGTATCTCAATCTCTTAATCATCTTTTTCTAAATTTCTATTAATATCTTATTCAATTAATGGCTACATTGAGATTGGCACTAAGGGGTCATTTCAGACCCTGCTGAGTTGCCCCTCGGAAAGCAATCAAAGGAAGGCAGAATCAAACTCAGGAAGTTCAAACCGCCCAAGGAGCTGCTGATCCAGTTCTACAGAGGAACTACTGAGTCTGTCATCTGCACCTCTATAACTGTCTGGTTTGGCTCTGCAACCCAACAAGACAGACAGAGACTTCGGAGGATCATTAGAACTGCAGAAAAAAAAGCAATTACTACCAACCTGCCTTCCATTGAGGACCTGTACGCTGCACGAGTCAAAAAGAGGGCTGGGAAAATATCTACAGACCCCTCGCATCCTGGACATAAATTGTTTCAACTCCTACCCTCAAAACGAGGCTATAGAGCACTGCACACCAGAACAACTAGACACAAAGACAGTTTTTCCCCCCGAATGCCATCACTCTGCTCAACAAATCATTCCCTCAACACTGTCAAACTATTCACTAAGTCTGCACTACTATTCATCTTCTCTTCCTTACTAGTATCTATCTCTTCCCACTTATGACTATAACCATGTTGCCTGTATCTTTCAATTTATATTGTTTTTTTATTTGTTTCCTAATACGATTTGATGGTTTATTAGTAACGTTGACTATCGCTAAGTGTTGTACCTTTTTATTCTTGATGAATGCATTTTATTCTTCTGATGTACACTGAGAGCTTATGCACCTAAGACAGATTCCTTGTGTATCCAATCACACTTGGCCAATAGTTATTTATTCTAGTCTAGTCTAGTCTAGTCTAGTCTATTCTTCTAATTATTCTATTCTATTCATTCTATTCTATTCTATTCTATTCTTAATTATTCTATTCTATATTCTTTCTATTCTAATTATTCTATTCTATTCTAATTATTCTATTCTTCTAATCATTCTATTCTATTCTATTCTAATTCTATTCTTCTAATCATTCTATTCTATTCTAATTATTCTATTCTATTCTATTCTAATTATTCTATTCTATTCTATTCTAATTATTCTATTCTTCTAATCATTCTATTCTATTCTATTCTATTCTAATTATTCTATTCTTCTAATTATTCTATTCTATTCTATTCTATTCTAATTATTCCATTCTATTCTATTCTATTCTAATTATTCTATTCTATTCATTCTATTCTATTCTATTCTATTCTAATTATTCTATTCTATTCTTTCTATTCTAATTATTCTATTCTATTCTAATTACTCTCTCTTCTAATTATTCTATTCTATTCTAATTATTCTATTCTATTCTATTCTATTCTAATTATTCTATTCTATTCTTTCTATTCTAATTATTCTATTCTATTCTAATTATTCTATTCTTCTAATCATTCTATTCTATTCTATTCTAATTATTCTATTCTATTCTATTCTAATTATTCTATTTCTATCTATTCTAATTATTCTATTCTTCTAATCATTCTATTCTATTCTATTCTAATTATTCTATTCTCTTCTAATTATTCTATTCTGTTCTATTCTAATTATTCTATACTTCTAATCATTCTATTCTATTCTATTCTAATTATTCTATTCTATTCTATTCTAATTATTCTATTCTAATCATTCTATTCTATTCTATTCTAATTATTCTATTCTATTCTATTCTAATTATTCTATTCTTCTATTCTATTCTATTCTATTCTATTCTATTCTTCAGAGGGAACTTTCTGGGCCGATCTAAAAGTTGCTGACCAGGCGATTTCTTTGGGAGATGGAGTGAGGGTTGCCAAGGGGATCATGAGTCAGTCTTTCTTGCTGGATCCTCCTCTCCAAATCTGCAGCAGGGTCTCCATCGCTTTCCCCCTCTGGATCCCCACTTCCTTTGCTCCTGAGCCTGGGAAAAAAAAACCCTTCCCAAATCCCCTCAGTTCCTGTCCTTTTTGGGGGGGTCTGTCTTTCTCTCTCACACACACTCACACACACCACCAAGCAAGAAGTTTGTGTTGTCTCTTTTTTTAGCCATTTTTTGGGTGTCCCCTGCCAGCACTCGCCCTTCTTCTCCAACCTCCAAGCCCTGCCAATGAGACCTACAGCTGTGCAAAGCTTGCACCGTTAGGGGGGGGACAAAGGCTGAATCTGGGAGAATTAAGTCTTGTAGAGTTTTGGGGGCTCCAAAGAGGGAGAGGTCCCAGGCACTTACCATTGGGGAGAGGGGGGACAAGGGCTGAATCTGGGAGAATTAAGATCTTCTAGAGTTTTTGGGGGGCTCCAAAGAGGGGGAGATCCCAGGCACTTACCATGGGGAGAGGGGGGACAAGGGCTGAATCTGGGAGAATTAAGATCTTCTAGAGTTTTTGGGGGGCTCCAAAGAGGGGGAGATCCCAGGCATTTACCATTGGGCAGAGGGTGGGACAAGGGCTAAATCTGGGAGAATTAAGATCTTCTAGAGTTTTTGGGGGGGCTCCAAAGAAGGGGAGATCCCAGGCACTTACCATGGGGAGAGGGGGGAACAAGGGCTGAATCTGGGAGAATTAAGATCTTCTAGAGTTTTTGGGGGGTTCCAAAGAGGGGGAGATCCCAGGCACTTACCATTGGGGAGGGGGGGGGACAAGGGCTGAATCAGGGAGAATTAAGGTCTTGTAGAGTTTTTGGGGGGGGCTCCAAAGAGGGGGAGATCCCAGGCACTTACCATGGGGAGAGGGGGGAACAAGGGCTGAATCTGGGAGAATTAAGATCTTCTAGAGTTTTGGAGGGGTTCCAAAGAGGGGGAGATCCCAGGCACTTACCATGGGGAGAGGGGGGCAAGGGCTGAATCTGGGAGAATTAAGATCTTGTAGAGTGTTTGGGGGGCTCCAAAGAAGGGGAGATCCCAGGCATTTACCATTGGGGATAGGAGGGGACAAGGGCTGAATCTGGGAGAATTAAGATCTTCTAGAGTTTTTGGGGGGCTCCAAAGAAGGGGAGATCCCAGGCACTTACCATGGGGGAGAGGGGGGAACAAGGGCTGAATCTGGGAGAATTAAGATCTTCTAGAGTTTTGGAGGGGTTCCAAAGAGGGGGAGATCCCAGGCACTTACCATGGGGAGAGGGGGGGCAAGGGCTGAATCTGGGAGAATTAAGATCTTGTAGAGTGTTTGGGGGGCTCCAAAGAAGGGGAGATCCCAGGCATTTACCATTGGGGATAGGAGGGGACAAGGGCTGAATCTGGGAGAATTAAGATCTTCTAGAGTTTTTTGGGGGGGCTCCAAAGAGGGGGAGATCCCAGGCACTTACCATGGGGAGAGGGGGGGAACAAGGGCTGAATCTGGGAGAATTAAGATCTTCTAGAGTTTTGGAGGGGTTCCAAAGAGGGGGGATCCCAGGCACTTACCATGGGGAGAGGGGGGGCAAGGGCTGAATCTGGGAGAATTAAGATCTTCTAGAGTTTTGGAGGGGTTCCAAAGAGGGGGAGATCCCAGGCACTTACCATGGGGAGAGGGGGGGGCAAGGGCTGAATCTGGGAGAATTAAGATCTTGTAGAGTGTTTGGGGGCTCCAAAGAAGGGGAGATCCCAGGCATTTACCATTGGGGATCTAATTATTCTATTCTTCTAATCATTCTATTCTATTCTATTCTAATTATTCTATTCTATTCTATTCTAATTATTCTATTCTAATCATTCTATTCTATTCTATTCTAATTATTCTATTCTATTCTATTCTAATTATTCTATTCTTCTATTCTATTCTATTCTATTCTATTCTATTCTTCAGAGGGAACTTTCTGGGCCGATCTAAAAGTTGCTGACCAGGCGATTTCTTTGGGAGATGGAGTGAGGGTTGCCAAGGGGATCATGAGTCAGTCTTTCTTGCTGGATCCTCCTCTCCAAATCTGCAGCAGGGTCTCCATCGCTTTCCCCCTCTGGATCCCCACTTCCTTTGCTCCTGAGCCTGGGAAAAAAAACCCTTCCCAAATCCCCTCAGTTCCTGTCCTTTTTGGGGGGGGGTCTGTCTTTCTCTCTCACACACACTCACACACACACCAAGCAAGAAGTTTGTGTTGTCTCTTTTTTTAGCCATTTTTTGGGGTGTCCCCTGCCAGCACTCGCCCTTCTTCTCCAACCTCCAAGCCCTGCCAATGAGACCTACAGCTGTGCAAAGCTTGCACCGTTAGGGGGGGGACAAAGGCTGAATCTGGGAGAATTAAGGTCTTGTAGAGTTTTGGGGGGGCTCCAAAGAGGGAGAGGTCCCAGGCACTTACCATTGGGGAGAGGGGGGGACAAGGGCTGAATCTGGGAGAATTAAGATCTTCTAGAGTTTTTGGGGGGCTCCAAAGAGGGGGAGATCCCAGGCACTTACCATGGGGAGAGGGGGGGACAAGGGCTGAATCTGGGAGAATTAAGGTCTTCTAGAGTTTTTGGGGGGGGCTCCAAAGAGGGGGAGATCCCAGGCACTTACCATGGGGAGAGGGGGGAACAAGGGCTGAATCTGGGAGAATTAAGATCTTGTAGAGTGTTTGGGGGGCTCCAAAGAAGGGGAGATCCCAGGCATTTACCATTGGGGATAGGAGGGGACAAGGGCTGAATCTGGGAGAATTAAGATCTTCTAGAGTTTTTGGGGGGCTCCAAAGAAGGGGAGATCCCAGGCACTTACCATTGGGGAGGAAGGTGGGGGTGGTCCTGCGAGCGATGCCAGGAGCTGCAAATGGGCAGGCGGGCGAGGGTAGCGAGTGAGACAGCAGCCTGCCAGCTGGGCTGGGACTCCGCCTCCCCTCCCGGGCTGGGCTGGGCTGGGCTGGGCTGCTTGTCGCAGGCAAGTAACTTCCACGGGATGCCGGCCAGGACAGGGATGGGAGGGGTCATTGCACCCCACCCCACCCCAAATCTGTGCCAAGTGCAACCCCAATGGCGGGAGGGGAGGGGGCTGGGTTGGCCAGGAGGGAAGCGGGGGAGGGTACAGAGGGGTTTTTCCCCCCCCTCCCCACTCTTCCTTGGGGAGGGGGGGGTCTGAGTTGGAAAGACCCCATCCCTTGGCATTAGGAACATTTCCCAGATAAGTCACAGACAGTCCTGGGATCTCCTCGTGGCGTCCCGTCCCATCCCATCCCCGCCTTTCTAACCAAGGTCAAGCCACTGTCAGCTTTCCAGAGCAACCAAGGCGAGTAGGAGGACTCTGATGGGAGCCTCCCCCCCCCCTCCCCAAATCGAGGCCAGGCAATGGAAGGGGCGCTTTGCACACGCTCAGAGGCGCTCTTTCAGCGGCGTTGTGGATGGAGCCGGACGGATTCCCGGGTATCCGCGGGGTCTTCTTGGGGTCTGAAAAACAGAAGGGCAGAGGAGACCCCTCCCAAGGACAGGAGGGGGCGGGGGGCGGGGCGGGGAAAGGGAATCCCGCTCATTTGCATGCGATGACGCAATTCTCCCCAGGCCACGCCCTCTCCTGCCGGCCACTTTTCGGGGGGTTCCGAAAGGGCGGAGAGGAAGCGATGCGAGGGAAACCTGCGTGGAGGGAACTCGGAAGTCTGGGAAAGAAAAGCGCGCTCCTCTTCCCTTTTAGTAGCTCTCCGAGGATTCCCGGCTACGTTTCGCTTTCGCTTTCGGCTGGGCGCGGCGCGGTGCGGCGCGGCGCATGCGCGGAACATCTGCTGCGCTTCTGGTAAGTGTGCCGGCTGGCTGGCTGGCTGGCTGGCGGCGGGGGGGGGGGGGGGGCGGGGGAGGGGGAGGTGTGGTCCGGGGCTGCAGGGGGCGGGGGGGGTCCACGGAAGCCCTCTGCGCATGCTCCACTGCTCCGGGTTTCCCAGATGTCGCTGCCTGGAGCTGGAGGCTCCGTCTGAGGACTGCTGGAGCCCCCTGCGGGGTTGCCCCTCCCCTCCCGCCTCTCCCTTAATCGTAGGCTCAGGTAGACTACCCCTGGCCGGGGAGGTTCTATCTCTGCAAACGTCAAAGCAGCTCCAAGAGGACTCACTCTCTCTCTCTCTCTTTCCTCTCTCCCCTCTGTTTCCTCTCTCCACCACCACTCTCTTTCTTTCTTTCTTTCTTTCTTTCTTTCTTTCTTTCTTTCTTTCTTTCTTTCTTTTTCTTTCTTTCTTTCTTTCTTTCTCTCTCTCTCTCTCTCTCTTCCTTTCTCCTTCTTCCTTTTCCTCTCTCTCCCCTCCCCCTCTCTTTCTTTCTTTTTTCGTCCTTCCTTTCTTTTCCCTCTCTCCCTTCCTCTCTCTCTCTGTCTCCTATCTTCCCTCTGTTTCTCCGCCACCCCCCTCTCTCTTCTTTCTTTCTTTCTTTCTTTCTTTCTTTCTTTCTTTCTTTCTCTTTCTTTCTTTCTTTCTTTCTTTCTTTCTTTCTTCTCCTGTCTCCCCTCTGTTTCCTTTCTCTCCACCCCCTCTCTCCCTTTCTTTCTCTTTTTCTCTTTTTCTCTTTTCTTTCTTTTTCTCCTCTCTCCCATTTCCTCTCTCTCTCTTTCTTTCTTTCTCTCTCTTTCTCCTTCTTCCGTTTCCTCTCTCCCCTCCCCCTCTCTTTCTTTCTTTTTCATCCTTCCTTTCTTTTCCCTCTCTCCCTTCCCCCCCCTCTCTCTCCTATCTTCCCTCTGTTTCTCGCCACCCCATCTCTCTCTCTCTTTCTTTCTTTCTTTCTTCTCCTGTCTCCCCTCTGTTTCCTCTCTCTCCACCCCCTCTCTCCCTTTCTTTTCTCTTTTTCTCTTTCTTTCTTTCTTTTTCTCCTCTCTCCCATTTCCTCTCTCTCTCTTTCTCCTGTCTCCCCTGTTTCCTCTCTCTCCCCTCCCCCTCTCTTTCTTTCTTTCATTCTTTCATTTTTTTTCTTTCTCCTCTCTCTCTCTTTCTCCTCTCCCGTTTCCTCTCTCTCTCTCCTCTCTCTCCTCTGTCTTTCTTTATTTCTCTCTCCCTCCCCCCTCTCTCTTTCTCCTCTCTCCCCCTCTCTTTCTCTCTCTCTCTCTCCTTTCTCTCTGTCCTTTCTATCTTTCTTTCTCCTCTCTCTCCTCTCCTTTCTTTTTTTTTTTTCACTCTTTCTTCTCTCCTTTTTTCTCTTCACAGATGGCGAGCATGGACACCCTCCCCGAGGACGCCCTGATTGCGGTGCTGGTGCTAGTGCCCGCCCGGGACCTTGTGCTTCGCTGCCGGCTGGTCTGCTCCCTCTGGCGCGGGCTGGTAGACTTGCCTTCGCTCTGGAAGCTCAAGTGCCAGCGTGAGGGCTACCGGCCAGAGCCGCTGGACAGTCCCATTCCGGACTGGCGGGATTTCTATTTCCTCTGCAGCCTGAAGAGGAACCTGATCAAAAACCCCTGTGCTGAAGGTGGGGGAGGGGTCAAGGGGGCTGGGCTATTTTGGGAGGGTCCGGTTTTGGACCACTCGAAGGTTGTTTCCCCTGCAACTCACCTGACCAGCTCTGGTCTGATCCTAGATTAAAGCGAATCAAGGCCAGGATGGAAGACCACCAGGAGATCCAAACAAAGTTGCCAACATGGCTAAGCAAATTTAAAAAAAAATAAATCCTGAAATAACCCAATGCAACCAATTCCATAATTCTGCTTCCCGAAAAAAAATAGCCTACTTTAGGGCATACCTTCCTGGTGGTCTCTTCCCCTTACCTTGGAAATATTTCCAAAGTGCCGAAAATCCAACCTACAGTGCTGTCCTCTTCTTTGTGTCTTCTCTCTCCCGCCGCAGAAGGCTTTGACGCCTGGGAGAAAGAATCCGACGAAGGCAACGGCTGGAAAATTGAGCAGCTTCCAGGAGATCATGGGAGAAATTTCCTTCTTCCGCACATTCAGAAATACTTCGTGACGTCCTACGAGTGAGTAGCGTGATGGCCTGGGATTCCCTGGGCTTTGACCAGCAGAGGGGATTCCTTGTGGGGTTTCTAACACGCGTATTGACCGTTGTTAAACGGGCTCCTTCGATGGTGGGAATTTCCAACTGAGTTTTTCCCAGCTTGGAAACTTCAAATCCCCCAGTATCTAAAGTTTTTATTTTTTATTTTTTATTATTTTATTTTAGACATTGAAGCGTTTGTCTGACAGGGAGCCATTGGGAGGGACCTTTCTTCCCCCTACTCCCATGCCCATCATCCCTGCCCTCTCCACCCTCCCATGCGCTCCTCTTTCTCGCCCTTTCTAAGATCCTGGCACTTTGCTCCAAATCCACCAGGGGGCGCCTTCTGCCAAGAGAAGGGAACATCAGGCGCTTCCCCATTATCACTTGCTCTCCTTAATGGCCTCGGCATTCCAGAGTTATGCTGGAACATAAACACACAGACACACACACACACACACACACACAAAACAAAGGATGTTAGGGGTGTCTCACCCCCACAGTATTGGGAGCCATTGGGAGGGGCCTTTCTTTCCTCTACTCCCCTACTCCCATGCTCATCATCCATGCCCTCTCCCTTCCCCCTCCCATGCACTCCTCTTTCCGGTCCTGTCTACGATCCTGGCACTTTGTCCCAAATCCATCAAGCGTTTCACCATTGGTCCACTGGAGGGCGAACGTCATGACTGGCTTTCCAGAGGAAGCTGTGAAGGAACTGACATCTCAAACAATTGCCACTCTAGGACGCTGCTCTCACTCTCCTCAACAGTCCAGGCATTCCACAGTTACACACACACACAGACACACACAGACACACCAGGGGTGTCTTACCCCCACAGTATTTGTTTCCAGAGAGTAAGTCATCTGTGTACGAAGTTTGGTTGAAATTGCTTGAGCTGTTCCAGAGTTATCCTGGAACAAATATACATACATACATCCTTTTATATAGATATATTAAAAGGATGTATGTATGTATATTTGTTCCAGGATAACTCTGGAACGGCTCAAGCAATTTCAACCAAACTTCAACTAAACTAAATAAATATATATAACATAAAATATGTTAAATATATACACATATATATAACATATTTTATATTATATTTATTTATTTATTATTTATTGGCTGCCCATTTTACCACAGGGAGACTCTAGGCGGCTTACGCCATTAACAAAACAAAACCATGTAAAAATACTACAGGTAGTCTTCGGTTTACAACATTTTGTTTACTAACCATTTGAAATTGCAACGACGTTGAAAAACATGACTGATGACTGCTTTTCAATCTTACGATGGCTGCAGCATCCCCAGGGTCACGTGATCAAAGTTCAGATGCTTAGGAACTGACTCATATTTATGACGGCCGCAGCGTCCCGGGGCCACGCGATCCTCTTTTGCGACCTTCTGACAAGCAAAGTCCATGGGGAAAGCCGGATTCACTTAACAACCGTGTGACTAACTTAACAACTGCAGGGATTCGCTTAACGACTGTGGCAAGGAAGGTCGTAAAATGGGGCAAAACGCACTTAACAGCTGTCTCACTTAGCAACAAAAATGTTGGGCTCACTTGTGGTCATCAGTCGAGGACTGCCTGTACAAAAATACCAGTAGTTCTCGACTTACGACTTAGGACAATTGAGCCCAGAATTTATGTTGCTGAGATAGTTGTAAAGCGACTTTTGTCCTGTTTTACGACTTGCCATATTTGTTAAGTGAATCACTGCAGCTGTTAAATTAGTAACACAGTTGTTAAGTGAATCCAGTTTCCCCGTTGGCTTTGCTGGTCAGGTCGCAAAAGGGGATCCCGGGACACTGCAAACCATCATAAATACGAACCAGTTGCTCAGCATATGAATGTAAATCACCTGGCTGTCGTAAGTGTGAAAAATGGTTGTAAGTCACTTCTTCAGTGTTGTTGTAACTCCAAACGGTCACTAAACGAATTGAGGACTACCTGAATTTAATCACAGGTTGTAACTTTGGGTCCTGCCTCTTTTATTTAAAATCTGTCTCTCTCTCTTTTTCTACCTCGTTTGTTCGCAGGTTGTATTTTTCCCATTCATTATAAAATGGTTAGAAGTCCCTTTTTTCAGTGTTGAAGCTTCGAACAGTTGCTAACTGAACTGTCATAAGTCAAGGACTACCTGTATAAAAATAGAAATACAATAGCTAAAAGATGAGGGAGGGAGGAGGGGGTCTGTTATTAATCAATTGCCCCCTTTCAGCCATCGCTGTTCAAAACAGTGCAGATTTTCCCAGGAAGGGACTTACGAGTAATATCCCTCCCCTACTCAAAATTACTTGAGAAGCCATTTAACAACGATTCGTGGTTTGCGCTCCGCATGGAGGCTTGTAACAAAGAGTGGCGCAGTGGCCTAAAGGGGGAGCTGTCGCCTGTATCGCCAGTCAGGAGGCTGTGAGTTTGATCCTAGGTAGAGGCAGATATTTCTCTCTCTCGGCACGTTGAGAATATATCTGCTGAACAAAACTCCTCCTTGGGGACAGGAAGGGCATCCGGCCAGTAAAACACTCAGCTCCATTCAGATGCCCAGACTCCACCCGGCAAGGGATTATGGGGTCGTTAAAAGAGGATGAGGATGGAGGCTTGTAACAATCGGTGGCTTTCCCTTCCTTGCCAGCTCATGCATGAAGAGGCAGCTGATCACCTTACGGGATCACGGCTACGGGGACCGGTTGATGGACGAAGCCCGGCCTGATATCGTGGTGAGCGACTGGTGAGTGGCAGGGAGGAGAGGCGGACGGGTGGACGGATGGACGCGGGAGGCACAAGCGCTGAGGCAGTGTTCGACAGCGCCAAACGGCTCCGTCAAAGCAGGAGGCGCAATACAGGTAGTTCTCGCTTTACGACCACGATGGAGCCCAAAATTTCCGTTGTTAAGCGAGACACTTGCTAAGTGAGTTTTGCCCCATTTTACGACCTTTCCTGCTACCGTCATTAAGTGAATCACTGCAGTTGATACGTTAGTAACCCGAATCTGGCTTCCCTGTGGACTTGGCTTGTCAGAAGGTCGTAAAAGGGGATCACATGACCCCCCCCAGGACTCTGTGACCGTCATAAGTATGAGGCTCTTGCCAAGCATCCGGATTTTGATCACGTGACCACAGGGACAGTCGTAAGTGTGAAAAAAGGTCGTGAGTTGTTTTTCTCAGTGCCGTGGTTACTTTGAACGGTCACTAAACGAATAATGGTTGTAACTCAAGGACTACCTGTATCATGCCTCTCTTGTTCTCCTTGTTTTCACACAGAAAGACTATATATGTAAGTTCTCGACTTAACAACCATTCATTTAGTGACCATTCAATGTTACCATGGCACTGAAAAAAGTGACTTACTATCGTTTTTCACACTTACAACCGTCCCAGCAGTCCCGTGATCAAAATTCAAACACCGGGCAACTGGCTCATATTTAAGATGATCGCATTGTCCCGGAGTCACGCAATCCGCTTTTGCGACCTTCTGAAAAGCAAAAATTCATGGGGAAAGCTGGATTCACTTAAAAACCGTGTGACTGACTTAACAACTGCCAGGATTTGCTTAACGACTGTGGCAAGGAAAGTCATAAAGTGGGGCAAAATACCAGCTGTCTCACTTAGCAGCAGAAATGTTGGGCTCAATTGTGGTCGTAAGTTGAAGACAAAAATACTGGTAGTTCTCGATTTACGACTTAGGACAATTGAGCCCAGAATTTAGGTTGCTAAGTGAGACAGCTGCTAAACGAGTTTTGTCCCGTTTTACGACTTTCCTTGCCACATTTGTTAAGGGAAACCCTGCAGCTGTTAAATTAGTAGCATGGTTGTTAAGCGAATCCGGGGTGACGCGATCCCCTTTTTGCGACCTTCCGAAAAGCAAAGTCAACGGATTCACTTAACAACAGTGTGATTAACTTAACAATGGTGGCCAGAGGGGTCATTAAAGGGGGCCAAACCCCCGTATTTATTCATCGATAAAATTTACTGGCCGCCCATCTTATCGTAGGATAACTCTGGGAATTTTACAGTTACATCTAAGCCAGGGGTGAAATCTAAAATTTGTTACTACTGGTTCTGTGGGCGTGACTTGGTGAGGGGGGGTGGGGTTAATGTGACTGGGTGGGCGTGGCCAACTTTTTTTTTTTTTTTACTTTTAAAAGCATTTTTTCTATAACCTCAAGAGGTTGCAGGAAAAAAAAGCCTCTGACGATCAGGCAACTCGGCTGGGATCGTCAGAGGCTTTTAAAGGCATTTTTTTTTTCCCTACAATCTCTTTGGCCGAAGAGGTTATAGAAAAAATGTTTTTAAAAGTAAAAAAAAACAGCCTCTGACGATTGCGCGGCTCAGCTGGGAATTGGGGTGGGGGAGCGTAGGGATTTTTGCTCCCGGTTCTCCGAACCACCCGCCACCATCGCTACCGGATTGGGCAATCCGGTCCGAACCGGGAGCATTTCACCCCTGATCTAAGCTAAAATATAAAATGTTAAAATCAAACCTTAAAATTAAAGGCACATGGGAAGGGCGGAAGGGACAGAGGCAGGGATCTGTTATTAATCAACTCCATTGCGCTGACCCCCCCCCCTCGGCCATGTCTTGAGACCCTTATGAAAGGATAGGGTGGGGGGGCAACCTCATATTGGAGTGGGGGGGCAAGGTGTTCCAGAAGGCAGAGAAGGCCTTCCTCCTGGATCCCGCCGGCCAGAATAATCGGGCTGAAAAAATCGTCTCGCTTCGCGATGGGAACTTTGGTCACGGTCGCAAGTCGAGGACCCCCTGCGTTTTTATCGACCTCTTTTTTTAAAGAGCTGATGTTCTCTCCTTCGACCCCCTCCTCCCCCCCCAGGTACGCCGCGCGTTTTGACTGCGGCTGCAAGTACCAGCTCTGCGTGAGACTCCTGTCCAAAGACTACATCGTTCTCCAGGAGTTTCAGCCCGAACCGGTTGTGATTGAACAGTGGAGCGATGCAGAATGGCGCGAGGTAGAGGAATGGGTCGGATCGCGGCCCGGTTCTGCCCCCCCTTCCCCCAGCTCTGGGTTGAAATGAGGGGTGCCTGATGGTCTCTGAGCTTGGCGGTTTTCTGTCAGACGTTTCGTGACCCAATTAGGTGACGTCATCGGTGCTAGAAGGGAGCGGGGTTTGCAGAGAGGAGGAGATTGTGGGTGGAGGAGGGAGATGAGGAAAAGGACTATGGCGGTGATGACTAACCTTTTTGCTGTTGTGTGCCAAAAGCGGGGAGGGAGCGGGGGCGGGGGTCATGTGTGCGCGCGTGCCCATACCTATAATTCAGTGTGCCCCACACCCTGTGCATGCGCATTTAATCCCCCCTCACTCCTCCCACTTTTGGCACGTGATGGCACAATGGGCCTGGTACGCCCGTTTTTCGCCCTCCCCAGGCTCCAGAAGCTTTCTTGGAGCCTGGGGAGGGCAAAAACAGCCTTCCCCACCCGGAGGGCCTCTGGAGGCCGGAAACGGCCCATTTCTCGACTTCCGGGGGGCTCAGAAGGCCCAAAAATCAGCTGGCCAGTGCACGCATGCATACTAGAGCTGAGTTAGGGCAAAGGTCGCATGCCCACAAATATGGCTCCGTGTGCCACCTGTGGCACGCATGCCATAGGTTCGCCATCATGGGACTACGGGTTCCTTGGTGCTCTCTGAGCTTGGTGGTTTTCTGGCAGACGTTTCGTGACCCAACTAGGCGACACCATCAGGGTTAGAAGGAGTGGCATGTGTGGAGAGGAAGAGAACTGTGGGATCCTTAGTGCTCTCTGGAGCTTGGTTGTTTTCCTACAGGTGTTTCATGACCCAACTAGGCAACATCATCAGTGCTAGGAGGAAGGTTTGCTCTCGGTGTATTATCCCTTCTAGCTCTGATGCTGTTACCTAGTTGGGTCGTGAAATGTCTCCGAGAAAACAACCAAGCTCAAGGGAGCACCCAGGACCCCACAATTTTAATTTTAATTATTTTATTTTTTTATTTTATTTTATTTTATTTTATTATTTTATTTTATTTTATTGTTTATTTTGTTTTATTTTTTTATTTTATTTTATTTTATTATTTTATTTTACTTTATTATTTTATTTTATTTTATTTTATTGTTTATTTGTTTGTTTGTTTGTTCGATTTATATGCCGCCCTTCTCCGGAGACTCAGGGCAGCTTACAATGCGTAACAAAGAGCCTTGGTACTACAGGGGTTTACAGGAGCCTTGGTACTACAGGGGTTTAAGGCACCCTGTTATTAAGCTTATTAAGACCAGCTGCCTGCAATTACTGCAGGGTTCGAATCTCGCCAAGGCTCAAGGTTGACTCAGCCTTCCATCCTTTCTAAGGTAGGTGAAATGAGGACCCAGTTTGTGGGGGCAATAAGCTGACTTTGTATAAAATATACAAAAGAATGAAGGCTATTGCTTAACGCATTGTAAGCTGCCCTGAGTCTCCGGAGAAGGGCGGCATATAAATCAAATTAAAAAAAAAAAAATGCATTAAGCAATAGCCTTCATACTTTTGTATATACCTGCTTAGTAGGACTTTTGCCCACCCCCCAAGCGGTGTTCTTTTTTATATAAAGTCAGCTTATTGCCCCCACAATCCGGGTCCTCATTTTACCTCCCTCGGAAGGATGGAAGGCTGAGTCAACCTTGAGCCTGGTGAGATTTGAACTCGCAGTACTTGCAGGCAGCTGGCAACTAAGTGCTACTTTAACAGTACTTAGTCCACTGCACCACCAAGGCTCTTTATCGCTAAGCTTACACGCTGCCCATCTCACAAGCCAAAATACTGATCTTACTTCGGAAGTATAATAAATGTCCCGCTGAGAAGGACGCTGTGTGTAACGCACTCAACACCATAGCGTTTTTAGAACCCGCCGGATTTGGAGCTGCCGGGTTTTTAAAATCCTCTCTGTAATTCTAGAATCGGATCTGGTGACGGACAAAAACGCCGATTTTAACCTGCCCCTCGCCTTTTTTCTCCTCAGGTGTCGCACACGTTTCACAACTACCCCGCCGGTGTCCGCCACGTCTTATTTAGCCACGGAGGCCAAGATACGCAATACTGGGAAGGCTGGTACGGTGTCCGAGTGACGAACAGCAGCCTCACCCTGGGCCCCCAAGTGGCAGATTGACGGAGAAGGGCTGCTTCGGTTTGGATAGGACTACAACTCCCATTGTGCCCAGTAAGTGGCTCTGGGGAAGGTCAGTCTAACCCAGAGGTTTGCAACCTTAAACAATCCAAAGAGCCATTTGGACCCGTTTCCCAAAGAAAAGAAAACACCGGGAGCCACAAAAACCCTTCCCGTGACTATTCCTTGAGCAGCCACAAAACTAGCATATGTCGTCGAATTAAACGTTCTGTTTTCCTCTGAAACTTTTCTTTTCTTGGATTTAATCCATGGTTGGCCTACCGGGAATTGAAAAGCTCAATAAATCGCATGCAGGCGGATGTCACACATTGGCGGTTGTGACGCATATTTTGAGTGATAGGGAGCCGCAGCAGAGAGATGAAAGAGCCACATGCGGCTCCAGAGCCACAGGTTACTGACTACTGGAAGGGAAGTCACCCCAAAGTGCCCTATGCATTCACCTGGCTACTTCTCTTTCGCCGAGAAAAATAAATCTCTAGATATTTATGGATTAACAGATATTTCTCCTTTGCTTCTTCCGCAACTTCGCGACGTCTGGAAAAGTTGTATAATTGTGGCATTTCATAAAAACCGATTTAAATCAAATCTGTGTCGCTCTAAATCCCTCTTCTGGGTTTAGCAGTGGGGCCGAAGTTGATGTGGTGCTCAGAGAGGCAACATTTACAAGTTTATTTTACAGTGAATTAGTCATCATATTGTTCGACATTAGCACCTTGGACACACAGCGATAGACATTGACTTAAAACAAGACAGACGAGTGTTTTCACAGCAAACAAAACATTAGCACTTTCGAGGCACAGTTCCGCAGTGCCCCGTCCTCCCTCAGGTCTAGCAACTTGAAAAGTACCCGGCTCTTTGAGTCGGCTGAAGAAAGTGAGAATAACCTGGGATTTAAGAGCACTTTTAAAAACACAATCATCCAGTAGCCAGGAAGGAACTCGGACACACACGTCAACCGTTCGAGCACTGATGTGGTCGCTGGAGACAGGGTGCAGCTTGGTCATGTGTCGCCTGGGTTGCAGCTTCCAAAATGGTTGGGAAGGGCCGGGTTCAAGTACCTTTCTGTGTTCGCTCCTCGACGTACAGCTGCATCTGAAAGGACAGAGTTCAAACCGGAAATCTTGCATTTATCAGGCGCTTAATTCGGGGGGGCTTGGCAGAGAGGCAGGATTTGGGGCGCCGAGGACAGATTTGAGACGCTCCTCCTCGGCAGCCCTGTAAAACACCCCAAGCGCTAAGGGGGATAGAGCAGGGGTGAAATTTGTTACTACCGGTTCCTTGGGCGTGGCTTGGTGGGGGGGGTGTTAATGTGACGGTGGGCGTGGCCAACTTTTTTTTTTTTTTTTTTTTACTTTTAAAAGCATTTTTTCTACAACCTCTTCAGCCGAAGAGGTTGCAGAAAAAAATGCTTTTAGAAGCCTCTGACGATCCCAGCTGAGTTGCGCAATCATCAGAGGCTTTTTTTTTTTTACTTTTGAAAGCATTTTTTCGGCCGAAGAGGTTGTAGAAAAAATACTTTTAAAAGTAAAAAAAAAAAAACAGCCTCTGATGATTGTGCAGCTCAGCTGGGCATGGTGTGGGATTTTTGCACAGGGATTTTTGCTACCCGCCACCATCGCTACCAGATCGGGCGATCCGGTCTGAACCGGGAGCATTTCACCCCTGGGATAGAGGGGGGGGCGGTCAGTGTGGAAAGGAGCTGCCACTTTCTGGTCTTGGGGGTGCTTCAAACCTTCAAACAGCAACAGAACGGACGGCCCGTAACTTCCAAGATGGGCAGAATATAAATTAAATAAATAAAGGCTGTAAAATCCAAGCACCCTCTAGTGGTCAAAGGAAGAACTGCAGGCCCATAGGTCAGGACTTCCCCCCGCCCCCACCCCAGGATTAGGATCACGTGGCCTCAGAGACCCAATCAGGAGCCCCTTTGGGGTATAAAAGAAGGAAATTCCAACAGATTTTTCTTGGTTGGATCCAATCGTCAGCTTGTCCTCGTCCAAGCTGGCTGAGCGCAGTAAGTGGATCTCTCACCTTTAAGAGGTCCGAGGTCATGGTCTTCAGGGGGATCAGCCGTGGGTCGTGCATGTGGACGTCCTGCTCGTCGGCCAGAATCCAGGGGAAGTCCTACAGGATGGGAAACATAACAGCGTCTTCATGCAAACTATTGCCCATGTGCCCATAATGTTGTGGCCTACCAACCACCGGCCCCTCCAGCAGCCGAATCAGAGGAAGAGGAGGAGTTGTGGGAGTCAGGATCACCATCAAGGCAACCTGAGAGCTCTGAGGGAGAAGAGGGAATGGAGTTATCAGAGAGAAAGAGGCCGAGGCAGAGCCTGGGCCGTCCGTCAGCCCTCAGATGGAGAATCAACAGCTTCTAGGTCTGGAGGTAGCTGATGAGGAGGAGGAGGAACAGCTGGGTCCAGTGCCTGAAGCATGGATGCACAGAAGGCAGAGGAGAGGAGAGCAGTAGAAATCTATGGGCCGGTCCTTGGGACGAAAGAGCCACCACTGCTAGCGAAGCTCCACCCTAGCTCGGAGATGAATAGATGTGGTGGACAACTATTCATCTCCCTGCCGGACAGACTTATTAGCCTGCGGTGAGAGAGAAACTTTTTGCCAGGGCTGCCGGCGCTCCTAATAATCTTTTGAGTTAACTTCAGAGGGTTTGTCGTATTTGGGGAACTGGGTCAGAAGACCTCATTTGAATTTGGAGTTGTTGGCATGCACAGGTCTAGCGCCCCCTGCTGGCAGATCTGACTAAAATCCATAGGACTTGCCGCTCAGCTGCAGTTGCAGACCTATAGTAACCCCTGAGTAAGCAGAGCCAGGCTTAGAAAAAGCCATAGTTGGAAGAAAAATCCAGGTCTAGTTCCAAGCCGGGCATAAAATGGAGGATGATTGGAAAGAAAGATTTTGTTTATTGATGAGTGGAACTAACACAAACACAGCGTGAGGTTCTGGGGCAGCACACACAAAATCCATTCAAACCTTAGTTTACTAAATAAACCAGTCTTTTACAACAACCGCTGTTAATTAATTGCATTACCAGCAACCAAGAATTCAAAGAATAATAACTGAAAGCTTACTATGGTTGGCAGAATGCCCAGAAGCAATTTGCAGGCAGCTGATAAGATAAACAAGACAAGACACAAAGGTATGTGAACTACGTTGTTCCCTGCAATCAACTGAAGCAATTTGCAGGGAACAACTTAATTCACATACCTTGGTGTCTTGTCTTGCTTATTAGCTTCCTGCAAATTGCTTCAATCGGCGTTCCTCCTTAAATAGGCTAAGGGAGTGGCCAATTAGCTCCAAGCCTTACTCTTGAAGAGACCTCCTCCTAAGGAGCCAATCCTGCTTTTTGGCAGCTCTGCACGCCCGTGCATCGAGAAGAGGCTCATCCTCTTCATCCTCTTCACTTAAAGAAGCTTATGGAGGTTCTGAAGGCCCTGGCTGAATCCCTGCCTCTGGCACCACATCTTCTCCAGCCTCCTCATTGTCCGACTCGAGTGCCAGCTGCACAGGCTGCTGGCGCAGCACCACACCAACCTCCTCACTGTCTGAATCAGCTACTAGCTACACAGGCCGCGTATGGGCCACAACAGATTCCTTACCTTGATCACTTGAATTTTCTCCATGTTGCGCGTGGCAGCTTCACGGGTGTGCACCAGGATGGTGAAAGTACAGCCTGCAACAAAACGAGGTGGAGAAAGAGAAAGATACAGTTTTAAATAAAAGAAGCCCGATCCAGAGTTACAACCTGTGCTTAAATACAATAGTCCTCAACTTACAACAATTCCTTCAGCGACTGTTCAAAAGTGGCAACGGCACTGAAACATGTGACTTACGACCGGTTTTCAAAATGACGACCTTTGATGACCCCATGGGTCATGTGATCAGAATTCAGAGGTTTGGCAACTGACTCGTGTTTATGACGTGTTCCGGGGTCATGTGATCAACTTTTGCGACCTGACAAAATCAAGGGGGAAGCCCGATTCACCGAACCGGGTGACTCACTTATCAATGGTGGTGACTCACTTAACAACGGTGGCATGAAAGGTCGTAAAATGGGGCAAAACTCACTTAACGAATATTTCACTTAACAACTGAAATTTGGGGCTCAATTCTGGTCGTAAGTTGAGGGACTACCTGTATATTTTGGTCCCTGCAAAGTGGAGAGGTGCATAGAGAGAATTCCTGCACTATTTTACCGCTGTGGTTATAAATTTTAAATTTAATTTAAATTTCATAAATAAATCAATAAATAAATATTCTTTAAAAAATACTGTTTTTCCATTTGTCCTAGAATTGCTAGAAGAAGAAAAAAAAAATCATCGGGAAGGCCACTGTTTGAAACAAACTGAAGTCCCTCATTCAGGATTGGGTGTTTTCTTCAGCTGATGGTGAAGCTAAACTGAAGTCAAAATATCAGCCTGAAACTCACACGCCCCACTGCCTGCCGGCTAGATTACCGGCTCTGCTGACTGTCCTACCTGGAGGGTTGTTGTCCAGCACAGCGTCACAGACGCTGATTTTCAGAATAAAAGCCCGCAGAAGCTGCTCCACATGGGTGAGGAGAGAATCGGAGCTGAAGAAGAAAAAAGTAGTTGCGCAAGGGCTAAATTGATTAATGGCATATAAAGGCAGAGATCTCTGTAATGGTAGTTTAATACTCTGACGATGTAAGCAGATGGCTGACGAAAGCTTAGTAAAATAAAATTTTAATTCTTTTAAAAAATTTTAAATCTTAAGTTCCGGAGTTCGCAGTATGTCTGCTTCTTTTTTTACTAATATACCTGGAACTCGTATTTTTAGAATAGTTTGTAATATATATATGTATGTATGTATGTATGTATGTAAGAGTATGTATATGTATAATATACATATATATTAATATTATATTAATATTTATTATGTTTACTTTATAAATATACTGTAAATATGGCTATAAATTCAGTGTGAGGTATATATATTCAGTGAGATATATATACAGTAGATATATAATATATAAATTCAGTGTGAGGTATATATATTCAGTGAGATATATGTACAGTAGATATATAATATATAATCTCACACTGAATTTATAGCCATATTTATATTTATAAAATAAACATAATAAATAATAATATAATGTATTAATATAATTAATATAATTACAGTATATTAGTAATATTAATATACAGCTGGATTTCGATAAGCAAAGTCAATGGGGGAAATTGGATTCATTTAACAACTCCATGATTCACTTAGAAACTGCAGTGATTCACTTAACATCTGTGGCACGAAAAATCAGGCATGGCTCATTTAACAACCATCTCACTTAGCAACAGAGATTCTGGTCCCAATTGTGGTTGTAAGTCAAGGACTACTATAATATGCTGCCGAATCCTTCCATAGGGAAAACCTAGCCATTGTCTCAACATGTTGTGCGAACTGGGTCATCACGTTAAGCTGTAAAACGGTTCATTTGTAAAAATGTCTCCTGCTATGCAGATATAGCAATTGTAGTCTGTTAATCTGAATTTTATGTGAAGCCACCCATTATATTGTTCACCAGTGCTGAACTCAAGCAATGTACCAGGACTTTTCCAATTCAATAGCTGGGTTACAGAGATCTTTCAGGGTCAAGCTGGGCAGAAATCCATAGTTAAGAGAAATTTGTTCATCTTCGGTTAATCTAGAAGAGGTTATGATGTGGTTTGTTTCTGAGAAATGGGAAATTCAGATTGTCTTCTCCTGCTGCCTCTCCTTTTTTTATTTGAGGTGTTTTAAGAGGACTTTTAATGGGACGCAGTGGCTCAGTGGCTAAGATGCTGAGATTGTCGATCAGAAGGTCGGCAGTTCAGCGGTTTGAATCCCTAGTGCCGTGTAATGGGGTGAGCTCCCGTTACTTGTCCCACCACCATACTTAAGTAATCTGCAAAGATCCCTTCTTTTTATCCCCAACATAAAAGTGCCAAAAGTTATGTCAGAGTTTAGGCAGCATAACTAGTATTATGAGATAAACCCAGGAGCAAAACACAGCACACAGCACACAGCACATAAAGCCTTGAGATAATTAACAGTGGTTTTATCTACAGCTAAATATATACAGATTTACGTGGTAAATACCTTATCATACATCTACTGACACAAGAGAGCAATGAGATACATGAGGAGAGAGAACATGAGGAGAAGGGAGACGCCCTCTAATGGCTTCCCTTATATAGGCAGCTTCTGCCCAGCTTCTTAAAGTGGCAGTAACCCTGCTGCTTCATTCCCATTGCATCAGCTTTCAGTTGCCTCCGCTTACAACCTTACATCAGCTTACAGCTATTAAATCTACATACCCTGACAAGTTACAAGAAGATTGAATCTTGAATTCTCCTCTTCCTTCTCCTATCTGGCCAGGATCAACAAGCTTGGATCGGGCAGTGATTTTGAAGCTTTCTTTCAAAGATTAGGGATCGCGTCTGGCAGAGTCCGCTACACTAAGAACCGGGTAAGCCGAACTGCTTGCTTAAAAAGCTGTCACCAACAGTTTTTTGGAAAGAGCAGTCAATATATTTATTTTATTCCGTGAATCTATTTCTTAGCTGCTTGAATCACCGAAGCCACTCTTAAGTGGTCTACAGGGAGTAGAGATTAAAAACAGAAATGTAGTAACATAAAGCAGCAAGTGGGTCAAAAACCACATTGGGGAAGGAGGATTCCATAAAACCTAGAACTGAGGAGAAATTTCCACAACTAATCAGTGGAACAGCGTGTCTTCAGAAGATGCTCTATCACTAGAGGTTTTCAAGAAGAGATTGGACAGCCATTTGACTGGAATGGCATAGGGCAGGGGTGTCAAACTCAACGCCCATGGGCCGGATCCAGCCTGTGGTGTGCTTAGATCTGTCCCACGGGGCCGCCATGGAAACAGTGAAGGACTGGCCTGCAGTGCCTCTGCCAGCAAAAACAGAGCTCAAGAGGGCCGCACATGGCCCTCCCAGGCTCCATTTTCACTGGCAGAGGACTGCAGGATGTCAAGCTGGCCATGCCCATCCTGGTCATGTCCACCCCAGCCCCCCGAGGTCAAACACAACCCTGATGTGGCCTTCAATGAAATCGAGTTTGATACCCCTGGTATTAGGTTTCCTGTTTGAGCAGGGGGTTGGACTAGAAGATCTCCAAGGTACCTTCCAACTCTATTCTAAAACAGTCACCAAGGGCATTATAAATCACTCTGCCCCCAGGGCTTGGTAGAGCAGCCAAAGCTATAAGGCTCTTCTGAGGCAAGGGGAATCAGAACAGTCTGGACCCGTTGAAGCCGTCCGATGGTCTTCAAGGGCAGCCCCAGGTGGAATGTGTTGCAGTAATCAAGTCACGAGGAGATTAAGACACAAGTGACACGTCTGGATCTAGGAAAAGGAGACAATTGGCACCAGGGGTGGGTTCTACTTACCTTTACTACCGGTTCGCAACGGGAACGCGCGGGTGCCTTCGTTTCGCTCACGCGCTTCTGCGCATGCAGAATTGACGTCATCAGTTATGACGTCCGGGGCGGGTGGGTGGAGCCTCCCGCCGCTTTTACTACTGGTTGCAAAGAACCGGACAGGACTGGGAGCAACCCAGGGGTGAAATGTAAAATTTGTTACTACCGGTTCTGTGGGCGTGGCTTGGTGGGGGAGGTGTAATGTGACTGGGTGGGCGTGGCCAACTTTTTTTTTTTTTAACGTTTCAAAGCATTTTTTTCTAATGCTTTGAAAAGCTCTCTGCCGATCAGGCAACTCAGCTGGGATCGTCAGAGACTTTTCAAAGCATTTTTTTTTACCACCTCTTTGGCCAAGAGGTTGCAGAAAAAAATGCTTTGAAAAGCCTCTGACGATCCCAGCTGAGCCGTGCAATCATCAGAGGCTCTTTTTTTTTACTTTTAAAAGCATTTTTTCGTCGGAAGAGGTTGTAGAAAAAATGCTTTTAAAAATTAAAAAAAAAGCCTCTGATGATCGTGCAGCTCAGCTGGGCATGGGGGGGGCCGCGCAGGGATTTTTGCTACCGGTTCTCCGAACCACCCGCCGCCATTGCTACCGGATCGGGCGATCCGGTCCGAACCGGGAGCATTTCTCCCCTGGAGCAACCCACAACTGATTGGCACATGGGATGGCAAACGGACACTATTTGGGTAAGCCGCCCGTGTGCGCATTGGGCGGCCATATACATGTGTGCAATAAATAATAAATAAAATCCAGAACTGCAGAGCCTCCAGGGTGTGGGAGAGGCGTGGAAAACATCCCGTAAAAATGATACTAAGCGATTTGGAACGCTTGCAAAGCGATCTTGATGTTTGTAAAAGCTGCCATCTCCGTTATTTTTTGATTTTGTTTTTTTGTAATGTTGTGGTTTTTATGGGAAAATCGCAATTAAGGATGATGAAACATTTATTTTCCTCAGCCCTCCCGCTCCTATTTTAATTTTGGAAGCCGCAAGGGGGGAAATTAAATTTATCGGCTTTGGACTGTGCGTGCAACTGAGGCTTTTCATTTTAATCACGCTGCCCCTCGAAACACCCGGGGTGGATTTTAATTAGCTGAGATTCTTTTTTATGGGTGTAACTTCTGTGAGAGCACTCTAAAAAAAAAAAAAGCTTTTCCCCCCCGAAAATACAATATATTCTATATGTATTGGGAATATTACATGCAACAACGAAAAGAGAGAAGGAAATGGAGTGAAGGGAGTAGGAGAGGAGGGGAGAAAGAGGAAGGGTAGAGAGGGGAAAGGAGAGGAAGAGTAGAAAGGGAAGGAGATAGAAGCGGAGAAGAAGAGACAGGGAAAATAGAGGGGAGAGGAGAAGGAGAGGGGAGGAGAGAAGAGAGGGAGGAGAAAGAAGAGGAAAGGAGGGATTGTTGTAAAAATGGGTAAAATATGGTGTACAGGAGAAAAGAAAACGGAGGGACAATTTCGTTGTTGTTTTTTTCTTGAGGTTTATACTATTGAAACTATAACGGAAAATAATACGGATGCTAAAGCACATCGGTTTAGATGTTACTGCATGCTAGTTCATATTGATATGAAAATTAAAATTTTGTGTAAAAGAGGGGAGTAAATAATATGAAATAAGGAAAATGGAATGTAATAATTAGGAATATGTAGATAGGAATATGCGCCATTCACACAATGATATGTATAAAATTTTTAAAAAATAATAACTTGATTTTAAAAAATAATAAAAAAATAAAAAAAGCTTTGCTGGCTCATATAATCAGATTTTTTTTCTCCTCAGAGAGGAAATAAATGATAAATACATCACACTACATTTCTCTCCTGTTTAAATCAGGACTTTTGAATGAGAATTAACAGCAGGTCGTTGGCTCGGAAGCATGCCAATTTATCCTGCGGTGAGCCTCTGAGGTTGTGCAGAGGGCGCTCTATCTCTATCTCTCTCCCCCTCCCTCTCTCTCCCCTCTCTCTCCCTCCCTCCCCTCTCTCTCCCTCTCTCTCCCTCCTTCTCTCTCACTCACCCCCTCTCCCTTTCCCTCCCTCTTTCTCTCACTACCCCTCCCTGTCTCCCTCCCTCTCTCATTCCCTCCAACTCTCTCCCCCTCCCTCCCTCTCTCATCCCCTTTCCCTTTCCCTCCTTCTCCCTCTCTCAATACCCCTCCCCCTCTCCCTCCCTCTTCCTCCCTCCCTCTCTTTCTCCCTTCCTTTCTCTCTCCCTCCCTCTCTCATTCCCTCCCCCTCTTTCTCCCTCCCTCTCACTCCCCCCTCTCCCTCCCTCTCCCTCTTTCCCTCCCTCTCCCTTTCTCTCTCCCTCCCTCATTCCCTCCACCTCTTTCCCTCTCTCTCACCCCCTCCCTCCCTCTCCCTCTTTCCCTCCCTCTCCCTCTCTCACTACCCCTCCCTCTGTCTGTCTCCCTCTCCCTCCCTCCCTCACTCACCACCCTCTCCCTCTTTCCCTCCCTCTCCCTCTCCCACTCTCACTACCCCTCCCTCTGTCTCCCTCTCTCTCTGTCTCCCTCCCTCTCCCTCCCTCCCTCCCTTCCTTCCATGGAATCAGCCATTGTCACGTAGTAAGATTCAAATAAACATTTCTATCTTCGGAGCCGACATTTTAGCTGCAACTAAAAAAAGCTGATGAAAGTCCTTCAGAAACCAATTTAGGAACATTGATCTCCAGGCTACAAATCAGGATTTTAAGGTAGGATAGGAGCAGTTTAGAAGTAAAAGGAAGGCCGTTTTGAGGCTGGCTCAAAAGTGTTTTTTAAGAACGCAAGAACTTCGCTGGGTCAGGGGGAAAAAAATTAATCATCTATTAGCAAATCCCAGCATTTTGGGTGAGCAATTGAAGAAGAGAAAGTGAAAGGTGTTTCAATGTAGATTTGACTGCAGGAAGGAAGAAATTGGGGGGGGGGGAGATTTTGGCATAAAAAGAGAGACTTCTGGTTTTTAAGGGCCTGGTGGAATTTCAGGAAGTAAGCATGTTTTTTTTAAAAAAAACGGATTCACTTCTGCAGATATTATTATTTACAGAAGATGCGGCTGTGTTTAGGATTTATCTCTCTCTAGCTTTCACGTTTTCCAGATGTGCTCATCTACAGCTCTCCAACTGGTTTATTATTCCCGAATCTTAAGGCACAATGTTGATTTATTGGGTTTTTTTCGGTAGCTTTTTGTGATTCTGGAAATACAAACCAGTGTGATTCGGACCCCAGGATTAGGTGAAACTGTGCTCTGGATCTGGAATTGTTTTTTTAAAAAAATTCTCTTGGTTTAATGTTCCTGCCCAGATGTTTTCATCTTTGCTGGATTTGCAATCTTGCGGCATGCATGACTAATTGTGTTACATTTTGTGTTTTTTTTTAAAAAAAAAACTGCCTCAGAGCCAGCCGTGGAGAACATGTGACATGTGAAAAATTTATTTTTTTAAAAAAATGAATAATATTGGCATTGTTGCTTGCTTGCTCATGTGGGATTAAAGAGACAAACTTCCTGCTTTTTGGTTTTCAAGGAATTCCTCACCACCATAACCGAAATCAGTGGTGAAATCCAATTTTTTTTTACTACCGGGTCTGAGGGCGTGGCAGAGTGGGCGGGGTGTGGCTTGGTGGGCGTGGTAGGGGAAGGATACTGCAAAATCCCCATTCCCTTCCCACTTCCGGGGGAAGAATACTGCAAAATCTCCATTCCCATCCCACTCTGGAGCCAGTCAGAGGTGGTATTTGCCAGTTCTCCGAACTACTCAAAATTTCCGCTACCGGTTCTCTGAACTGCTCAAAATTTCCTCTACTGGTTCTCTGAACTGCTCAAAATTTCCGCTACCGGTTCTCCAAACTGCTCAAAATTTGTACTACCGGTTCTCTGAACTGCTCAAAATTTCCACTACCGGTTCTCTGAACTGCTCAAAATTTCCACTACCGGTTCTCTGAACTGCTCAAAATTTCCACTACCGGTTCTCTGAACTGCTCAAAATTTCCACTATCGGTTCTCTGAACTGCTCAAAATTTCCGCTACCGGTTCTCCGAACTGCTCAAAATTTCCGCTACCGGTTTTCCAAACTGCTCAAAATTTCCGCTACCGGTTCTCCAAACTGCTCAAAATTTGTACTACCGGTTCTCTGAACTGCTCAAAATTTCCACTACCGGTTCTCTGAACTGCTCAAAATTTCCACTACCGGTTCTCCGAACTGCTCAAAATTTCCACTATCGGTTCTCCGAACTGCTCAAAATTTCCGCTACCGGTTCTCCGAACTGCTCAAAATTTCCGCTACCGGTTCTCCGAACTGCTCAAAATTTCCACTACCGGTTCTCCGAACTGCTCAAAATTTCCACTATCGGTTCTCTGAACTGCTCAAAATTTCCGCTACCGGTTCTCCAAACTGCTCAAAATTTCCGCTACCGGTTCTCCGAACTGCTCAAAATTTCCTCTACCGGTGCTCTGAACTGCTCAAAATTTCTGCTACTGGTTCTCTGAACTGCTCAAAATTTCCACTGCCGGTTCTCCGAACTACTCAAAGTTTCCGCTACCGGTTCTCCAGAACCTGTCAGAACCTACTGGATTTCACCCCTGACCAAAATAGTTCATTGAGCTCAGTCAATTCAATTTATTACCGTCATAGAACAACTAAAAAGCACTCAATAAATATCCAATGAAACATTCTAGAATAAAATTGGAATTGATCATTGAGCTCATTAGGCTTGAGGTCAGTTTTATACACGGCGTAAAACAAATTAGGGTTTGTAAATCCTTTTCCATGTAAAATAAATGTGTGAAATAGTTAGGGCACATTTTTTTTGTTACTGAGTTTGGAGGAAACTGCTAGGAATGTCGCAGGAATGAATATCTCAGAATAGCGCAAATTTGTCATACTGGTATGAAAGCTTCATTCAAGTGTGTATGTGTGTGTGCGTAAGTGAGTGTGTGTTTTTGCACAAGCCCTTTCATCAACCTTTCATCAAGATCCCAGATCTGCGCACCTTCCATCGCACGCTTAAAACTTTTTTATTTCATCAAGCTGGCCTGGCCTAAATCTTCTCCCCTTTTAAATATAAATTTTAAATACAAATTTTAATCTGTTTAAATTATGGGGTATTTTAAATTCAGTCAAATTATTTAATTTGTTTTTAATTTATTTTAAATTTTTGTATTTCTGTGTTTTTATCTTCTGGCTGTTCACCGCCCTGAGTCCTTCAGGAGAAGGGCGGTATAGAAATTTAATAAATAATAATAATAATAATAATAACCTGATGCCCCACCGGATTAACTCAGATCCAAAACTGTTGGTTTGGGCTTTTAAAGAAGCCTTGGTGGTACAGCGGACTAAAGTGCTGTTAAGTAGCACTTAGCTGCCAGCTGCCTGCAATTACTGCGAGTTCAAATCTCACCAGGCTCAAGGTTGACTCAGCCTTCCATCCTTCCGAGGTAGGTAAAATGAGGACCCGGATTGTGGGGGCAATAAGCTGACTTTGTATAAAAAAGAACACCGCTTAGGGGGGGCCGAAAGCCCTACTAAGCAGGTATATACAAAAGTATGAAGGCTATTGCTTAACGCGTTGTAAGGCGCCCTGAGTCTCCGGAGAAGGGCGGCATATAAATTGAACCAATAAATAATAAAAGTCTGCAACCTTAAACACTTAAAGAGCCGTTTGGACCCGTTTCCCACAGAAAAAAAAACACCGGGAGCCACAAAACCTGGGTGGGCGTGGCCAACTCGATGTCACTCACTTCTACCAGTCACATGACCCTCTAGCCACGCCTACCCAGGCGGTCATTAGGGCAGAGAACTGGTTGTTAAAAACACCGGGAACCACAAAACCCTTTTGACATCTCTCTCTGTCTCTCTCCCGCCCCACTCTCTCCCTCTCTCCCCATCTCTCTCTCTGTATCTCTCTATGTCTCTCTCTCTCTCCCTCTCTCTGTATCTCACTGTCTCTACCCCGGCCACTTCTCCATCACCCGCCATCGCCCTTACCTTCTCAGGCCAGGCAAGGAGTGACAGGGAGGGGAGGGTGAGGGGCGGGACCAGCCAGTGGTGGGTTCACCCGACAGGGAGCCACAGCAGAGGGCCCAAAGAGCCTCATGCGGCTCCGGAGCCGCAGGTTGCTGACACCTGTTCTATGTCTATGGAGATTCTCCGTCATCCAGGTCATGATTGAGGTGCTTTTTCAAGAGACAAATGGACTTTCTGGTTTTTCCTTTGAAGGCGTTTCACTTCTCAAACCAAGAAGCTTCATCAGTTCTGACTGGAGGATGGTGGGGAAGGGAAGGATTTATACTCCTTGCAGACAGCTGGTCATTTGTATCCTTTTAGAGAGTCGTTGAGGCCACTTGGAGGTTTATCTGTGACTTCAGGGTCACCTGAGTGGTGATAATAAGTGTAGAGCCTTCTTGGAACTGTTGAAAGGACTTGTGTTGTAGACTGGAGATAGGTGACCCTGAGGACAAACCTCCAAGTGTCCTCAACGGCTCTCTAAAAAGAATGCAAATGACCAGCGGTCTGCAAGGAGTATCAATCCTTCCCTTCCCCACCATCCAGCCAGAGCCGAAGAAGCTTCTTGGAGGAGAAGCGAAACATCTTCAAAAGAAAAAACAAGAAAAGTCCAGTTGACTCTTGAAAAAAAAGCACCTTTGGGCTCCCAACGAATACCCTCGAAACAAAAGTCGGTTAAAATGGATATTTTTTTAAAAAAGAGTTTTGAGCCAATTGTTTCTGTTTTGCTTTTAGGCGATCGTCCTGGTTCACTGGCTGCTGACCTTATGGTGAGTGACACAGTTGTGCACGGGAATTTGTGGAAAAGATTGTGGAGAATTTTGCAACGGGTACCTTGGCCACGGCACAGGGATCCCTTCCATAATGTTGCATGTTAAACTACCGGGTTTCCCCAAAAACAAGACATCTCCTGACAGCTTTTTCCTTGTCTTGCCTTTCAAGATCGCAAGCCTCCCTTGCATGTTTTGGAAGGCTTGTTAATAGTCTGATCTCATGGGCTAACAGAGCAGAAAACATCTAAGGATGGCTTTATAAAGCCTTAGTTAAGGCCACATCTGGAATACCGCATCCAGTTGTGGTCACCACCTTACAAATAAGATGTTGAGACTTTGGAAAAGGTGCAGAGAAGAGCAACTAAGATGATCAAAGGCAGTGGTGGGATTCAGCCAGTTCGCACCTATTCGGGAGAACCGGTTGTTAACTTTCTAAGTAGTTCGGAGAACCGGTTCCTGGAAGAAATCTTATTTTTTCCCACTTTACAGGGCTAATCCTGTAAGGAAGGCAGGAAGGAAACATTCTGGTGGTGTTTCTAGCCTAATCTTTATTGCCTTGCTTATAGAAACTGCCTCTCGGGTTAACCCTTATTACATTGTAACAGTAAGGTGAAGCGCCCATCGACGTGAGTGACATTGAGTTGGCCACACCCACAGGGTCACATGACCACCAAGCCATGCCTACCAGCTCTAGGGTAGAGAACCGGTTGTTAAATTATTTGAATCCCACCACTGATCAAAGGCCTGGAGACTAAAACATATGAAGAACGGTTGCAGGAACTGGGCATGGCTAGTCTAGAGAAAAGAAAGATTAGGGGTGACATGACAGCGGTATTCCAGTATTTGGGGGGCTGCCACAAAGAGGAAGGGGTCAATTCTTGTGCTCCAAAGCACCAGAAGGCAGGACAAGAAGCAACGGAGGGAAACTAAGCAAGGAGAGAAGCAACCTGGAATTAAGGAGAAACTTCCTAACAGTGAGGAGAATTAACCGGTGGAACAGCTTGCCACCAGAAGTTGTAGGAGGTTTTTAAGAAGACTCACTGAACAGTCATTTGTCTCAAGTTTTATAGGGTCTCCTATTCCAACTCTATTCTGATTATTACCACTTTTAAGTTACATGATTACAGGTAGTCCTTGACTTACGACCACAAGTAAGCCCAACATTTCTGTCGCTACGTGAGACATTTGTTAAATGAATTTTGCTGCCCCATTTTACAACCTTTCTTTCCACCGTTGTTAAGTGAATCTGGCTTCCCCATTGACTTCGCTTGTCAGGTCGCAAACGTTGATCCCACACACACCCATATTTACGCGATTGTCATAAATATGAGTCAATTGTCAGTTGTGATCACGCGATCACGGGGGACGCCACAACGGTGTTGGGTGTGAAAAGCAGTCCTAAGTCGGTGCCGTGGTAACTTCCAACGGTCACTAAATGAGCTGTTGTAAGTCAAGGACAATGTATATTGCATTTATTATTTGGATTTATATCCTGCCCAGGCCAGTGTTTATAGTCCGGCTCCTACTTTTCCTCACAACAACCCTGTGAGGTAGGTTGGGCATGGCAGAGGGCATGGATCGAACCGTCTTCTCTTTTTCCAGGGGCTGCATGGAGCCCTGGTTACCAGACACATACAGCTGGAGCAACTTCACCGTGCTGGCCCTGGGCGTCTGGGCCATTGCGCAGCGAGACTCGGTGGATGCCATCTTCATGGTTGGTGAATTTTTGTTGGGGTTTTGATTCAGTAGCCAACCGGAAGAAAGGTTAACGTGAACGGGGAGACTTGCGGAAGTTGGGGTTAGGCATATAAAGGGGTTAGTCCCACTATATAAGGCCACACCTGTTGTGGCCCACCAGTGGCCAGCGGATCTGGCAGCAGATTGGGACAGTGAGGAGGTTGGGGAGGAACATGGGCCAGTCCTGGAGTCTGGGGAAGGCTCTGATGAGGGCTCTGCGTCGGAGGCAGAGAGGGGGCCAGGGCCGTCTGACAGTTATCAGCTGCCTTCAGAGTCAGACATCAGTGAGGCAGAGGAACAGCTGGAGCCTGTTCCCTGTGTGCGCATGCACAGAGCTGCCAGACGAAAGGAACAGCTGAAGAACAAGGGTCGACTCAGGAGTAAAGCCACAGGTGGACGATGAAGGGCTCCTCCCAGAGGGAATAAAAGAGGAGCAAAACGGGAGGGGGAAGCCTACGTCAGAATAACACCTGGAATACTACTTCCAGGTTTGGTCACCACGATATTAAAAAAGGGGCTGAGACTCTACGACAGAGGTGTCAATCTCAAGGCCTGCGGACCAGGTGTGGCCCACGGGGTGTTTAGATCTGGCCCGCAGGGCCACCGCCCTGGAAACAGCAAAGGACCGGCCCGTGGTGCCTCTGCCAGTGAAAACGGAGCTCGGGAGGGCAGCCCTACCGGGCTCCGTTTTTGGCTGCAACGGCCTCCTGCAGCCCTCTGCCAGCAAAAATGACTCCCCCCCTCTCAGAGCTCCGTTTTCGGTGGCAGAGGGCTAGCCAAACAGAACTCAGAACCCCAACCAAACAAAAGGAGAAATGTTTCTCCTTTTTTGCATTTGAGCAATCCAAGAAAGGGGCAGGAAAGGAGAAAGGGAAAGAGGATGGACAAAGAAGGGAAGATGGGGAGAGAGAGAGCAAGGCAGGAAAAAGAAGGAAAGTGGGGAAGGAAGAAGAAAGGAGAAGGAAGAAGGAAGGAAAAAGAAGAAAAGTAAGGGAGGGAGGGAGGATATAATGAGAGGGAGGGTTCGGGAGAACCTCTAGCTAAGATTCTGTGCAGTTCGGAGAGCCCCCAAATCCCACTCCTGGCTGGCCCCACCTGCCCCGCCCCTCCCAGGAGTCCCCACGCGGCCCGTTTGGATGCAGGTAAGTGCAGGGCGCGTGGGGAGGCTTGGGGAGGGTGAAAAACGGGACTACTGGAAGTTCGGGAAGGGTGGAAACGAGCCTGTTTCTGGCATCCAGAGGGCCTCGGGAGCCTGGGGAGGCCATTTGTGCCCTCCTGGAGGCTCGAGGAAAGCTTCCGGAGCCTGGGGAGGGCAAAAAGCCCCCACCCCCACCCGCGCCATGGTGCAGGAGGCTGACTAGGCCACGCCCACCTAGCACCTGGGCAGAGAACCCCTTGCTAAAATTTTTGAAGTCCACCGCTGGGTCTGAGGGAAGTCCTGCCTTAGCCCTTTGCCACCACAGGTGCCCCGGACACAAGTGACATTGAGCTTGCCATGCCCCCCCAGCCCCTCCCCCCCAAAGTCAAACACAACTCTGATGGTGGCCCTCAATGAAATCGAGTTTGACACCCCTGCTCTAGGAAGAGTGCAAAGAAGAGCAACAAAGAGGATTAGGGGACTGGAGGCTAAAACATACCAATTGTAGGAATTAGGTTTGTCTAGTCCAGGGGTCAGCAACCTGCGGCTCCGGAGTCGCATGCGGCTCTTTGGGCCTTCTGCTGCGGCTCCCTGTCAGGTGATACCACCACTGGCTGGCCCCACCCCTCGCCCTCCCCTCCCAGTCATTCCTCACCTGGCCTGAGAAGGTAAGGGCGACGGTGGGGGATGGAGAAGCGGCTAGGGCAGAGACAGAGAGATACAGACAGAGGGGGAGAGAGAGAGAGAGACGGAGAGAGGGGGGAGAAGGGGAGGGAGGAGAGATGTCAAAAGAATTTTGTGGTTCCCGGTGTTTTTGAACAACCGGTTCTCTGCCCTAATGACCGGCTGGGTAGGCGTGGCTAGGTGGGGTGTCATGTGACTGGTGGAAGTGAGTGACATCGAGTTGGCCACGCCCACCCAGGTTTTGTGGCTCCCGGTGTTTTCTTTTCTGTGGGAAACACATCTAAATGGCTCTTTTGAGTATTTAAGGTTGCAGACCCCTGGTATAGTCCAGTGAAGAGAAGGACCAGGGGAAACAAGATAGCAGTCTCCCAATATTTGAGGGGCTCCCCCCCCCAAAAGAAGAGGGGGGGCAACCTATTCTCCAAAGCGCCCAGAAAGCTGGACAAGAAGCAATGGATGGAAGCTTCTAAAGGAGAAATTTTCCTGGCCATGAGAATAATTAACCCTAACCTTAACCCTAACCACTTGCCTCTAGAAGTTGTGAGTGGAAGTTTTTAAAGAAGAGATTAGACAACCCTTGGGATCGAAATGGGATAAAGCCATGATGGCGAACCTACGGCACGCGTGCCCAAAGTGGCACGCAGAGCCATGCTTCCTGGCACACGCGGCATCATCCGTTCCTCTTCCGGGTTTCTGGCACGCGTTCGTGCACGCAACAATCAGCTTGCCTTTTTGCATGCGGCAGTGGCATAGAAGACCTGGTCTTCCGTTTTCCTGTGTGAGCGTGCGCGCCGGCCAGCTGATCGTCGCCTGCGCGTGCGCTCCAGAAACCCAGAAGAGTAGCTGGCTGAAACCGGAAGTTCAGTAGCTGAAACCGGAAGTTCATTTTCGGGCACGCACATCAGTAGTGGGTTTTAAAAATTTTCGCTACTGGTACGGTGGGCATGGCTAGGTGGGGAACGCATGTGACTGAGTGGGCGTGGCCGACTTGATGTCACTCACATCCACTCAGTCACATGATACCCCCCCACCTAGCCACGCCCACAGAAAAAGGTAGGAAAATTTTTGGAATTTCCACCCCGCCCTCCCTCCAGTCACTCCCGTTTCCCCTCCTTTGCCGCCCCTGGCCTTAGCCCCGCTTCCTCCCACACCACCGCCTCTTTGTTTGGGCTGCTTACCTTCCGTGGCGGCTGGTCCAGAGTCTGGAAGGCAAGCTGATTGGAGTTTTCAGCGGCCCCCGAAAAGTACCGGAGTTCGCGGAAAAAGCTGCTGCCGTCGCCATGTTCATTGGGCTTGCAAGGCAATGGGATGCGCGTGCGCGAAGAACATGGCGACAAACATGGCGGGCGGGGTGAGCGAGCAGCAACCGGGGGAACTGTTCAGGGGCGTGGCCAGCCACCCATCGTTACCAGTTCGGCAACCTTGGCCAAATTTCTGCCAACGGTTCGTGCGAACCGGTGCAAACCGGCTGAATACCATCTCTGGTGCGCATGCACCCTGGGCAGCTCTTCTTCTGGGTTGCGGCGCAGATGTGTGCACGCACGCTTCCTTTTCGGCACTCGGTGCCAAAAAGGTTCACCATCACTGGGATAGGGTCTCCTGCCTGAGCAGGGGGTTGGACTAGAAGACCTCCAAGGTCCCTTCTAACTCTGTGATTCTGTTGTATTCTGTTGACGATGCTCTTCGGGTGTGTTTCCTTCTCTAGTTCCTGACCGGCTTGCTGTTGACCATCCTGACCGACATTGTCCACTTCAGCCTCTACTACCAGTTCGTGAAGCTGACCGATACCTTGCGCTTCTGCACCGGCATGGCTATTTTTAGCCTCCTCCTCAAGCCTTTGTCCTGTTTCTTCGCCTACCAGATGTACCGAGAACGGGGTGGAGAATACGCCCTGAACCTAGGTAAGCTGGGGAAAGTCTCACATCACCAAATCCCGGTCCTCGGCCCGGTCCGGTCTCCGTCAAGAGTGGAGTTTTCATCCCACTTGGGTCTATTTTCCTGCGCAAACTGGGAAATGATCGGTTTCCGTCGTGTGCACCAAGCCCGTTCTGGGGAGGGGGTGTCTTTTATTTGGTTTCTCTTCCGTTGCAGAGCCGGAGAGCCCACCGGACCGCTGGTTGATCTGGGATAGTAATGTTTCCAACACTTTGTCCCTCCTGCATGGCTTTTGAAGTCAACTTTCCTCTTTAATTTATTGGTTGTTTCCCTTGGACTGTGGCTTGCTGCTTGCGAAGGGCCTCCTCCTCCTCCTCCTCCTCCTCCATTGTTTCCTTTCCTTCTTCTTCTTCTCCTCCTTTATTTCCTTCTCCACTTCTCTTTCATCTTCTCTTTCTCCTTCAGTTTTCCTTCTCCTCCATCTTTTCTTCCTCCTTCATCTTTTCTCCCCATCTTCTTCTCCTCCTTGATCTCCATCTCCTTCTCTTTCTCCATCTTCTCCACCTTCTTCATTTTTCTTCCCCATCTGCTTCTCCTTGTTTTCCTTCTCCATCTCCTTCATCTTCTCCTCCATCTTTTCTTCCTCCTCCATCTTTTCTTTCATCTTGCCTTTCTCCTTCATCTTTTCCTTCATCTCCTCCTCCATCTTCTTTTCCTCATCCATGCTCTCCTCTACCTTCTCTTTCTCCTTCACCTTTTCTTCCCAATGTATCCTTTTCTTTCCTTCATCTTCTCCTCTACCTTCTCCTTCAACTAGTTCTCCATCTTCTCCTCCACCTTCCCTTTCTCCTTCATCTTCTCCTCCATCTTGTCCTTCTCCCTCTTTTCTTTCATCTTCTCCATCTTCTCCTCCTCCTCCATCTTCTTTTCCTCATTCATGTTCTCCTCCATCTTCTCCACTTTCTCTTTCTCCTTCATCTCCTTCTCCATCTTCTCCTCCACCTTCCTTTTCTCCTTCATCTTCTCCTCCATCTTGTCTTTCTCCCTTTTCTTTCATCTTCTCCATCTTCTCTTCCTCCTCCATCTTCTCCTCCATGTTCTCCACCATCTTCTCTTCGTCATTCATGTTCTCCTCCATCTTCTCCACCTTCTCTTTCTCCTTCATCTTTTCTCCCCATCTTCTCCTTCTCTTTCTCCTCCATCTTCTCCTCCACCTTCTCTCCCTGCTGTTAGAAACGCTGTAAGTGGAGGCCCAAAGCCCTCTGAACCTCAAGAGTATCTTCGTGGATGCAGAAGTAGAAGTTTAATCCTCTTCCAAGACGCTAGCTTTTTTCTTCTTCTCTGCTACAAGGGAGCACAACTGGGTCTTTATTTAGATACCTGTCCCGTAACACGGAGGCTGCAAATGTACAATATTAAAGCAAGATTTTGCAAAGATGTGTGATCAGCTGATTCCAGATCCAAGCATTTATTGTTTCTACACGGGGGAAACCTTGATTTTGCTCAAGTGTGAGGAGTTACTAATTGAGGAACAATGGTGCAAATTGTCTGTGTGTTCTTTTGCACTGTCTCTCTCAGAAGACACGAAGACCTGGGCAGGATCAGGCCTCCCTTCGCAACCGCACGCATTATTTCCAGATCCTTAGAAAAATTGTAAACAGGAAGTAGGTCCAAAAACACACTTTCCCTTGCCTCTTTGGTCCATCTAAGCATCAAATTGTCTAAAGATGACCTGGTGGCAATGGGAATGGACTCCAAGTCCCATCATTCTCCACAACCCTTGCAAACAACTGCTGGGCTTTAAGAATCCCATAATATTCAGATGTCTCCCTATTCAGGCAAGGAGCTGCTTCTAGTTATATTTTTCCTCAGATTCTCCCAAATGGGACCGTTTTATACGGGATAAGAGCTCTGGAGTTTGAAACCAAATTCAGCCCCAGTTTGTGTGTTATTTATTTATTTAATTTATTTTATTTATTTATTTTATTCTATCTATCTATCTATCTATCTATCTATCTATCTATCTATCTATCTATTGGTTCGATTTATATGCCGCCCTTCTCCGGAGACTCAGGGCGGCTTACAATGCATTAAGCAATAGCCTTCATACTTTTGTATATACCTGCTTAGTAGGGCTTTCGGCCCCCCCAAAGTGGTGTTTTTTTTATACAAAGTCAGCTTATTGCCCCCACAATCCGGGTCCTCATTTTACCTACCTCGGAAGGATGGAAGGCTGAGTCAACCTTGAGCCTGGTGAGATTTGAACTCGCAGTAATTGCAGGCAGCTGGCAGCTAAGTGCTACTTAACAGCACTTTAGTCCGCTGCTCCACCAAGGCTCACGAGTGTCCCAAAGACCCAGGGAAATAAGCTTCCTTAAGGTAGACTGCCTCCTGCTTAGGAGGTTTTATTTGCCGCACATCTTTTTGGCTTGGCTGCTGTTGCAATTTACTCCCATGTTTCCAGTCTACGTTGAGTCAAATTTCATCAATTCGGTGGTGCAACGGGCTGTAGCTACGAGGCCCTGTTTCCAAATGGGGTTTGGGCCGTGCCTTTGAACCAAAGTCAACCCACCCAACGCCATTTGGAGTTGCAAGAACTGTGGGGTACCTAAAAAGAGACGGCCAACCAAATACACCTAGCTAAGTTGGCATAGATCCGTAATGGTGAACCTATGGCACGCGTGCCGGAAGTGGCACGCAGAGCCATCTCTCCGGGCATGCGAGCCTTCAGCTGCTGCTCTTCCGGGAGCACCGGAAACCGGAAAAGCAGCAGCCCGGTATACATGCACGCGCTGGGAAAATGATCTTCCGGTTTCTGGCGAGCACCAGCTGGTCACACACACATGCGTGCCACAAATCGGAAGACCAAGTAGCCGGTGTGCATGGATGAACTGGAAACCGGAAGAACGTCTTGCCGGTGCGCAGATGCGCGCCGGACGACTGCTCTTCCGGTTTTCCGGCACATGCGCGCGCGCGCCAGGGGTGAAATGTAAAATTTGTTACTACCGGTTCTGTGGGCGTGGCTTGGTGGTGGTGGGGTAATGTGACTGGGTGGGCGTGGCTAACTTTTTTTAAAAAAAACTTTTCAAAGCATTTTTTCTAATGCTTTGAAAAGCCTCTGCCGATCAGGCAACTCAGCTGGGATCGTCAGAGAGGCTTTTTAAAAAATGCCTCTCTGCCGATCAGGCAACTCTGCTGGGATCGTCAGAGACATTTTTTCGTTGGAAGAAGTTGTAGAAAAAATGCTTTTAAAAGTAAAAAAAAAAAAGCCTCTGATGATCACGCAGCTCAGCTGGGCATGGGGGGCGGTGGGCAGGGATTTTTGCTACCGGTTCTACAAACCACCCACCGCCATCGCTACCGGATCAGGCGATCCGGTCCAAACCTGGAGCATTTCACCCCTGGCACGCGCGCTCCCATTTCAGCACTCTGTGCCGAAAAGCTTCGCCAACACTGGCATAGGTGATGCTGCCAGACACCGATCTGGCCATAAAGCCTCTTCTCCATTTAGTGACGCTGGACTGGGAAGAACTGTGAGGGAAGCGAGGCCTGTCCACTAAAACCTGTTTCCATCTCACCTTTGCAGGTGTGTTCGGCGTCAGCCAGGATACCAGCGCCTACCAATCTATTGATACGCCAGACCCCCCACGCCCGTACCCCAATGTGGCGAGCAAGGGACCGCCTCCACCTTCTTACTGACGGGCTTTGGGGGACCCTGAAGAAGCTGGTCTCTCTTCACGTCTTCTTTGGAAAGGAAACTGGCCTGTTTTCTCCCGGTCTGCTGTTCTGTCGAATGGAGGAAACACTGAAGAGAAAGTTTTTTTTCCTGGCCAAAAATTCAGGCGAGGCTCTGTCCGGCTCCGCCTTCCAACCGTGAGGAGAATCTTTAAAATGTGAATATTCGCCATTTTGTTTCATCTCTTGCCTGGGTTGCCGAGTTTCTAAATCAGTGCAAAGGAATCTTGAATGGAGGTGATATTCCACGCTGGCGTTCTTCGCATGGACTTGACAGACCGCCCCTCCCCCCCAAAAATGTGCGTTTCATCAGGCAAAAAGCACGTGTTTCCGTGGTGTCGTACAGCGTGGCTTGTGGCATCGGTGGCCGACCTGGCCTGGCTGATGTTTCCAGAAGACGGCGGTTGGAGGAGCGGCTGAAAGTCGTAGAGAGAGGCGGTGAACGTTATCGCAAACGCCGCCTCAAACGGCAATTTCTTTTATTCCCATCGATTGCTTTTAAGAGTACCTTCTTCATTTTCTTTTCTCTGGGATTTGATTTTCAGGGAGAATTAAACAAGCTTTTTCTTTTCTTTTTCTTTTTTTTTAATAAAATGTTTCTCAATCCATTTTCAAAAGGTCTCCGTGGCTCCGTTTTGTCGGGGTTGAGTTTGCAAAATTTCCGTGGTCCTCCTCACGAAGAAGCCGTTTGGGAGAGAAAAATAAAAAGGAAAAAAATGCAGTATTGGGGATGTGGGGAGGGGTCTCTTGTACTCCAACTTCCATCTGCCACTGTCAGTAAGACCTGGAACTGCATCAACTAAGAAAAAAAAGAGTGAATTTGAAGGATGCTCTTCAGTCCTGTTTTTTCCCCAGAAGATTTATTTACTGTTTAAAACCCTTTTAAAAAAGGGTTTTAAAAAATCAATTTTCTTTTGATTGCCAACTTGGTTTGTTTCTGGAATCTCAATTCAACTCAGTAAGGGATCTTGGAGGTCATTTAGTCCGACCTGTACTAGGGATTTGAACTGCCGACTTTTCTGAGTGACAAGCTCCGTGTCTTAGCCCCTGAGCCATCTGGAGGAGGAGGCTTGGATTACAGCTCCCAACATTCCCAGCGAGGGTGGGAATGATGGGAGTTGTAGCTGAACACCCCATCTCTACATGGGGCTCCCCTTGAGGAGCACCCGGAGGCTCCAACTGGCGCAGAGTGCGGCCGCGCGGGTGGTTATGGGAGCAACATGGCGCTCCCATGTGACACCTCTCCTGCGCGAGCTGCACTGGCTCCCGGTGGTCTTCCGGGTGCGCTTCAAGGTTCTGGTTACCAGCTTTAGAGCGCTCCATGGCTTAGGGTCTGGTTATTTACGGGACCGCCTACTACCACAAGCAGCCTCCCACCGGCTGGTACGCTCTCATAGAGAGGGGCTCCTCCGGGTGCCGTCAGCTAAACAATGTCGACTGGCGGCCCCCAGGGGGAGGGCCTTCTCTGTGGGGGCACCCACTATCTGGAACGAGCTCCCCCCAGAGATACGGAGGATCCCGGATCTACGCACTTTCCGCCGTGCTCTTAAGATTCTCCTATTCCAGCAAGCCGGCCTGGCCTAATTTTCTCCCCTGTTTTAAAATTCTTTTACGTTGAAATTTTAATTTGTTTTAAATTATTGGGATTTTTTAATTGTCTCGGGCTAAATTATTTAATCTGGTTTTAATTATGTCTTTTAACTTTTGTATTTATGTATTTTATTTTGTGCCTGTTCATCGCCCTGAGCCCTTCGGGAGTAGGGCGGTATATAAATCTAATGAAAGAAAAGAAAAGAAAAGAAAGAAAAGGGGAAAATTAATTTACGGGATACGGATTCCTCGTTGCCGCAAATTATCACACACCGTGGAACCAAAAGGAGTGTGGACAAAGGATACAGAGTGAAATCCAAAGGCAGCTGGGTTTGAAGAAATGTCAATTTTTTTTTAAAAAAAGATGTTTCGCTAAAGTTAAAAAAAAATAAAAGCAGTAAATTGCCCCTTTAGAAAAAATGCAAGCGTTAAAACTTGGACGGTGTCATTTTTGCCTTATAGTTTTTCTTCTTCTGCTTTGGAGATTTTGTACAAGCCTTATTTCTTTTTTTTTCTTTTTTTTCCTTTCCGTACTGGCAAATTTAGAGCGTTTATTATGTCAATTGAAAGACTGGTGTTCAAAACAAACCAGGTTTGTTGTAAAACTTAGGCTGTTTTTTCTTTCCCTCCCACTTGATGGAGCTGAATGGGAGCTGTCCTCCTGAAGTCCTTGAGTTGTGAGGAAAAATTCTTGTTTTTGTGCTCAAGGAGGTTAATCCATATTTGTTTTTGGAAATGGGAAGTGTGTAGTTCAATTTTGGGTAGTTGTGGACCCTAACCGATCCCCCCAAAGTATTTTTTTAAAAAAAAGAATAGTGAAGGATGGACGAGGAGGCGCGAACGCCGTTTCTGAATGCCGGTGAGGTACAGCTACTTACAAGAGTTAATTTAGTGACCCATCCAAAGCAACGACGGCGCTGGGAAGAGTGACGTACGACCATTTTTCACACTTATGACCACTGCGGCGCCCCCACGGTCATGTGATCAAAATTCAGCCGCTTGGCAAATGACTCATATTTATGACCGTTGCAGTGTCCCGGGGATCCCCTTTTGCAATGTATGGTTAAAGCAATGGGGAAATCCAATTTTTTTTTGCTACCGGTTCTGTGGGCGGGGCGGGGCTTGGTGGGCTTGGCAGGGGAAGGATACTGCAAAATCTCCATTCCCTCCCCACTCCGGGGGAAGGATACTGCAAAATCTCCGTTCCCACCCGACTCCAGGGGAAGGATACTGCAAAATCTCCATTCCCTCCCCACTCCAGGGGAAGGATACTGCAAAATCTCTGTTCCCACCCACTCCAGGGGAAGGATATTGCAAAATCTCCATTCCCTCCCCACTCCAGGGGAAGGTTACTGCAAAATCCCCATTTCCTCCCTTATCAGCTGGGACTCAGGAGGCAGAGAATAGATGGGGGCGGGGCCAGTCAGAATTTTTACTCCTTCTCTCACTGCCTCCCTCTCTCAAACTCACTCACTGCCTACCCCCCTCTCCCTCCCCCTCCCTCCCTTCTCTCTCCCTCTGTCTCCCTCCCTCTCACTGCCTCCCTCTCTCAAACTCACTCACTGCCTAACCCTCTCCCTCCCCCTCGCTCCCTCCCTTCTCTCTGTCTCCCCCTCTCTGACTCCCTCCCTCTCTCACTGCCTGCCCCTCCCTCCCTCCCCCTCCCCATCTCTGCCTCCCTCCCTGGAAATCAGCTATTGTGTCAGTATTGTATTTTGTTGTGTATAGTAACAATCAGATAAATAACATTGCAACATAACCATGGCCCATTCATTGTAGCAACCCTTCTTAATCATTTTTACTATCCTTTTTACTAAATGGTACAGGGGTACTCCTCGAATTTGCAAATTTGCCGGTTTTCTGAACTACTCAAAATTTCTGCAACCGGTTCGCCAGAACCGGCTGAAACCCATCTCTGGATTAAAGGCATTGTTGGACGAGTCTTCCCTTCCCTTGGGCTATACAAGGGGTCTCAAGTTCAAAAGACCCGCGGGGTGCTTAAATGCAGCCCATGGGGCCAGCCTGGAAATAGCGAAGGACTGGCTCGCGGTGCCTCTGGAAGCCAAAATGGGGCACAGGGTGGGTCTCATGTACCCCCTTGCCCCGTTTTGGCTGGCAGGGGGCTGCAGGAGGCTGTCCAGGCCACAAATGGGATGCAAGGGGGCTCCCAAATAAAAGGGGAGGGGACTGGAACACAACCTGGGGAATTTCCTTTTCAAGTTTTGAAAAGTTTGAAAACTTTGCAAGTTTTGAAAAGTTTGAAAACTTTGCAAGTTTTCATTTCCTCGTTTCCAGATTTATTTATTTTTTTGACCCCGTGGGGCATGAAGCCTTCCTTCACACGTGCTTTCCATCCCGGATCATCTTCCTCCTCGCGAAATGCTCGCAATCGAGGGCTAAAACTCGCTTGGGCATCCTCGGCCGTCGCGGCCTCCCTGCCGGCCCCCTTCCCGAGGCTGCCGGCGCCCGCGGCCGTGCGAAACCCCCTTATAGCCCCCCCTCCCGCTGCATTTCCGTCCGTTTAAAAGCCGGCGGGGGGGGGGGGGGGGGGGGGGGGGGGGGGGAGACGCTTCAACGGAAAAGGGGGGGGTCGTTTTCATTCTTTCCCTCCCCTCCCCCGCCTCCTCCTGCCTCGCTTTTTCGACAGGTAGCAGCAGATCTACTTCGCTAAGCGAGACAGCCGCGCAGGTGAGTGAGCTGCTCCCCCACCTTTGCTAACTTTCTTAAAAGTTGTTCCGTCAAAGGGGTGGAGGGGTGTTTGCATCTACAGCTCTGCCCCTCCCCAAATAAATCTTTAGATATATACAGAGAGAAAGAGAGAGTGATGGATGGATGGAGAGAGAGAGAGAGAGAGAGAGAGAGAGAGAGAGAGAGAGAGATGGATGAGATAGATAGATAGATAGATAGATAGATAGATAGATAGATAGATAGATGATAGATAGGAGATAGAGATAGATGGATGGATGGATGATAGAGATAGATTGATCAATTGATAGATGATAGAGATAGATAGATAGATGATAGAGATACAGATGGATGGATGGATGATAGATATAGATAGATAGATAGATAGATAGAGATAGATAGATAGATAGATAGATAGATAGATAGATAGATAGATGATAGATATGAGAGAGATGGATGGATGGATGATATAGATATAGATAGATTGATCGATTGATAGATGATAGGGAGAGAGAGATGATAAAGATGGATGGATGGATAGATAGATGATAGGTAGATGATTGATAGATGATAGATTGTCATTGATTGATAGATATAGATCTATAGATTAATAGATAGATAGATAGATAGATAGATAGATAGATAGATAGATAGATATGAGAGAGATGGATGGATGATATATAGATAGATAAAGATATAGATTGATTGATAGATGATAGATAGATAGATATGAGAGAGATGGATGGATGATATATAGATAGATATAGATTGATTAATAGATGATAGAGATAGATAGATAGAGATGATAGATAGATAGATAGATAGATAGATAGATAGATAGATAGAGATAGATAATGATAGATACAAAAGAGAGAGAGATGACAGGGATGGATGGATGGATGGATGGATAGATATGATAGATGATAGATAAATAATAATAGATAAGAAAGATAGATGATAGATAGATAAGATGATAGATGTGAGATAGAGATGGATGGATGGATGATATAGGTAGAGATAGATAGATAGATAGATAGATAGATAGATAGATAGATAGATAGATGATTGATAGATAGATATGGATGGATGGATAGATAGAGATTGATAGATAGATGATATATATAGAGAGAGGGGGCATATATATATATATAAACTTTTGGAAACTGCTCTTTTCTTTTAATTTTTGCAAAATAATCCAAAAGTCCACTGAAACCAGCTTTTTTGGCCGGTGGGGAGGGACGGGGACCCCTTATATGAATAAATTAAAAGGAAAAAAAGTGTTGTTTCTTTTTTTTTTTTAGTCTTTCGGTTGTTGACTTAAAAGGCTTGGAAATGTTAAGTTTGCAAAACCGGGCCCGTTTCCAAAGGAAAAACAAAAGTTTTGATTGTTCTCCCTTTTGGATTGGGTGAGGGGGTGGGGGGGTTGTGTCAGGGTCACCAGATAGAATCCCGAATATTTTGCAAATATTTCTTGATAGCTGACCTTCCGTGTACACTAGTATAAATTGTTCTTTAAAAAAAAGAAAGAAAGAACAATAAATTCTTTAAAAGAAAAACCCAAGAGGGGGAGGATGCTAGTGCCTTTAAAAATGTAATGGGCTGATTGTCCCTCTCCAGCATGACTAGTGGCAAGGGATTATGGGTGCTGTAGTCTGTGATATCTAGAGGGCAGTGAATTTAAAGAGGATAGCGTAATAGAGAGGGAGCTGTTGCCGATTTTGGATTTATATATGAAGAAATCATACTGTACTGTGTCCTCTGAGCTTGGTGTTGTTTTCTTACCGATGTTTCGTTTACCCGCGTAGTTCACAGCTAGGAAGAAATCTCACAATGCACGCACCCAAGTTTCTAGTCCTCATTGCTTTGCAAGAACGAACTTGGAATGTTCCTGTAATGCCGTTTGCTTCCCTGGTTGTCCCCCATTTGTACAGAGGGAAGGACGGCCCCATTCGCTATAGCTCGAGACCCCCACCCCACCCCGCTTCCTGGCCTCCCACCACCCCAAAGCCGCATCGCAGCCCAACAATCCTGCGAGGTTGGCCTGCCTGTGATTCAGGCAACGCTTCTACCCAGACATGGAATCGGCCCAAAGGATCCAGACGGCTGCCAGGAAAGAAAATATACCCCCGGCTTTAAATTGCTATGGGGCCCCAAAAGGTAAGCTCTGGAGAATTGGGGGGTGGGGGTGGAATTTGGGAATATAATTTATATGCGGCCTTCAAAGGCTTTTGAATATCTTGTTCTTAGAAAGTGTCTTTTCCAGCCTTGGAATCCGTGTTCTTTTTCCGCTGAGACGCAATCTATCGGGGTTTGAGATAGACTGCCCCTGGACATGGAGGCTCCGTCAGAAATGCGGTGCCGGGAATAAACGCAACGCCTAACTTGGGTCCTTGGGGAAGGACTCGAGAGGTGGATAAACATGCCAAATCCTTGCCTCAAAACGGTTTGTTACGGCGCTGTGATACAGGTGTTCCTCGACTTACGGTCTTACACATTTAGTGACCGAAGTTACCGCAGCACGGAAAAAAAGGGACGGAGGACCGTTCGTCACACTTAACGACCGTCGCAGCATCCCCAAGGTCATGTGATCAGAATTCGAGACGCTTGGCAACTGGCTCATATTTTATGACAGTCGCAGCGTCCCGGGGTTATGCAATTCCCTTTTGCGACCTTCTGACGAGCAAAGTCCCTGATTCACTTAACAACTGTGGCGAGGTCGTAAAATGAGGCAAAACCCGCTTAACAGCCGTTTCCCTGAGCAATGGAAATTTTGGACTCCCTTGTGGTTGTAAGTCGAGGGTTATCAGTAGACTTGACTGTTGAGGGGGGTCACGTCCTATTTAGAGGTGGTATTCAGCCGGTTCAGACCGGTTCTGGTGAACTGGTAGCGGACATTTTGAGTAGTTCGGAGAATCGGCAAATATCACCTCTGACTGGCTATGCCCCCACCCGCCCCTCCCCTTCCCAGTTTTGGCTCCCAGATAAGTGCAGGGAGGCCTAGACTGGGGCACCCAATCGATCTATTTGGTGCCTCCCAGCTGATCGGCGTGGTCGGTCTATTGCTGCCTACCAGCTGATCGACCTGTTCTTCTTTTGTTGTCCTGCACAGGAGAACAGAGCTGGAAAGCAGGTTAGTGGGGTGTGGAGGGAATGGGTATTTTGCAGTATCTTTCCCCTGGAGTGGGGAGGGAATGGGGATTTTGCAATATCCTTCCCCCAGGAGTGGGGAGGGAATGGGGATTTTGCAGTATCCTTCCCCTGGAGTGGGGTGGGAATGGAGATTTTCCAGTATCCTCCCTCCTGGAGTGGGGAGGGAATGGGGATTTTGCAATATCCTTCCCCCTGGAATGGGGAGGGAATGGGAATTTTACAATATCCTTCCCCCAGGAGTGGGGAGGCAATGGAGATTTTGCAGTATCCTTCCCCTGAAGTGGGATGGGAATGGATATTTTACAGTATCCTTCCCCTGGAGTGGGGTGGGAATGGGGATTTTTCAATATCCTTCCCCTGGAGTGGAATGGGAATGGAGATTTTGTAGTATCCATACCCAGGAATGGGGAGGGAATGGGGGTTTTGCAGTATCCTCCCCCCTGGAGTGGGGAGGGAATGGGGGTTTTGCAGTATCCTCCCCCCTGGAGTGGGGAGGGAATGGAGATTTTGCAGTATCCTTCCCCTGGAGTGGGGTGGGAATGGAGATTTTGGGAATGGAGATTTTGCAGTATTCTTCCCCTGGAGTGGGGAAGGAATGGAGATTTTGCAGTATCCTTCCCCTGGAGTGGGGAGGGAATGGAGATTTTGCAGTATCCTTCCCCTGGAGTGGGGAGGGAATGGAGATTTTGCAGTATCCTTCCCCTGGAGTGGGGAGGGAATGGGGATTTTGCAGTATCCTTCCCCTGGAGTGGGGAGGGAATGGGGATTTTGCAGTATCCTTCCCCTGGAGTGGGGGGGGTTTTGCAGTATCCTTCCCCTGGAGTGGGGTGGGAATGGAGATTTTTCAATATCCTTCCCCTGGAGTGGAGTGGGAATGGAGATTTTGTAGTATCCTTGCCCAGGAATGGGAAGGGAATGGGGGTTTTGCAGTATCCTCCCCCCTGGAGTGGGGAGGGAATGGAGATTTTGCAGTATCTTTCCCCTGGAGTGGGGTGGGAATGGTGATTTTGCAGTATACCCCTTCCCCAGGAGTGGGGAGGGAATGGGGATTTTGCAGTATCCTTCCCCTGGAGTGGAGAGGGAATGGAGATTTTGCAGTATCCTTCCCCTGGACTGGAGAGGGAATGGGGATTTTGCTGTACCCTCCCCCCAGGAGTGGGGAGGGAATGGGTATTTTGCAGTACCCTTCCCCTGGAGTGGGGAGGGAATGGGGATTTTGCAGTATCCTTCCCCTGGAGTAGGGTGGGAATGGGTATTTTGTAGTATCCTCCCCCTGGAGTAGGGTGGGAATGGGGATTTTGCAGTATCCTTCCCCTGCCACGCCCATCAAGCCACACCATGCCCACCAAGCCACGCCCACAGAACCTGTAGTAAAAAAGAAATTGAACCCCACCACTGCTCCTATTCATAGAGAGTCTTAACTCTTGGGGGGGAAAGAGACGATGGGGTCCTTCTCCTCGACTCAACCCTTCGGCTTTTCACCTCTCCAGAGCAAAGGAAGATCCAGAAGAACATCAACATTCATCTACTCCTGTCCTCGGGAAGCCATCTTGGAGAGCTCTGGACCCAGACGAGTTCCAGCATCCATGGCTCAAATCTTCTGGGAGAAAACATCGAAAGAGGTTTACGAGTCCCGTCGGGAAGGAGACAGACCAGCGGCCTGTTCCAGACCAATCTCTTTTGCCCTCCCGGGGGTCTCGCCAAAGCCTCCTTGGTCCAGCAGCAAACCAACCTGGAGAAGAGAAGAAGATGGGAAGGTGGGACGTTAAAAAGGACCCCTCGGAGGGGCTTCCCAGAGAGGCCCCGCGACATTCCCAGGAATTCATCCGGAATGAAAAATAGAGAACAATATTTGCTGAAAGGACCACGGGAGCTCTTCACTGGGTCAAGAAGAAGCTATGAAGACCTCAAGGCCAAGAGAAAATCGTCCTCGCCCAGCCAATTCTCGTTGGATCCATCTCTTCATTCACTTCGGATGATCTTCAGTGGCATCAGTGACTCCTCACCTCCAGGACCGGCCCTTACTTTGGACAGTCTGGTTGATGGTCATTCTTCTCCTGAGGGATCTCGGACTTTCATAAGGTCTTCTCAAAGCTCTGCCGATCGGTGCTGGTCCCTCCATGGGCTTAAGAAGAAAAGGTCTTCCTTCTCTTGTGAATCCTGGTCACCTTCTTGGGTTCCTCAGCCAGCATGCGAGCCACAGAGCTCAACCTTGGCTATGCGAAAGGCCCAGTCTTCAGTGGAACGAAACTCCTCTGGGCAACTGAGAAGTAAATGGCCAACCATGCTTAGTTCCATCTTGTTGACATGTCAGGAAGACGACTCCAGTTGTCTGAGGAGCAGTTCAGGAACGCCACCGACTACAAACAAAATGGATGAGTTGCGGGACCAGGGCTACCTGAGGACACTTGGCCCAGAAGAACGTCCTTCTGGAACTTTCTGTGGCTCAGAGTTGTATCTCAAGAACCTTCCGCCGGATGTCTTCTCCCTCAGGAGTTTGGAGAGCTCCCTCAAGACGTTGTGTGCGGAGTCTTCTCCGAGGAGAAGGTTGTCCATGGATGACACCCACGAAGAGGAGCCACCAACTCTTGATCCTTCTGGAGTCCCGGAGGTCCCGTTAGGTCACCCCTTTGAGAAGAACGTTGGGGATTTTGCCACCCGTGAAGTTGGAGATAAGCATGGAGAAGCTGGTGGAGACCCCACCATCACCTCCTCTGTTGATGAGGCCAGTCTGTTGACAGCCCTTCAAAAGGTTCCTCTCTTTGAGGAAACCATCTGGAAGGGTCCCAGAAAAGGATCCCGGCCCATCAACACAACTGTCTGGCCACGACACCTTCAGAAAGATGGAGGTCCCCTCCGAGGATATTTTGTCCCACTGGAAATTAAGAAATTGGACAATGTTTTCAAAAGATGGCGTTCCCGCTGGGAGAAAAGGCAGCAGATTCGTCTGCTGGTGTTTCGAATCCAGACCAGGCTGATCGAGCGGTGAGTAGCTGTCCCTTACAATACAAGGTAGTCCCCGACTTACAACAGTTCATCGAGCAACCGTTTGAAATCACAACAGGATTGAAAAAAAGTGATTTACGGCTTTGTTTCACACGTATGACCATGCAGCGTCCCAATTTTAATCATGTGATTAAAATTCGGCCGCTTGGCAGCTGACTCGTATTTATGACGGTTGAGGTGCGACCTCCTAAAAAAGTAAAGTCAATGGGGAAGAGGGATTCACTTAACAACCGTGGGACTAACTAGACAGCTGTGGCAAGAGAGAGGTCGTAAAACGGAGCAAAATGCTCTTAGCCAATGTCTCGCTTAGCAACAGAAATGTTGGGCTCAATTGTGGTCGTTAAGTCGAGGGCTACTTGTATTTTGATGGTGTTTCTCCTCTTTTACTAAACCTGGTTATTATCAGTTCTTGCGTTCTCATTTCTACTGCTGATCATTTTAACCATGGTTTGTTGGCCTGAGCTAATATTACATGGATATTGTAGGTTAAGCCTAACAAACTAGGATGGCTTAAACAGGGCAGAGAACCTGGCGAGGTGTGAACGGTGCCCAAAGTCCTGTAATTTTAACTGTTGCTATATTTATAATTGGTTTTATATTTCTCTTTTTATTGCATTGTAAGCCACTTAAGAGTCGCTCTGGATAGCGGGATACAAATTTAATAAGTAAAAAACGAATAAGAATTGGCGGTTTGCTAAAACCGAGGCTTAATATGAGATGCTATCTGGACATTCCTTCCTTTTCCCCCACCTTCCCCGGATGAAGACCCTTCCCCCCAAGAAGAAACCCTGATTGATGGATTGGTCCTTTCTTGCTTACTTTTTGATTCTTGGATAGAAACTAAGCAAGGAGAGAAGCAACCTGGAATTAAGGAGAAACTTCCTAACAGGGAGCACAATTAACCGGTGGAACAGCTTGCCACTGGAACTTGTGGGTGCTCCAACAGCGGAGATTTGGAAGAAGAGATTGGACAGTCACTTGTCTGAAATGGTATAGGGCAGTGATGGCTAGCCTTTTTGCCGTCACTTGCCAAAAGCGGGAGGAGCGCGGGGGGGTCACGTGCACCTGTGCCCACCCCCATAATTCAATGCGCCCCGCCCCCTGTGCATGCGTATGTCACCCTGCTTTTGGCACGTAATGGCATGGTAGGCCCGTTTTTCGCCTTCCTCAGGCTCCAGAGGCGTTCTTGGAACCTGGGGAAGGCAAAAACAGCCTCCCTCCACCCCCCTCCCGAGGCCCTCCTGAGGCGGGAAATGGCCCATTTCCCGACATCTGGTGGGACCGGAAGGCCCATTTTTTGCTCTCCCCAGGCTCCAGAGGCTTTCTAGGAGCCTGGGGAGAGCCAAAATGGCCTTCCCCACCTCCCCGGAGGCCCTCTGGAGGCTGGAAACAGATCGTTTCCCGACTTCCAGTAGGCCCGAAAAGCCTGAAAATTAGCTGGCTGGTGCACTCATGCGCACTGGAGCTGAGCTAAGGCAATGCTCGCATGCCCACAGATATGGCTCCGTGTGCCACCTGTGGCACACATGTCATAGGTTCGCCATCACGGGTATAGGGTCTCCTGCTGGAGCAGGGGGCTGGACTAGAAGACCTCCAAGGTCCCTTCCGGCTCTGTTCTGACTGATCGCTCTTTCTGCCGTGCTCGGTCTTTCAAGGTGCTTCAAAGCCTGGCAGAGTTTGGCCCAACAGAAACGGCACAGCCAGGTGGCCATGGAGCACCTTTGGGCCCAATCCTTGAGGGCCTCTTTCCAGCAGTGGTGCCTAATGGTGGAAGCCAGGAGAAACGCCAAGATGGCGGTGATTGAGCTGCTGGGGACCAAGCGGCCGAGCTCCTGCGGTACGTAAAATAATGAGAGTGGTGATCGCAGCTTGGTGATCCTTTTGTGGGACTCTTTGCCCTTTTCTTGGGGTGACTCACGGACGAAGCACCTCTGAAGCTCTTTGTCTCCAAATGCTCCAGGGCCCCGGAGGGACCCCGACAGAAGACCGTGGCCCCCAAAGTACGTAGAAAATACTTTGGATTCTCTTTTCCACCTGAGGACGTTGCAGGAAGCGTTTCTGACTTGGGAGGCAAGATGCCGGGAAGCGCAGCGGGCTGGGTAAGTGGCTGGTTTCCAGCAACGGATGCTCTTCTCTAAAAGGCAGGTTACTAGTCCTCATGGATGCTTGCCGTGTCTTTTGGTTCCCACAGGGCTTTTCGTCATAGTTTGACCCTGCGGCAGCTGCGGGAGGCTCTTGGGCGATGGCGCCGGAGGACCCGCGGTCTCAATCCTCTCGGGCTCACTGAGGGCTCTCTCCTTGCGTCGGCGGATTTGCAAGAATCTTCCTCCTCTTCCGCCTTGCCTACCGCCTGTCAGGTTTGTGTTGTGCGTTGCGTCCTTGGCAAATTCCAGCGTCCCCTCCGGTCTACAGACCGAGCCACGCTGGCTCCTAACGATCTACTAAATTTTGTAAATAAAAGAACATTATTTTTCAAGTGGACGCACAATTTTGATTAGTTTTGTAAGGTCGGCCAGGATTAACTGTGTGTTCTTTCTTTGCTGGGGGCAGGCAGTCCAACCGGTAGAGCCCAGCCTCATCGGCCTGACTTCCTTGGGGACTGTTGAAGAACCCAGCGGCCGTCCTGCTCCCGCCTCTCATTGTCCGAACTGCAGTTATGACTGTGAAAATCCTACCCATGTCGCTAAGCGGGCCTCTCCTCTTCGGCTTGATTGGCAGGCAGCGTAAGTCCTCGTGTTTTGGGACTCTGGAGTTTCCTATCACGAAAGGTTCAGCAGAAATTAGTTTTCCCTAACCTGTATTCCTCGACTTAGGACCACAGTTGAGCCCAAAACTTCCGTTGCTAAGGGAGACCGTTGTTAAGTGAGTTTTGCTCCATTCTTGCCACAGCTGGTAAGTAAAGTTAACGGAGTCACTGTTGTTAAGTGAGGAATCTGGTTGTTAAGCGAATCTGGCTTCCCCATTGACTTTGCCTGTCAGAATGTCGCAAAAGGGAATTAAATGACCCCCCAGGAAAACTGCTTCCGTCATAAAATACGAACCAGTTGCCAAGCATCCAAATTTCGATCAGGTGCTGCAGTGGTTGTTAAGTGTGAAAAACGACCATAAATCCCTTTTTTTCAGTGCTGTGGTAACTCCAAACAGTCACTAAAAGAATGGTTGTAAGGTCGAGGACTATCCGTACGGGAAATTTGGGTGAAACGTCCTTAAAAAAGAGGGACCCTGACTGCTTGGGGGAGCCCAAAGATTCTCCAAAGAAAATGGGAGAAAATCCATTAATTTTGAGTGTCCATGTTGGCTCATGAGAGCTCAAAACTTTTCCTCACTTTTATAACATACTGTATCTTTCCATCTTGATCTATTCATTGACTTATTAATTTATTTTCTTTCATTTTACATGCTAACCATCGTCCTGGTTTATTTGCGCTTTCAAAAAAGGTTTTGCTTTGTAGCTTTTATTTTATTCGCCAATTCTTCATTTTCCATTAAGTTCATCTTATGTTTTCTCAAATCCATCCAATTTTTAATCTTTTTGTCATGCGGGGTTTTTTTTTTTCCAATTCCATCTCTAATCTCTCCCTCTGCCCTCTTGCCCGATTGACAAAACCAAACTTCCTTATTCTCTCTGTATTTAAATCCTGGCTCAAGGAGTTATGGCCCACCTTGTGTTCTGCCCCAGCTACAGACCCCAAAGAACGCAGCACACACAAAGTCGGTACAAAACTTAAATTTACTAAAATAACTCAGTCTCTTCCAAACAAAGGCTGTTAATAAACTTTCTTAACAGCCTACAAGAAACTAAAGATAAAGTAATCACAATTTTACTAAGGTTGGCAGAAAGCCCAGAAGCAATTTGCAGAGAATCCAGACGTGAAGGAGAGTGAACTAAAGTTGTTCCCTGCAAATTGCTTCAGTCGGCGTTCCTCCTTAAATAGGCTGAGTGGCCAATTAGCCCCAAGCCTTACTCTTGAGGAGACCTCCTCCTGAGGAGCCACTCCTGCCTTTTGGCAGCTCTGTGCGCCCGTGCATCGAGAAGAGGCTCCTCCTCTTCGTCCTCTTCACCCATGGAAGGTTCTGGAGGTTCTGAAGGCCCTGGCTGAATCCCCGCCTCTGGCACCACATCTTCTCCAGCCTCCTCATTGTCTGACTCGAGTGCCAGCTGCACAGGCTGCTGGCGCAGCACCACACCAGCCTCCTTGCTGTCAGAATCAGCTACAATCCACACAGGCCGCTGACGGGACACAACACCTTGTGTGGCTAACTCCTCTGCCCTTTGACCCCCTCATGCCTTCCAGCAGCAAATATGGACGGCTGTGGAAACGCATCGTCCAGCTGCATCGCTTCCAGGGCGTGTGGGAGGCGCATCAGCTGGCAAAGGCCTGGCTTCTTTGGAGAGATGCCTGCAGGACCGAGCTGGTGGTACAAACCCTGGTGAGTAACTTGCACACCTCCTGCGGCCGCGTCTTCTGTGCCTGCCTGCGGGAATCTGGCTTTAAAAAGTGCCGTTAAGTTTCCAGTCCATAGTAAGCAATGGGGAAGGGACACGCCTCATCGGCAGCACGATGGGAAGAATGGTTAAGGTTTTGTTTTATTTTATTATCAAATTTGCGGATGATACTAAACTGGCAGGAATAGCTGTCACCTTAGAACAGTGGTGGCTAACCTTTTTGCCGTCGTGTGCCAAAAGTGGGGGGAACACGGGGGGATCATGCATGTGCACGCCCACACCCATAATTCAATGTGCCATACGCCCCCCCACGCATGCACGCGCAACCACCATGTTTGGCACACGATGGCACAGTGGGCCTGGTAGGCCCGTTTTCCACCCTCCCCAGGCTCCTGAGCTTGCCGATCAGAAAGGTTCGGCGGTTCGAATCCCTAGTATATGTCTCCTGTGTGAGCAAGGGGGTTGGACTAGATGACCTCCAAGTACCTTCCAACTCTGTTACTGTTACCGTTACTCTTTATCGGTGTCATGCCTCTTCCTGCAGAGATGGCGGAGAGAGGCGCGGTGGAGCTGGAAGATATGGAGACGGCGCTGGTTGCAACTCCAAGTGGCCCAGCGTTTCCACAAAGCTGAAGAGGAACAGTTGCTCAAAACAGTAAGAAATATGCATTTTAAGGGGTGAGGGGTTAAATAGCACCCGCTTCCCCATATCCTGGCCCTTCCCTTTCTTCTGTGGTTGGGTTGGGTCTCTGCTACCCTGGCACACCTGGGCATGGCTAGTCTAGTGAAGAGAAGGACCAGGGGAGACATGATAGCAGTCTTCCAATATTTGAGGGGCTGCCACAGAGAAGAGGGGGTCAAGCTGTTTTCCAAGGCACCCGAAGGCCAGACAAGGAATAATGGATGGAGACTGAACAAAGAGGATGTCAGCGTTGCAACGCTGGCATAGAGAGAGAGCAGAGGACAGCGAAAGATAAACTCTGAAACTTTTGCTTGCAAAATCCCTTTGAAGCTTGGTTGTCGTGGAGATCAGGGGAGGGGGGCACATTCCTGAGAAATGACGGGGAAAAGAAGTCTGAAGAATGACTTGGAAGACAGCCAATGAGAAGCAGAGACTTGGGGGTCAGAAAGGGAGGGATTGGGAGGCAAAAGGTCAGTCTTGTCCGCGCGGAGTCACGATCCGGTGGCTGAGCTCAATTAAAGAAAGATTTCCTTAAAGATGGGCAGTTTGGAGATTCATTTAATTTTGAGACAGTACCGAAATAAGGAGGAATTTTGTGACTATGAGAGCAATCGACCGATGGAACAGAAGTTGCTTTCGGAAGTTGTGGGAGCTTCATCCCTGGAGGCTTTCAAGAAGAGACTGGACTGCCATCGGTCAGAAATGGTGTAGGCCGTGATGGCGAACCTATGGCACGCGTGCCCAAAATGGCACACGGAGCCATGTTGCCTGGCACACACGGCGTCGCCTGTTCCTCTTCCAGGTTTCTGGCACGCATGTGCACGCAACGATCAGCTGGCTTTTGTGCGTGCGGCAGCGTTGGAAACCGGAAGAACTGGTCTTCCGTTTTTCCGTCGTGAGCATGCGCGCCAGCCGGCGGATCGGCGCATGTGCATGCACGGCAGTAACCGGAAAACCTGCTTGTCAGTGCGCATGTGCGCCGCAAACTGGAAGTACCATATCCGGCGCGCACATGCCCTCTGGACAGCTCCACTTCCTGGTCGCAGCCCTGAAGAGTGCATGCTAAGTGCTCCCTTTTTGGCACTTGTTGCCCCACGTGCCGTGCCAAACAGGTTCGCCATCGCTGGTTCTGGGCTGCATCAACAGAGGGATAGAATCAAGATCACCTGAAGTGTTGATACCACTTTATAAGGCCTTGGTAAGGCCACACTTGGAATATGGCATCCAGTTTTGGTCTCCATAATATAAAAAAGATGTAGAGACTCTAGAAAGAGTGCAGAGAGGAGCAACTAGGATGATGAGGGGACTGGAGGCTAAAACATAGGAAGAACGGTTGCAGGAACTGGGTTCGTCTAGTTTAATGAAAAGAAGGACTAGGGGAGACATGATAGCAGTCTTCCAATCTCTCAGGGGCTGCCCCAAAGAAGAGGGAGTCAAGCTATTCTCCAAAGCACCTGAAGGCAGGACAAGAAGCAACGGGTGGAAACTAATCAAGGAGAGAAGCAACTTAGAACTAAGGAGAAATTTCCTGACAGTGAGAACAATTCATCTGTGGAACAACTTGCCTCCGGAAGTCGCAAAAGCTCCAACACTGGAAGTTTTTAAGATGTTAGATAACCCTTTGTCTGAAGTGGTGGAGGGTTTCCTGCCTAAGCAGGGGGTTGGACTAGAAGACCTCCAAGGTCCCTTCCAACTCTTATTATTCTATTCTATTCTATTCTATTCTATTCTATTCTATTCTATTCTACATTCCATTCCATTCCATTCCATTCCATTCCATTCTATTCCATTCCTTTCCTTTCGTTTTCTTTCCATTCCATATTTTCTATTCTATTCTATTCTATTCTATGCTATGCTATTCTATTCCTTTCTATTCCATATTTTCTATTCTATTCCATTCCATTCCATTCCATTCCATATTTTCTGTTCTGTTCTGTTCTGTTCTGTTCTGTTCTGTTCTGTTCTGTTCTATTCTATTCTATTCTATTCTATTCTATTCTAGGGTCTCCTGCTTGGGTGGGTGGGGGTTGGACTAGATGACCTCCAAGGTCCTTTCCCACTCTGTTAATCTGAATCTGAATCTCTTCGCAGGCTTTCGGAAAGTGGCGCCGGCTGGCGGCCATCTCTCGTGTCCAGAACAGATAAAACATCCGGCTTGGGTTGGCTCCCTTTGGTAAACAGCTGCAGGAGGGACAAGCAGCCTCTCAGAAAACGTGGACTTTGCAATGGAAAACTTATGTCTACGCATTTTGGAGCGGTGTGTGTTTGTGTGTGTGAGACGGAGGGAAAAAAATTGAGCCATGCCGAGGATTAACCAATCTTGTTTATTTTGAGGTAATAATTAAAAGATTCAAGCGCGGCGGATGGTATCTTCGTTGCTGCGTCGCGATGGGGGGGGTCCCTATTTGTCAAGGCCCCTCTGGGGGCCTTTCCTATTTGTCAGGAAAATCCCTTTGCCTGGGGCAGACTCCCCCCCTCCTCCCGCAGAGGATAAGTTGAGTTGTGTTTTGCAACGGAGCAGGAAGTCTTCTCCTCCTCGCTCCCCCCACTGTGTTTCCCTTACAGATAGTCCTCGACTTACGACAGTCCATTTACGAGGTGGTATATTCACTTACTTTCCCTACCGGTTCGCAAATGTCCATGCATGTGTCCGGCCGCAAAAACAGGCCTAAATAGGACGGCATAGAGTCAGGACGGGTGGGCGGAGCCACCTGCAATTTCTGTTACCGGTTCTGCCAAACCGGTCTGAACCGGCTGAATACAACCTCTATCCATTTGGTGACCGTTCAAAGTTACAATGGTGCTGGAAAAAAGGGACATAGGTCCGTTTTTCACACTTACGACCGTTGCAGCGTCCCCAGGGATACGTGATCAAAATTCGGACGCTTGGTAGCTGACTCGTACTTATGACAGTCGCAATGTTCCCGGGGTCATGGATTCCCCTTTTGGTGACCTTCTGACAAGCAGAGTCAATAACTGACTCACATTTATGACGGTCGCAGTGTTCCTGGGGTCCTGTATTCCCCTTTTGTGACCTTCTGACAAGCAAAGTCAATAACCGACTCACATTTATGACGGTCGCAGTGTTCCCGGGGTCCTGTATTCCCCTTTTGTGACCTTCTGACAAGCAAAGTCAGCGAGGAAGCCAGATTCACTTAACAACTGCGTTACCGACTTAACAGCTGCAGTGATTCACTTAACAACTGAGGAAAGAATAGTCATAAAATGGTGGAAAATGTTTCGCCTCACAACAGAAATTTTGGGCGCCATTGTGCCCATAAGTCGAGGACTAGATGTATTGGCTCATTAAGCAGCGAGAAATAAATCTGTTGGGATTAATCATTCCTCTCTCCTCACACACACACAGCCACACAACACACCCCTCACAAGGGATTTGGTTCATCTCGGATTAAGCTCCCATCAGCTATTTCCTTCTGGTCCTTTTGGGGACAGGCAGGGACTGTCTTCTCTTCGTTTGGCCTGAATGGAGGTGACGGTTTTATTTTCTTTTGTTCTGCCCCAGCTACGGACCCCAAAGAACGCAGCACACACAAAGTCTGTACAAACCTTAGTTTACTAAAATAAAATCAGGGGGTTTTTTTTCCAAACAAAGGCTGTTAATTACTTTTTTAACAGCCTGCAAGAATCCAAAGAATAAATAATCTTAACCTTACTATGGTTGGCATAAAGCCCAGAAGCAATTTGCAGAGAATCCAGATGCGAAGGAGAGTGAACTAAAGTTGTTCCCTGCAAATTGCTTCAGTCGGCGTTCCTCCTTAAATAGGCTAAGAGAGTGGCCAATTAGCCCCAAGCCTTACTCTCGAGGAGACCTCCTCCTGATGAGCCACTCCTGCCTTTTGGCCGCTCTGCGCTCTCGTGCATCGAGAAGAGGCTCCTCCTCTTTGTCCTCTTCACTTATGGGAGCTTCTGGAGGCCCTGGCTGAATCCCCGCCTCTGGCATCACATCTTCTCCAGCCTCCTCATTGTCTAACTCGAGTGCCAGCTGCCCAGGCTGCTGGCACAGCACCACACCAGCCTCCTCGCTGTCCGAATCAGCCACCAGCTGCACAGGCCACGTACGGGCCACAACACCTTCTTCCTCCTATTTTCCTTATAACAACCCCCCTGTGAGGTGGGTTGGGCAGAGAGAGAGAGGCTGGGCCAAAGCCACCCAGCCGGCTTTCAAGTCTTAATGTGGGACTAGAACTCACTGTCTCCTGGTGATTGGCCCAAAGTCACCCACTTTTCATTCTTAAAGTGGGACTAGAACTCCCAGTCTCCTGGTGATTGACTCAAAGTCACCCAGCCATTCAAGTCTTAAGGCGGGACTAGAACTCACTGTCTCCTGGTGATTGGCCCAGTCACCTTTCAAGTGTAAGGCAGGTCTAGAACTCCCAGTCTCCTGGTGATTGACCCAAGTCACCCAGTTTTCATTCTTAAAGTGGGACTAGAACTCCCAGTCTCCTGGTGATTGGCCCAGTCAGCTTTCAAGTGTAAGCGGGACTAAACTCCCAGTCTCCTGGTGATTGGCTCAAAGTCACTCATTTTCATTCTTAAGGTGGGACTAGAACTCCCAGTCTCCTGGTGATTGACCCAAAGTCACCCAGTTTTCATTCTTAAAGTGGGACTAGAACTCCCAGTCTCCTGGTGATTGGCCCAGTCAGCTTCAAGTGTAAGGCGGGACTAGAACTCCCAGTCTCCTGGTGATTGGCCCAAAGTCACCCAGTTTTCATTCTTAAGGTGGGACTAGAACTCACACTCTCCTGTTTCTAGCCTGGTATCCTAATCACTAAAGGGCTCTGTCATGCCCACAATATGGCCGGAGATCAGCCACAAGCTGAGAATCTCAGCTTTTATTTACTCCGAAGGGGGGCAGCCCCTTACGAAATAAAAGTTTCATGTGGGCCTGTCGATTCTGCGGTCAGCAGCCGTCTCAAAGGAGAACGCTGAAGGCGCTAAGAAAACACACAGAGGGCAAAAGTACGGATGGATAAGAGTTTCGAAGGCCGGGAAGAGGGGCGTGCCTGCAAACGACGCAATTTCTGTTTTGAACGCGGCCACATTCCATTCCGCAACCGATCGTCTCTCGCGACCTGTTTTCGGCCTGGAAACAGGCTGGGACGTGCACAGTTGTGTTGCAACTTGAAATTTGCCTTAGTGCCGTGATGGCGAACCTATGAAGCCATGTCGCAGTGGTGAAATCCCAATTTTTTTTTTTTTACTACCGGTTCTGTGGGCGTGGCTTGGTGGGCGTGGTGTGACTCGGTGGGCGTGGCAGGGGAAGGATCCTGCAAAATCCCCATTCCCACCCCACCCTTGGGGGAAGGGTTTTGCAAAATCCCCATTCCCACCCCACTCCTGGGAGAAGGATATTGCCAAATCTCCATTCCCACCCCACTCCTGGGAGAAGGATATTGCCAAATCTCCATTCCCACCCCACTCTGGTCATGCCTCTTCCTGCAGAGATGGCGAAAAGTGGCTCGGTGGGGCTGGAAGATATGGAGACGGCGCTGGTTGCAACTCCCAAGTGGAGTTTCCACAAAGCCGAAGAGGAACAGATGCTCAAAACAGTAAGAAGGATGCAGTTTAAGGGGTGGGGGGGTTAAATAGCACCCGATTCCCCATATCCTGGCCCTTCCCTTTGTTCTGTGGTTGGGTTGTGCCGAGGGTCTCTGCTACCCTGGCACACCTGGGCATGGCTAGTCTAGTGAAGAGAAGGACCAGGGGAGACATGAGAGCATCTTCCAATATTTGAGCGGCTGCTACAGAGAGGAAGGGGTTCAAGCTGTTTTCCAAAGCACCCAAAGGCCGGACAAGGAACAATGGATGGAAACTGAACAAGGAGAGATTCAACCTGGAAATAAGGAGACATTTTCTGACAGTGAAAACAATCAACCCATGGAACAGAAGTTGCCTTCGGAAGTTGTGGGAGCTTCATCACTGGAGGCTTTCAAGAAGAGACTGGACTGCCATCTATCAGGAATGGTGTAGGGTCTCCTGCTTGGGTGGGGAGCGGGTTGGACTAGATGACCTCCAAGGTCCCTTCCAACTCTAGTTATTCTGAGACAGGTGGCCTCAGTGCCCTTTCCACTAGGCGGGGGGGGGGGGCAAGCAAAACTTTTCCTTGCCATTGGAGAACGCCAAGACGCCGCCTTCCGACGAAGCCATTCTCCTTTTGAGGCCACGCCCGGGGACGTTAGCAGTGTGAGTCATTTTATTTCATTGTTCCTCCCTTTACAACGGTTCCACTGGCTGCCGCTCCCCCTCTCCCTCCTCCCGAAACAAAACGAGGAAGGTAATTCTCGACGCCTCTTACAAAAAATCAAAATAAATAGGTGTGAGGAGTGGAGGAACTAAAAAAAGAGGGGTAGGTTGCAAGTCTCAGCCAAGCTGGCTGTGGCTGCGCCTTAAGAAGTTTAGAGCCGGGAGGGGGGGACTCTCGGGCCGTGGCGGACTACCGGGCCACGGCTTGTTCAAAACCGGGCCGCGGGAGGAAGGCGCAAGTGTGAAGCTCCACTTACACGACTGACAGGCAAGCGAGCTTTGCACGCGAAGCTCCACTAAACACGAGCGGAGAGCGGTGGGCACTTGCATTCCCGCACAAACCATTCGTGGAGCTTTGCGCACGAGCGCAGGCGGCCTTCATTTGTGCGAGGGGAGCTTCATGCGGGAGCACAAGCGCCCTTCACTCAAACCACCCTCCACTCGGGCACGAAGCTCCACTGGAGCTGCGAGCGCGTGCATCAGTGGTGGGATTCTACAGGTTCGGGCGAAACGTTAGCTCCGACTATAAGCCGTGAGCGAACCGGTTTGCACCGATTTTAAAGTGGCCCGCCCGCCTGCCCACCCCTGCGTTATACTCACATATATTTCCATTTCCGAAGCCCAGCTGATAGGCGCGGCAGAGTAGATTGCAACGCCTCAGCTTTTTTCCTTGCCGGCAGCGATGCGGAAGGTGAGTTTTCCTCAATGTGGCGCGCGAGCTGAGCGAACCGGTTGTTAAACCGGTAGGATCCCACCCCTGGCGTGCGTGCGCCTGCCACTCACACACATACACACACACACACACAGCACCAGGGCAGGCCGCCAAGCTGGGGACCGCTGATTATAGCAGTGGTCATCAAAAATCTTATTTAAAAAACTGAAAAACCTAGCAGAACCCAGGATACTGCTGAGTTTCTTAGCTGCCGATATTTGTGACGGAGGTAAAAAAAAGTGTTGGGAGTTCCCAGTTTCAAAATCCAGAGGTTTTCTCTTCCTTTCCTGGGCTGTTCAACTGCTCGTAGGTGTCCTCCAACACCTGCCAGAGACAACTGTCCAAGGGGAAGTCGTTGTCCACCAAGTTCACCAGGTAATAGTTGTCGTGAATGTACTGGACGATCATACGGGACGGCGACTCTTCCTCGTACAGCTTCGCCCACTGCTCGATCCACAAGGCGAAGGCCTCGTCCTGTCCCACAGGAGACAACAGGGTTAGGGTGAGACGTTTTAAGAGGTCGTAAGCACTACTTACCTTCCCAACCGATTTGGAAATGCACGAGCCGCGTGCGCTTGGATCCTCTGCACACGCACAAACCCTTCTGCCCATGCGCAGAGGGTAAAAAACAGGTTGCTTCCTGGTTAAAAACAGGAAGTAATGACGACCGGGAGGGTGGGCCGAGCCTCGCGCCACTTTACTTTACTTTACTTTATTTGATTTATATACCTACTCCTGAAGGACTCAGGGCGGTGAAAATACATAGATACAAAATTTAAAAACAAAGTAAAATCGAATTAAACAATTTGGCCCAGACAGATTAAAACACCCCAATCATTTAAAAACCGATTAAAATTTGCATAATTAAAAAGAGGGAAAAGATTAGGCTAGGCCCGCCTGGTGGAATAAAAAGGTCTTAAGAGCGCGGCGGAAGGTGCGCAGATCCGGGATCCTCCGTATCTCCGGGGGGAGCTCGTTCCAGATAGTAGGTGCCCCCACAGAGAAGGCTCTCCATTACCAGTTCTCCGAACCACCGGCTGCCATCACTACCGGTTCAGCCGAACCGGTCCAAACCAGGAGCATTTCACCCCTGGTCATAGGGCAGGAGAAGATGGCAAGACTCGAACACGGGATTCAGCCCGGCCACGGTTCCAGTAATGAATACAGGTAGTCGCCCTGTAATTGAGCCCAAAATTTCCACGGCTAAGTCAGAAATTTGTTCAGTTTGTCTCATTTTACGACTTTTCTTATCCCATTTGTTAAGTGAATCACTGCAGCTGTTAAGTTAGCCACATGGTTGTTAAGTGAATCCAGCTTCTCCATTGCCTTTGCTCATCAGAAGGTCGCAAAAAGGGGATCCCCTAACCCTGGGATGCTGGCAACCGTCGTAAATATGAGTCAGTGGTCAAACATCTGAATGTAAATCACGCGGCTGTGATTTAAAATCAATTGCAGTGATTCATTTAACAACTCCGACAAGAAAGGTCGTAAAACGGGGCAGAATTCACTGAACAACTGTCTTGCTTAGCAACAGGAATTTGGGGCTCAGTTGTCATAAATCGAGAACTACCTGTATAACATTTTTAAATTTCAATGACCCCAGAAGCTTGCGCTATTAATGAGGATCAAAGGAGAGATTAATTCACAAACACTGCAAAATTCACAAAAGAGCCGAGGTGGCGCAGTGGTTAGAGTGCAGTACTGCAGCTACTTCAGGTGACTGCTAGTTCAGCAGATCAGCGGTTCAAATCTCACCAGCTCAAGGTTGACTCAGCCTTCCATCCTTCCGAGGTGGGTAAAATGAAGACCCAGATTGTTGGGGGGGGCAATATGCTATTTAGTATACTGTCTTTGGTGTAAGCCGCCCAGAGTCCTCGGAGAGTGGGCGGCATAGAAATATGAATAATAATAATAAAATAAGTTAAATAAATAAATACGTTAAAACAATCCAGGGAGCGTTGGGAAAAAAAAAATAAGACTTGCTGCTATTTTTTTCCAAAGAAGGGTCGTTGGTAGCTTCCCTTTGGATTGCGGGCTGGACTGTGAGTAACAGGCTAGGCAGAAATCTGCAGGTGAGAAAAAGAAACAGGTTTACCTTCCAGTACATGAAACTAACTGGGTCCACCACTGTCGGCTGGATGATCTCTCTGCCCGGGAAGATCCCCCATGTGACAGCGTTGGGTTGCATCTCGTGAGCGTTGGTCACGTTTTCTCCCTGCAGAAGCAACAGGACAATGCCATGGAGAGCTCTATGGTCACCCAACTATTAGTCCACACTTGGAATACTGCATCCAGTTTCGGTCGCCACGATATAAAAAGCCGCTTCTTTCAGTCACTAAAACGAACCGTTGTGAAAGCTGCCTGGGACAACCTTTGTTTTCAAACCTTCCTCAATCCTTCCCGAGTGGAGGAAGAATAGAAACAGCCAATTTTACGCAACGTTTCGCAGGTCCATGAAGTGAGGACTCTTAGCCGGGCAGCCGTGTTAGAAACACAGTGTCAAGCACGTCAAGATGCATTTATCCTAGTGCTGACATAAGAAGGAGAATGCAAGCGTCTGCAACGGGACGGTTGCCTTTCACCTACTTATTTCCTCTGGAGATAATGTCCCCTAGGAGATGGATGGGAGGGGGGAAATTCTTTGAATTGGAGCAGTAGATTAGGGGTGAATGATTGGGAAGATGGCCAATGAATGCAGAGGAGTGGGGGAAGGAAGAGGAGGGGTTTTGGGGCAGCACGTCAGTGCCGACTGCAACGAGTCAGTGTAAAAAGTGCTGGGCTTAATAAAATGGAAATTTGTTTTATAAAAGACTTTTGTTTGCGATGCAATTTATTTGAAGACAGCCTGAAAACCTGACACACAGGCCGAGAACAGACGGGGAGACTACCTCAACATGGGGCGGGATTGCAACTCCCATTGTCCCCTTGCTCCCGAGGACACACCGCCCTGCAGTTTGGGAGTGAGCCCTCCAGGGGTTGAGAGCAAAATGTAAAAGCCCATTTTCGAGGCAAAGGATTTGAATCGGGGCCATTTGCAAATACAAGGGATCCTGGAGTCTTAGTGGACAACCAGTTAAATATGAGCCAAACTGTGCGGCAACAGCCAAAAAAGCCAATGCAATCCTAAATTGCATTAACAGAGGGATTGAATTAAGATCAAGTGAGGTACTAATACCACCCTATAAAGCCCTAGTAAGACCACACCTAGAATCCTGCATCCAGTTTTGGTCACCACACTATAAAAAAGATGTTGAGACTCTAGAAAAAGTGCAGAGAAGAGCAACCAGGATGATGAGGGGACTGGAGGCTAAAACAGACGATGAACGGTTGCAGGAACTGGGCATGGCTGGTCTAGTGAAGAGAAGGACCAGGGGAGACGTGATAGCAGTCTTCCAGTATTTGAGGGGCTGCCACACAGAGAGGAAGGTGTCAACCTAATGGTGAAATCCACATTTTTTTACTACCGATTCTGTGGGTGTGGCTTGGTGGGCGTGGCAGAGGAAGGATACTGAAAAATCCCCATTCCCTCCCCATTCTTGGGGGAAGAATATTGCAAAATCCCCATTCCCACCCCACTCCTGGGGGAAGGATACTGCAAAATCCCCAGCTGCTCTTCCAGTTGCTGCTCTCCCAGTTTCTGATGTTCCCGCATGCGTGAAGACCAGCTGGCCGGCACGCCAGAATCCGGAAGAGCAACGGGCGACGGTTCGCGTGCCCGGAGAGATGGCTCTGTATGCCACTTCTGGCATGCGTGCCCTACAGAGGTGGGTTTCAGCAGGTTCTGACCAGTTCTGGAGAACCGGTAGTGGAAATTTTGAATAGTTCGGAGAACCGGTAGTAAAAATTCTGACTGGCCCCGCCCCCATCTGTTCTCTGCCTCCCGAGTCCCAGCTGATTGGGAGGAAATGGGGATTTTGCAATATCCTTCCCCCGGAGTGGGATGAGAATGGAGATTTTGCAGTATCCTGAGTGGGATGGGAATGGACATTTTACAGTATCCTTCACCTGGAGTGGGATGGGAATGGAGATTTTGCAGTATCCTTCCCCTGGAGTGGGGTGGGAATGGAGATTTTACAGTATCCTTCCCCTGCCACGCCCACCAAGCCATGCCACGCCCACCAAGCCCCACCCACAGAACCGGTAGTAAAAAATTTGGAAACCCACCACTGGTGCCATAAGTTTGCCATCATGGGTATAGAGTCTCCCACTCAATCAGGGGCTGGACTAGAAGACCTCCAAGGTCCCTTCCAACTCTTATTATTATTTTTCTAGCCATACAAAGCTGAGCTGATATTCTATTTTTCTGATCAATGAGAGATCCTTGGTTTTGAGGGGCCTGAAATAGGGGTCCCCAACCTCCGGTCTGTGGAACAGCACTGGGCCGCAGCATGCCAGAAACCGGGACATGCAAACAAGCGACACCCCATCCGTGGGATGCAGGCAGCATGGAAAACCACGTCTTCCTCCTATCCATGGAAAAAAACTCTCTCCACAGAACCGGTCCCTGGTGCCCCAAAGTTTGGCCTGAGAAATTCCAGAAATACCTTCACGTTGACAATGTGGTAATTCACGCGCTCTCCATATTTTTTCAGAACTGCGAGAAGAGCTTTGATGTTCTCGGCTGAGGTAAAAAACTCCAGGTAAGCCTGTAAGGAAGGGGTAGGGGGGAAGTCAGAGGAGAGAAAAGGAGAGCAATTTCTCTTCTGTCCACACAGCTTAAAGTCGATGAGGTTGAAACAACTTCGCAAGCGGCCGCCATTTTTAAGAAACCTACCGCATTTTTCGGCGTATAAAACGCATCTTAGTTTTTGGGGAGGAAAATAAGAAGGAAAAAAAAATTCTGCCTCTGCCTGCCAGCATCCATCGGTATTCATCTGGCTAGCGTCCTGTCGATGTGTGAGAGAGTTGAGGGCTGTTTGGAAACTGAAACAGTATTTGCTGTGCGAGCAACAGGGAGAAGGAGATAGCAAGGAGCCTGGGCGTGGCTTAGCTCTGCAGCTCTGAGTCTGTGCTGTAAACTAGTTCCTGCTGAAAACTGAAACGGAAACTCCTCTCCTCTGCTTGTGTTTTGCTTGTATTTACTACCTGCTGGAAAACCTGCTTTTGGTATTGTATACTTACTTCATGTGTCATATTATATATAAAGAGAAGTTATTGAATCCTGCTGAATCAGTTACGTCTAAATGCTATTGTTATCTATCTTCCTTCCTTCCTTCCTTCCTTCCTTCCTTCCTTCCTTCCTTCCTTCCTTCCCTCCCTCCCTCCCTCCCTCCCTCCCTCCCTGTGGTTAGAATGCAGTATTGCAGGCTAACTCTGCCCCACTGCCAGCAGTTCGATCCTGACCGGCTCAGGGCTGTAAAGCACTGTGAAGCAGTATATAAGTCTAAGTGCTATTGCTATTCGCCCTCCTTAGGCACAAAGCCAACTAGGGAACCTTATGCCAGTCCCTCTCTCTCAACCCCGGGGAAGCAAGCAATGGCCAACCACTTCCAAAAGGGAGTCTTCCAGCCAGGGGTCAAGACTGACCCCAAAGGGACAGAAACAAAGAATCAACCAAGTTGATTAAGGAGGCTACTGTTCTGATCTAGGCTTTCCCAGCAGCACGAAGCCAAGTCCTCATCCCGATAAACCCCTTTTATTTAATTGACATTGAATTCCTCTCCAGCCAAGTCTTTCCTCTCCCAGTCTTTCAAGATAGTTCACAATGACCGACCTTTATCAGGCTTGGAGAGTGGCCAGGCGGATATCTTTCACTGGCAAGAATGCAGGAATGAACTAATTGTCTCCTACAAACTCCACTCCCCTGTCGCTCCTCTTTTATTCCCTCTGGGAGGGGCCCTTCATCGTCCACCTGTGGCTTTACTCCTTAGTCGATCCTTCTTCTTTAGCTGTTCCCTTCGTCTGGAACTCTGCGCATGCGCACACTGGGAACAGGCTCCAGCTGTTCCTCTGCCTCACTGATGTCTGACTCCGAAGGCAGCTGCCCTGGCCCCCTCTCTGCCTCCGACGCAGAGCCCTCATCAGAGCCTTCCCCAGACTCCAGGACTGGCCCATCTTCCTCCCCAACCTCCTCACTGTCTGAGTCTGCCGCCAGCTCCGCTGGCCACTAGTGGGCCACAACAGCTACCTTCTGGAAGACGTAGCCACCTTCTGGTCCCCAACCCACGATGGGGTCCGTGGAAGGCTTTCCGTTGATGTTAGGTTGGGAGTTGATGGTCAAGATGCCTCTCCGGTTGACTTTAACCAGCTCGTCTTTCATGAGGTTAGTCTCAGCAGCCAGAGGGTCATCGTTCCATGGCAAACAGGTGACCTTAAGGAAAAGGAGAATAGATCAAAGCTGTAGAAGGGTGTTTCTCTCATCAAACCTGGTCCTTGGAAGACGGGTGGCCTTCAATTCCCAGAATTCCCCAGTCAGAACAGCTTTTTATTTTTTATTTTGTAATTTATTAGGTTATAAGATAAAATCTATATACCCTGTTTCCCCCAAAATAAGACATCCCCTGATAATGAGCCCAATTGGGCTTTTGAGCGCATGGCAATAAGGCCAAGCGCTTATTTCAGGGGAAACATGGTATATAAAAGTGGAAATATATGTGTGTGTGTGTATGTTCCAGCATAACTCTGGAACGCCTCAAGCAATTTCAACCAAACTTGGTACACAGATGACTTACTCTCTGGAAAGAAATACTGTGGGGGTAAGACACTCCTAACACCCCCCTAACACAGGGTGTGTGTTCTGTTAAGATACCTGTTTAAGGCCTGTTGTGCCTTAAAATGGCTTCTACTGCACTGCCTTAAAATGGCTTCTACTGTACAGCACAGTGGGGTTGCCATGGTAACGGTTTCACAGTACTCCACAAGGGGGCTCCCTCTCGTAAGGGGGAAAATCCAACATTAGAAATTACGTTTGCTCCGGACATTTTCAACAAGGCTTTGATTATTTTTGAGGACAAATGTATGGCCATGATCAATAAAACGTTACTGCAACTCAGCCTGCCTGGACCAGTACGAGACTGACACGACATACTTCACGTAGATTACGTACGAGAAAAGAACTACAACGTCGAACAACTGAGTGCATATATCGCAGATAAGAAGCCACTTCTAAATCAAGATCAGAAAAAAAGCATACCAAATGATCACGGATCAGCTAGCAAAACCACAAGGTGGTATCGTGTTACTTGACATTTCTGGGGGCACAGAGGAAACATTTCTAACTAATTTAATTCTCACCAAACTCAGGGCTCAGGGTGAAGTTGATCTTCCTGTCTAACACAGGATTGGGATAAATAAATACCCGGGCAACGCCGTGTTATCAGCTAGTACAAAATACAAAAGTAAATAGGAAGGCAGTTGGGGGGGGGAAAGGGGGAAGAGAAGTGAGGAAGGGCTGGGAAAAAGGGAAAAAAACGAGCGTTGACTTCCGACTCCCTCCATTGCAGTAAAATTAAGCATTAACACCAAACCGCAACTTTTTTTGCTTTTTTCATAGTAATATAAACTAGCCATTTTTATAAGCAGCTACCAATCTTCCATTTTTGTGCGTTCAGGAGTCTTGCTGCTGCTGTCAACATATATAAAATCAAAGTTCTGGATTTTTTTTCTCCAAATCATTTTCCATGAAACCCAAAAGAAAAGTTTCCAGTTTCATTTTTATCTTTCTTTTAAAAATATGAACCTTACTCCAAAATGTCTTTGCTTCATCACATATCCACCATAAACGATAAAAAAAAAACCTCCCTTTTACTTTTACCCTTGCAACATTCATTTGACAGTTTGACAGTTCTACAGAGGAACGATGGAGTCTGTCATCTGCACCTCTATAACTGTCTGGTTTGGTTCTGCAACCCAACAAGACAGACAGAGACTTCAGCGGATAATTAGAACTGCAGAAAAAACCATGGCTACCAACCTGCCTTCCATGGAGGACCTGTATGCTGCACGAGTCAAAAAGAGGGCTGGGAAAATATCTACAGACCCCTCACATCCTGGACATAAATTGTTTCAACTCCTACCCTCAAAATGACGCTATAGAGCACTGCACACCAGAAAAAACTAGACACAAGGACAGTTTTTTCCCGAATGTCATCACTGTGCTTAACAACAAATTCCCACAACTCTGTCAAATAATTTACTAAGACTGTATTACTATTATTCTTCTCATCTCCCACTTATGACTATAACCATGTTGCTTGTATCTTACGATTTATATTTATTTAGTTTCCTAGTTTGATTTTGATTGCTTATTTAGTATCCTATGACTATCACTAAGTGTTGTATCTTATGATTCTTGATGAACGTATTTTTTATATACACTGAGAGCTTATGCACCAAAGACAAGTTTCTTGTGTGTCCAATCACACTTGGCCAATAAATAAGTCAAGTCAAGTCAAGTCAAGTCAAGTCAAGTCAAGTCAAGTCAAAAGTCTAGTCTAGTCTAGTCTAGTCTAGTCTAGTCTAGTCTAGTCTAGTCTAGTCAAAAGTCAAGTCAAAAGTCTAGTCTAATCTAATTTTTTTGACATACCTTTATACATTTTAGATAACTTATCTGGTGTTGGATACCAGCAGCCAAGGTTGAGATACATGGCTGGAGAAGGGACCCTAGACCAAAGCAGTCAATTTTGGCTGGGACTTCTCATGACCAACATCCATCTTTCTTCTTCTTTTACCAAAAAAGGTCCGAGCTTTTCATGAATTCTCACCTTGTGTCCATTTCTGTTGGCCTCTCCAGCGATGTAGCACCTGAAGACTTCGTAGACGCTCTCCTCGCTGATCAGCTCTTCCCCCCACATCTTCAGGAGTTCCTCTCGGGGGGATTTGCTCTTCAAGTAGAAAAGGTAGTAGTCTTTCAGCTCCCCGAAGGCAGGGGACGAAGAGTTGCCCCTGGAGATTTGGGGGAGAATTGGCAAGTGGGTGAAAAGAAAGAAGAACCGAAGTAGGAAATTTTCAAATGCTTTGGTTGATTGTTGCCGGAGAGCCTTCAAATTAACCTTTAAATTAAGGGCATCGACTTTTTGAGTAGCTTTAACGTCCATAATTAGCAGTTACAACAGTATAGAAAAAAAGTGACTTGGCCACAATTTTTCACACTTGTGACCATTGCAGCATCCTAAGGTCACGTGATCAAAATACGGATGCTTGTTTTAACAGCGGCTAGAATTGTATTTGCTAAAAATTGGAAAAAAGAGAAAATACCTACTGAGGATGAAGTTATTAAGAAAATTATGGAATGTGCTGAAATGAGTAAATTGACATTTGAAATTAGAGAACAGGAAGACAAACAATATTATTTGATATGGGTTTTGTTTTACCAATGGCTAGATAATAAGGCATGGAAATGAAGTATGAAATATGAAATTAATGTAATGATAAAATATAAGAAGTATTTTTTTTCTTCCTTTTTTTCATGGGAATTAAACTTTTATTAAATAATTGTTAAATGAGAATAATAACATATAGGGATGTATACAATTGTTAAATAAGAGGAAATTAAATAATTTGTAAATTGTGGATATGGGATTAAGCACAAAAGATTTTTAACCGATCGACACACCTTCTGTGATTGTAATGGATGATGGTTGTTTTATATTTTGTTATGTTTAAAAATAAAAAAAATTTTTTAAAAATGTGGTTGCTTGGCAACATATTTATGATGGCTGCCGTGTCCCAGAATCACATTATCCCCTTTTGCAGCCTTCTGACAAGAAAGTCAATGTGGAAACCAGATTCACTGAAACAACTGTATTGCTAAAATTTATCAACTGCAGGGATTTCAATTGAACAATTGTGACCAGAAAGGTCATAAATATGGGGCAAAACTCACTTAACAACTGTCTCTGTCTTTGCAGCAGAAATTTTGGGCTCAAAATGTGGTTGTAGGTCGAGGACTACCTATATATAATTTATGCAAAAATTTTGGGGGATTGAAAGAAATAAGGATCATTCCTGTAAAAGTAAGGAGCAAGAGTTACACCATATTTATCCTTTGTATGACCTCAGAACTCATTAAAGGTAAAAAGGTTCCCCTCGCACATATGTGCTAGTCATTCCCGACTCTAGGGGGCAGTGCTCCTCTCCATTTCAAAGCCGAAGAGCCAGCGCTGTCCGAAGACGTCTCCGTGGTCATGTGGCCGATATGACAATGCCAAAGGCGCACGGAACACTGTTCCCTTCCCACCAAAGGTGGCCCCTATTTTTCTACTTGCATTTTTTACCTGCTTTCAAACTGCTAGATTGGCAGAAGCTGGGACAAGTCACGGGAGCTCACCCCGTTACGCGGCACTCGGGATTCGAACCGCTGAACTGTCGACCTTTCGACCGACAAGCTCAGCGGCTCATGAGCCACTGCGTCCCTGTAGAACTCATTAGGAAACGTTAAGCAACAGTAAGCAAGAAACTGAGTTAGCAATAACAACGTTATAAATCTATTATGACAGGGGTATTTGGGCTAAACAGCTAATTTCCAGGAAGACAGGAAGACCGCTGTCAAGGCACCAGATGCCCTGTTGAAATTAATAACTTTATTGTTAAGATAATAGTAACTGTTGTTAAGGAAGTACTAATTATGTAAGGCAGAGGTGGGCTTCAAAAATTTTAGCAAGGGGTTTTCTGCCTGGTTGCTGGGTGGGCGTGGCCAAGGTGGGCGTGGCCTAGTCGGCCTCCTGCACCACGGGGGTGGGGGGGCGTTTTTGCCCTCCCCGGGCTCCGGAGGCTTTCCTTGAACCTCCAGGGTGAAAACGACCTCCCCAGGCTCCGGAAGCCCTCTGGAGGCTGAAAACGGACCTGTTTTAAACCCTCTCGAACTTCCAGTAGGCCCGTTTTTTGCCCTCCCTGAGCCTCTGCGTGCGCCCTGCACTTACCTGCATCCAAAACGGGCCGCGTGAGGACTCCTGGGAGGGGAGGGCTGGGGTGGGCCATTGAAGAGTGGGATGTGGGGGTTCTCCGAACTGCACAGAATCTTAGCTAGAGGTTCTCCCGAACCCCTGCGAACCCCCAGCAGCCCCCCCCCCCGATGTAAGGAGATATAACCATATAACCATGTAAGGAAATAATTAGATTGTGAACCCCAAAATAGGGGGCAGTGATAAAGGCCTGGTCTTGATGAGTGAATAAAAGACGTGTGTTCCTTTGTCTCATCGTCCCTCTGCCCAGCTACCACATTTAGCTCAGAGGGTCCGCTTTTGCAAAAGCTTTCTTTGTACAATAAAGGCCTCTTTTAATTGTTCATCACATACATACAGGGACGCGGCAGCTCAGTGGCTAAGACTCTAAGCTTGCCGATCGAAAGGTCGGCAGTTCAGCGGTTCGAATCCCGAGTGCCGCGTAACGGGGTGAGCTCCCGTTCCTTGTCCCAGCTTCTGCCAACCTAGCAGTTCGAAAGCACGTAAAAAAAAATGCAAGTAGAAAAACAGGGACCCACCTTTGGTGGGAAGGTAACAGCGTTCCGTGCGCCTTTGCCGTTGAGTCATGCCAGCCACATGACCACAGAAATGTCTTCTGACAGCGCTGGTTCTTCGGCTTTGAAACGGAGATGAGCACCGCCCCCTAGAGTTGGGAACAACTGGCACATATGTGCGAGGGGAACCTTTACCTTTACCTAATCCTTCATCTGTCTCCTGTTGATTCACCTGAGGGTTGTTTTTCTCACAGGGATTATATACGATGTATATAAAAACAGAATCTGACCACCAAATCCTGAATAACGCGCTGACGTGAATTTGTTTTAAGCGCGACCGTTTTCCAGTAGAAGCTATTTCGTTCGTTTTGCATCAACAGGCAAGAGTACTACACTCACCATCGTCCGTTGGGGAATTCGTCCCACTCCTGCGTCCGATAGATGTAGCTCTTCGGCCGGGAAGCCCAGAAAATAGGCCGGACGTCTTCAACTCGCCGTTTGGGGTGAGCGCTAACCGCCCATGGCAAAGGACGCCTGGCGTGGAGAATATCAGGGATGGAAAAATTAAAAACAGTTCAAACCCTGGATCAGACTTTTCCAGGAGCTTTTTAAGGTAGCTCATCTAGACATCACTAACCACGATGGAAAAGTTTCAGATTTTACAGAGTTGGAAGGGACCTTTGCAGGTCATCTAGTCCAACCCCCTACATCTGCCTCTACCTAGGATTGAACTCACAACCTCCTAATTGTGAGGCAAGAGCTCCATCTCTAAGCCACAGCAGCTGGTAAGGGAGGGAGGGCTATCCTGAACCACAGTTGCTTGAGAAATGAGGAAGTCTAGTCTGGAATCTTCACTCATGTGATTTTTGAAATTTTGGTTCTGTTTTCCTTAATTTGTATTTTGCAATCCACCCTGACTTCTCCTAGATGACAACAGTGGCGTTTTTTAAAGCAAGCTGACTCCAAATTCATCTTAAAGAGGAAGTTACATCAAGTTTATCCCGTGTCCCTAGCTAAGAGCAGAGGTCTACAAACGTGGCCACTTTTAAGACTTTGGGGACTTCAACTCTCAGAATTCCCCAGAAACTTGCCCACTTTTAAGACTTTGTGGGCTTCCAACTCCTAGAATTCCCCAGCCAGCTTGAATTCTGGGAGCTGAAGTCCACAAAGTCTTAAAGTGGCCAAGTTTGGAGTCTTAAAACAGCCAAGACCAAATTCCCTCATCTGGGTTTAGCTCAGTGGAATAGACCAATCCAGATGTTAGGGTGATAAACCATGATTTATGGCTTAACGTGCGTTGGAAAGGAGACCATTGGGGCTTGTTCACCAAGCCAAGGCTGAGCCCCAGGTGTCCAGCCATCCCACCTTCTGGACAGACCCACCTTGGGTCTTCTTTCCAAAGGCCCAACCGTCGTAAGACCTCCATGGTGGCCACCTCGCGATTCAGGGTGTAGAAATGCAGACCGTGGACCAGGCCGCTATCTAAGAGTTCTCGGCACATCTTGACCGCCAGTTCAATGCCGTAGTTCCTGATGGCCGCATCGTTGTCCTTGATTGGCTCAATTATGTCCTTGATTTCCTGAGGCACCACCAATTTTGAGAGCTTCACAAGCTGGCGCAGAGAATGATAACCCTGAAAGAAATCAAGATGGCCGGCTGAGAGTTGAAAAGTCTACATATCTCTTAGAATGTCTAGAGTTGGGAAACGCTGACAGGGAGATTGCCTGAATTATTGCCATTCAGGCAATAATAATAATAAGCTAAAGAAAGCTTATTTCTTTATTTATCAAATTCATTTACCGCCCATCTCGTGGTTCAAGGTGACTCCCGAGTGGCCTTGCGGTATTAGTTGCTTTGTTATAATACGGGTAGTCCTTGACTTATGGCCACAATTGAGCCATTGAAGCTTCTGTGGCTAAGCGAGACAGCTGTTCAGTGAGGTTGGCCCCATTTCACGACCTTTCTTACCGCCGTTAAGTGAATCACCACAGTTGATAACTTAAGTAATTAACTGTTGAGTGAACCGGGCTTCCCCATCATTGACTTTGCTTTTCAGTGGGTCGCCAAAAGGGGAAAATCACATGACACTGCAACCGTCATAAATATGAGTCGGTTGCCAATTTTGATCACGTGACCCTGGGGATCCTGCAACGGTCGTTAAAAGTGTGAAAAAACGGTCATCGGTCACTTTTGCCAGCGCCGTTGTAACTTCCCAATGGTCCTTAAAACGAATTGTGGTAATTTGAGGGCCACCTGTATGTGGGACACCTTTACCTGGATGGGGAATATCCCCGGCACCACGGGGCAGCTGATGCCGATGGCCTGGCAGTCTGTTAGAAATTTGAGGAAAGTTTCCGTCCGGAAAAATAGCTGCGTAATGACGAAATCCGCTCCGGCGGACACTTTTTCCTTGAGGTGTTTCAAGTCATCAATGTAGCTCTCGGCCTCAGGGTGCCCCCCAGGATAACCTTCCAAATAAAAGTGAGAAACAGTGAGTTTCAACCTGGTTTCACCCTTCTTATCAAAATATCTGTTGTGACCTCGGCTTCCTGAGTCCTTAAAACACACGAGTAGTCCCAAAAATCTCTTTTATTGCAACAGCTGTGAATTACGTTCATTCACAGCTGAGTCCCAAAGTTGCAAGAAGTCCTTCAGGATAATCACCAGCCTTTATCTCCCTTGACACTCTGCCAAAGACCTACTTGGCAAAGCCACACGGAGCACAGAATCAAACAGAGATGCCGACTGGGAACAGAATTAACAACATTGCTTTCCTGCAAAGGGCCCACATGCCTTTGCTCCTCTTTTAAGCCTTATGGGAGGGGCCAATCATCTCCTGGCCTTACTCCCGAGTCATCCCTTTTGTTTTAACTGTTCATGCCTCCTGGCAGCTCTGCGCATGAGCGCACTAGGAACAGGGTCCCCCTGTTCCTCTGCCTCTCTGCTGTCCAACTCTGGAGGCTCCAGAGTCCGTGCATCACTCTCAGATGGCCCTGGCCCCATCTCTGCCTCTGACGCAGAGCCCTCATCTGGGCCTTCCCCAGATTCAGGGACTGGCCCATGTTCTTCCCCCAGCCTCCTCACTGTCCGACTCTTCTGCCAGCTCCGAAGGCTGCTGGCGGACCACAACAATATCCTCCTTAAGAGAGAGAACTTAAGAGAGAACTTTTACAAAATGTTTTATAGATGGCATTTAGACCCAAAAAAAACTAGCTCGTATCCAAATTTACAACCCAAGTGTTGGCGATGTGAGTGTGAAGATGCTACATATTTTCATATATGGTGGACATGTAAAAAAATTAAGGCTTTTTGGATTAAAATATGGTGGATTATTCAAAATATTTTAAGGAAAAAAAATAAATTTACACCACAGGTTTTTTTTGTTGGGAATAGTCACGGATTGTACTGTAATAGAGACTAAGTTGGTTTTGAACTTAATAACAGCTGCCAGGTTACTGGTGGCACAGTACTGGAAGAAGGAAGATCCACCTACCATTGAGGAATGGACATTAAAAGTTGTCCATCTGGCAGAGATGGCAAAAATTTCATCATATCTTAAAGATCATTCAAATGAAAGATGCATATCAGAATGGAGAAGATGGATTGACTATATGCAAAAAAAGTACCCGAACAAGAAGATTCATATAGCTTATGAATGAAATATTTTTAAGTAGTTTATGTTTATAGTTTTTGAACTATAAGGAGTTAAAGACCTAGGGAGAATATGAATGCAATAATTTGTTAGCATATTTTAGCTTTATGTTTGTGAATGCTATACCCTGTGCCTGTTCTGGGAAGTCTAGGGAGGGGGAAAGGGTGGGGGGGGGGGAAATGTTTGTATTTCTTATAAAACTTTTCAATAAAAACAAAACAAAACAATATCCTCCGTGTAATTCATAGTCATGTTGACAGAGAAACCTGTTTTACAGGATTTGATTCGCGTTTCTGGGACCTACCCCTTATTTTCCTCTACTTGCCCTCCTCCAAAAGAAGAAACTATGGTTTTGTTAGTCTCAAAGCTTCCTCTTTTTCCTCAGGTCATCGGGACCCAGGAGGAATCCAGCAGAAGAAGGGAGGTTTCTGAATTAAACTTCAAAATTTGGGTGAAATGCACAAATCTCTCTCTAGAAACTTGCATACTGAGTGGCCAAGCCACCTGGTTTTCTTAGAGAGTCCTAACATACCAGGACACAGACGGAAAGTCGGTGTGTATCACCGGACAGATAAATTTCACGTAATGTCCATAAAAGTGAAACTTGAGAAGTGAAAAAACCTGAATTCATTCTTTGTTGACACAAAGCTAGCTGAGCGAGCTTAGGCCAGCTTCTTTCCCTCAAACCCAAGAAGACCATGGCCAACAAGTTATGAAAATGTTGCCCCCAAAATGGCAGAGACCAGGCCGGGCCATTGCCAGGAGTCCAAGGTGACCTGAAGAAGGCGCCACCGCTGGTTAGAAAAGATGGACCGACTCTTGAGGAACCTCTTGAGAAGATCAGGAGAGCTTTGTGTGAAACTCATCTACTCACCCGCCACGCAGATGTCAAAATAATCGTCAAACTCCTGACGGATGTGCTTCACCAGGTCCACTGCGTGGTTGAAGCCCTCCAGTTCTTCTTCCCATTCTTCCCCAATAGGATCTGCGAGAGAAGAAGACCCCCATATTCTTCAGAAAACATGGTCCTTCCTTCCTCTGGAAGGAGAGACCATCTCGTGGTCGTTCCTCACCTCCTCGTAGCGCCATAATATTCTTCAGCCCCAAACGTTTGGCCTTCTGTAGGTGGGCGGTGATGGTTTCCCTGTTCTGATTGCAACAGGTCATGTGGAGAATGGTCTCTAGCCCGCAGTAGTTGAGGGCGGTGGTGGCCATCATCATGGACGAGGTCTCCTTATCGGAACCCGGATCGCCAGCCGGATGCCAAGTGACGTCGATGAAAAGGGGGCCGCCTGCCCCCATGTGGTCGAACCTGCAAGGAACAAAAGAAATTGGCCATCTTCATCTGGTAGGTGTCTATGGAGATTCTCAGTCATCTAGGTCATGGTTGTCCCAAAGGTGCTTTTTTCAAGAGGCAACTGGACTTTTTGTTTTTTCTTTGAAGACATTTGGCTTCTCGTCCAAGAAGCTTCTTCAGCTCTGACTTGGATGGTGAGGAATGGAAGGATTTATACTCCTTGCAGACAGTTGGGACATTTGGGGAAACAAAACAACCACTTCATCAACGCATGGCTCAACGTAGGAGAACAAACCCATCAGGACTAGACTCAGCAGTCCACATTTAAAAGACAAAAGCCGCTCTTTTGAAGACAGCAAAGTCCAAATTTTGGACACAGAGGACCACTGATTTGAAAGAGGTGTCAGAGAGGCCATCTATATCCAAGTTGAACAGCCCTCTCTCAACAGAGGGGGAGGGATAAGATATGGAGTTCCAGGTGAGTTATTTTTACCCTGATTCCCCTTATCTTAATGGCTCTACTTAAGAATTTCTATTGTCAGCTTTGTTAGCAGTGTCTTCCTTTCAGCTGGTGCTTCTTGGTTTTCTTAAAGGGGGAAGGGTTGGCTTGAATCTCTTGGTATTGTTTTCTGAGGTTTCTGGTGCTATGGGGGCCCTGGCATTGTCTCCCTGGCATACACTTCCCACAAGATGCTTGGCAACTGACTCATATTTATGACGGGTGCAGTGTCCCAGGGACGGACATTCAGTCCACTTTTATGACCCAAGTCAATGAGGAAGCCAGATTCTCTTAACCATTGTGATTCTAATTTAACAACTGCGGCCACTCCCTTAACAACTTTGGCAAGAAAGCTTGTAAAATGGGGCAAAATTCACTTAACAACGGTCTCGCTTAGCCACAGACATGTTGGGCTCCATTGTGGTCGTAAGTCGAGAACTACCTGTATTGGAAAGAGCGTGCTAGAGCAATTGTGTTCCCTTCACCCAGATTCAAGGTTTATTGGTTCGAGTCAACCCAGATTCAAGGTTTATTGGGTTGAGTCAACCAAGCGCCCATGGAAGTGGAGGAGATCCATCAACTCAGGATTTTAAATGAATCCACGGATACTTTCGAGGCCATCAGCCGTTGGAATAGCAATAACAGCCCTTAGACTTACATACTGCTTCACAGTGCTACTAAGGAACCTTGGTGGTGCAGCGGACTAAAGTGCTGTTAAGTAGCACTTAGCTGTCAGCTGCCTGCAATTACTGCGAGTTCAAATCTCACCAGACTCAAGGTTGACTCAACCTTCCATCCTTCCAAGGTAGGTAAAATGAGGACCCGGATTGTGAGGGAAATAAGCTGACTTTGTATAAAAAAGAACACCGCTTAGGGGGGGACCAAAAGCCCTACTAAGCAGGTATATACAAAAGTATGAAGGCTATTGCTTAACGCATTGTAAGCCGCCCTGAGTCTCCGGAGAAGGGCGGCATATAAATTGAACCAATAAATAAATAAATAAATAAATCTGTTTACAGAGTCAGCCTCTTGCCCCCAACAATCAGGGTCCTCGTTTTACTGACCTTGGAAGGATGGAAGGCTGAGTCAATCTGCAGCTTGTCAGGATCGAACTGCTGGCAATGGGCTGAGTTAGCCTGCAATGCTGCATTCTAACCACTGGGAGGGAAGGAAGGAAGGAAGGAAGGAAGGAAGGAAGGAAGGAAGGAAGGAAGGAAGGAAGGAATAGCACGTAGACTTATATAGCGCTTTACAGTACTTTACACCCCTCTCTAAGCGGTTTACAGAGTCAGCCTCTTGCCCCCAAGAATCTGGGTCCTCATTTTACCCACCTCGGAAGGATGGAAGGCTGAGTCAACCTGCAGCTGGTCAGGATCAAACTGCTGGCAGTGGGCAGAGTTAGCCTGCAATGCTGCATTCTAACCACTGGGAAGGAAGGAAGGAAGGAAGGAAGGAAGGAAGGAAGGAAGGAAGGAAGGAAGGAAGGAAGGAATGAATAGCATTTAGATTTATATACCGCTTCACAGTGCTTTTACAGCCCTAAGCGGTTTACAGTCAGCCTATTGCCCCCAAGAATCAGGGTCCTCATTTTACCGATCTCTGAAGGATCGAAGGCTGAGTCAACCTGCAGCTGGTCAGGATCGAACTGCTGGCAGTGGGCAGAGTTAGCCTGCAATACCGCATTCTAACCACTGGGAGGGAGGGAAGGAAGGAAGGAAGGAAGGAAGGAAGGAAGGAAGGAAGGAAGGAAGGAAGGAAGGAAGGAAAGAAGGAATAGCATGTAGACTTATATACCGCTTTATAGTACTTTACACCCCTCTCTAAGTGGTTTACAGAGTCAGCCTCTTGCCCCCAAGAATCTGGTCCTCATTTTACCGACCTCGGAAGGATGGAAGGCTGAGTCAACCTTGAGCCTGGTGAGATTCTCACTGAAAAATTGCAGGCAGCAGAAGTAGCCCTGCGGTACCGCACTCTAACCACTTGCGCCACCGCGGCTCTTAATAATCAACGTTTGAGCCTCCGTGACCTCCTGCTTCTTCACCTGGAGATGAGATTCACGGCTCCGTTGGCTGTCCGGGGAGGGAAAAACTCCAGGGAAAACCACTTGTCCCCGGATTCCTGACGACGACGCATTTTTTCCCGCAGGCGCTCGTGACGCTCCGTGTCTAGGACGGGAGTGGAGCACCGGGAGCTGTTTTGGGAGCTCTCCCCGCTGCTGCTGCTGTTGCTGCCATTGGATCGGGTGACGCTGAGGCCGTTACTCATCGGAGGAAACTCACCGTGGGACTCGTTGACCATGGTGAAGGCCCTAGAGGAAACAACGAGAAGACAACAATCGTGCTTGGCTCGCATTCGGCGTGCAAATCTATTTCTTTTTACAGGGTGATCCTCGACTTATGACCACAATTGAGCCCCAAAATTTCTGTTGTTAAGCGAGACCGTTGTTAAGTGAGTGTTTCTTCAATCTGCAACCTTTCTTGCCACAGTTAAGTGAATCACTGCACTTACAATAGTCCTCGACTTAAGACGGTTCATTTAGTGACCGTTCAGTTACAATGGCGCTGGAAAAAAGTGACTTGTGACCATTTTCCACACTTACAACCGCATTTATGGCTGATTGGCTTGTATTTATGACAGTCGCCGTGTCCGTTCACGTCATCCCCTTTTGCGACCTTTGGACAATCAACGTCAAATGGGGAAGCCAGATTCGCTTAACAACCGGGTTACTAACTTAACAACTGCAGTAATTCACTTAACGACTGTGGCAAGAAAGGTTGTAAAATGGGGGCAAAATTCACTTAAGAAATACCTTACTTAGCAACATAAATTGTGGTCGTACCTAAAGGACTACCTGCATTACATTTGTAACACGGTTGTTAAGTGAATCTAGCTTCCTCAGGAAGCTTCCTTGCTTGTCAGGGGGTCGCAAAAGGGGATCCCAGGATGGACACTGCAAATACGAGCCAATTGCCAAACGTCTGAATTTTGATTATGCGACTTTGGGGGATGCCACAACGATTGTGTGAAAAAAATGGCCGAGTCCTTTTTTTTCAGGGCCGTCACTAAATGAATGGTTTATTTGCATTTCACCTGAACTCAATCTAATCTAGAATTTCATCTGCCTTAAATTCACCTGTATTCCATTTATAAATGTAAGCGACTCCAGGTGGCTTAATAACTTCTCCCATGCCTTCATCCAAGCAGGAGTTTCTTAGCTAGCTGTTTGCAAGAGCCAGTGAGAATTTTTTTTTTTACTCTGAAAACCACTGGAAATCTTTAAAAAAAGCAATTTGCAGCTGGACGGATGGGCAGGCACAACTTCTCCCTGACCCACTGAAGGAAGGCATGGATGGGGTGGGGAAGGCAGCCCTAATTTTGCAGATCAGGAGAGGCAAATGATTACGCAAAGGATCAACTGATTATAATCAGTTGATCCTTTTCTAAGCCTGAATATAATCAGCCCCCAATCCATGATCAATCCCCCAGTTGCAAGCCAGCAGCAGAACAAAAGTAAAAACAGGGGAAGAGAGAATGGAGAGTGGGGCGGGGGTATGATTGCACCCCAAACAGCAAAAGGCAGGAAGGAGCAGCAAAAAAATTGAGAAGAAATTTCAGCCCCCATGCCCATTTACGTTTCCGTCCTGATCTCAGCTCAGCCGCTATCCAGCCTTGCAAAATTTTGCAGACCCCCCCGTTTCTTCCAGCGGGGAAGGGGGACCACACGGCTAGTTTTTCAGGGTCCCATCAGAGGAGGAAGTCAAGGGAAGGGATGCAGAGAGAGAGAGAGAGAGAGGGAGAGTGATCCTAAGCATTCACTCACCTGGTGTTGGCGTTGTCCCTCTGGGTAATTTTCCACCGGGGTCTGGACCCTCCCTCCGATTTGGTTGACCGATTCAAGCCTTCCAGTTTGCTAATTTATTTGGGGGGGGGCTCATGGGCCAAGTTCACCCCAGCATTTACTCAGTGGATTGGATCCAGCCCATACTACTGGATCTGACCTTCCCGCAAAGGTCTGGAGAAATGCAAAGCGGCCAATTGTCCTCAAGAGAGTCACACCTTGTCTCTGGTGTCACAATATCCCTTGCAAAGAAAGCAACCTGCAGGCACCCCTTTATCAAAAAAAAAACAGTCCCCGCCAATCGGCGCCTGGCTTCTCTACCAATGGGGGAGGTGGGTTTCCCAGAGAAAAGCCCACCCACCCACTCACCTCCTTGTTTGCTCAGCAAGGAAAAGAGGCTTTGCAAAGCTTATCTAGAGGGTGAGATTATCGCTCGGGCACAGAAACAAACAGGAAAACCGGATTCCCAAACATGCATTTAAAAATAAAATAATAAAATAATGGGAGAAATGGCCTGAATGGTTAGAGGAGAGGGCTAAAAGGCACGGGAAGAGTAAATGAGGAAGATGTAGGAGTTGAAATGCAGTAACCTACGAGTGGAAATGGAAGGGACGCAGAATGTATGATCGCTATTGAGTACACTGTTATCTGTATGTGTATAAATCAATATATCAATTGTATGTTATAAAAGGCCAATTGAAATAAGGGAGAAAAATGGATATGTAAGAAGCGCTGACTGAGGCGAAATTGTTGAAAAGAAGAAAATTGTAAACGTTTCTTTTTTAATAAACATTTCTGTTAATTTGATTTCTGTTAATTTGATTTCTGTTTCATAAAAATTATTTCAAATAATTATTTAAAATTATTTTAAATAATTATTTGAAATAATTATTTAAATAATTATTTAATTATTCAAATAATTATTTAAAATTATTTTAAAATAAATAAATTACATTAAATTAAATATAAGGACGGTACCCACCTTGCAAGGGGCGTTTTTTCGGCCAGCTCCATCGGACAAGTCCAAAGTCTTGGCTCCCGCAAATCCCAACGGGAAAAAAAAAAGATGGAAATTTGCGTGTGTCAAATCTCCTTAAATTCCTCTTCCACAGCAGGCATGGTGGAGGGGACGGATTTTTTCCTGGCCTTTACTGTAATAATAATAATAATAATAAAATTATTACAATCTTATTGATAAAAGATTCTTAAAGTCTTTCTATAGAGATGGTTCTCGATTTACGACCACAACGCAGGCCAAAATTTATGTTTTAAGTGAGACGTTTGTTAAGTGGTTTAGGGGTGGGGAATTGTGGTGGGTGGGGGTGTGTTTGGGGATTGTTATGTGTGTTGGACCTGGTCTTTGGGAGTTAAGTGAATTTCGTTGTACATATACTGTGTATACACGTACAATGACAATAAAGTTATAATTATTATTATGAGTTTTGCCCCACGAATATGCTGCCTTTTTTTTTTTTAATATTTCCCAAAATATTTCATTCTTTGGGGGAGGGGGAGCTTCCCACAGCTTCATCCCCCCCACCTCCCTGAGGAAAAAAACTCTGGAAACTGAGCCACAAAATCATAAAATCTTGCAAAGTGAAAGGTAAGTTCCCCCAGGTTGCGTTCCAATCTCTTCCCCTTTTATTTGGGTCTCCTGCTTGGGGTGGGGTTGGACTAGATGACCTCCAAGGTCCCTTCTAACTCTTGTTATTCTGTTAATTTATTCTAATTGGTACTGAAGCCGTAGTGACTCCGGGTCACAAAGGTAACGTCGTATCAGTAAAATTTAAAAACCATTCAAGGCAATAAACCTTTGGCCAGGATTCACCCGCACAGGTAGTCCTCGACTTATGACCACAGTGGAGCCTGATTTTTATGTTATTAAACGAGACGTTTGTTAAGTGAGTTTTGCCCCATCTTACAACCTTTCTAGCCACAGCGGTTAAGTTAAAGTAACAAGGTTCTTAAGGGAACCCAGCTTCCCCATCGAGTTTGTTTGTCGGAAGGTCGCAACGGGGGATCAAAAATGGTCATAACTTACTTTTTTTTTTTTTGAAGGACTGTGGTAACTTGCGAATGGTCACTAAATGAATTGTCATAAGTTGAGGACAACCTGGACTACTTTAGCCCGTGGCAATTTTTTTTATTTTATTTTTTTTATTTGATTTATATGCCGCCCTTCCCCGGAGACTCAGGGCGGCTTACAATGCGTTAAGCAATAGCCTTCATATTTTTGTATATTTGTACAAAGTCAGTTTATTGCCCCCACAAACTGGGTCCTCATTTTACCCACCTTAGAAAGGATGGAAGGCTGAGTCAACCTTGAGCCTTGGCGAGATTCGAACTTGCAGTAATTGCAAGCAGCTGATGTTAATCACAATGCTATCAGTCTGCTGAGCCACCAGGCCCTATTGCAGGAAATTGCAGGAAAAAAAATAAAATTGATTGGACGCAGAATCTTTCCCCTTTGGGGGAGATTTGTTATGGTCCCTTGGGGTCATTCTTAATTCTGATGGTTTGGGGGCTGGTCCAAAGACCCCCCCCCCCAGGCGTTGTTTTTTTCCTGTACGAGGGAAGACTAGTCCAAAAACGTCTTTAACCACTACACCACACTGCTCGCCCCTGTTAAAGATTACAATTGCCATTAATCTGGCCTGGTTAAAATGGTGGGTAGCGAGGATGGGACATGTAGTTAGTGGCGATGGGAACTTGCAAATCCACTGAGGATGGCATTTTGTATCGCAGCAGGAAAGGAAAGTGGGAGCCTCGAAGTTGGAAGTCGCCCCCTCCACCCCCCAGATCTGTCCCCCTGCCCTCCATTTCTCAGCCCAACCCATATAAGGGGGCAAAAATCTGGTGCCTATTTATAAACCTGGAGGCTTTATTTATTTAATTATTGCAAGGAAATGTTTTCTTTTAGGGTAGGGCAAAAGGAAATAATCTTTTTGCAATTCTTATGGGGGGGGCAGGGTTCCTTCCTTCCTTCTTGGGGAGGGAGGGGAAATTGCACCAGGTCTGCAACCCTGAAAGGAAATTGCAAAACTTTGCAAGGGGGAAAAAAAAATAATCACACGCTTCTCTCCAGCCTTCGATTCACACATTGGCATGCAAAACGGGACCATAATTCATTGAATTATTAGGCATTAATTGTATCCTTACGTTGTTGTTGTTTTTTTAATTTGATTTATATGCCGCCCTTCTCCGAAGACTCAGGGTGGCTTACAGTGCGTTAAGCAACAGCCTTCATACTTTTGTATATTTATACAAAGTCAGCTTATTGCCCCCATAAACTGGGTCCTCAATTTACCTACCTTAGAAAGGATGGAAGGCTGAGTCAACCTTGAGCCTGGGGAGATTCGAACTTGCAGTAATTGCAGGCAGCTGAATGTTAATAATGGGCTATTAGTCTGCTGCGCCACCAGGCTCTTTTACAATATTGATTCCTGATTGCTTATTTGTATCCTATGACTATCACTAAGTGTTGTACCTTATGATTCTCGATGAACGTATCTTTTCTTTTATGTACACTGAGAGCATATGCAACAAAGAGAAATTCCTTGTGTGTCCAATCACACTTGGCCAATAAAGAATTCAATTCAAAATTCAATTCATTAAATTCCCCCAGGAAGACGGATGGGTATGCGCAGCGGGAGAAAGAGATCTAGCATCATCATCATCATCATCATCATCATTATTGGTTAATCTTTAGTGAGATTCACAGCCTTTGAGGCTGGTTAATAGCTCAGCAGCTCGAGTCCTAACCAAGGACCTAGGAACCGTTAAGGTATCGTTGGAGGATGTAAGCTGTTCTGAGTAAGGTGGTTTTTTGTAGTCAAAATGTTCAAGTCCGGCAAATTTAGAATTTCTAAATACTGGGGTAGCCCTTTGGGTATTGCTCCAAGGGCTCCAATTACAATCGGGACAACACACGATTTCTTTTTCCACAGTCGCTCAACTTCAATTTGTAAGTCCCAGTACTTTGTGATTTTTTCTTGCTGCTTATCTTCAATCCGTGCATTACCAGGTATTGCAATGTCAATGAACCATCCTTTTTTTAACTATTGTTATGTCAGGTGTGTTGTGGACCAAGTGCCTGTCAGTCTGAATCCTAAAGTCCCACAAGATCTTGAGTTTCTCATTCTCTAAAACTTTCTCAACCTGATGTTCCCAGTGGTTTTTGCTGTACTCAAATCCAAACTTCTGGCACAATTTCCAGTGAATGATCTTAGCAACACGGTCATGGCGTTGTAGGTAGTCAGTTTGTGAAATTTTGCTGCACCCACTAATCAGGTGGTCGACTGTCTCATCTTTCTCATTGCAGAGGCGGCATTTGCTGTTGGTGGTAACATGTTGAATTTTTGCCTTCACGCAGTTTGTGGCTAGGGCTTGTTCTTGAGCTGCCAAAATAAAGCTTTCTGTTTCTTTTTTTCAGTACTCCTGATATTATTATTATTATTATTATTATTATTATTATTATTATTATTATTATCATTATTATCATTATTATCATTATCATTATTATTGATTAAACATGAAACTCAGTCAACTGAAATTATTATTATTATCTATTTTACTCATCAAACATGAAATTCAGTCAACTGAAATTATTATCTATTTTATTCATTAAACATGAAACTCAGTCAACTGAAATTATTAATTTTGATTAAACGTGAAACTCAGTCAACTGAAATTATTATTATTAATTTTACTCATTAAACATGAAACTCAGTCAACTGAAATTATTATTTTATTCATTAAACATGAAACTCAGTCAACTGAAATTATTATTATTGTTATTGATTAAACATGAAACAGTCAACTGAACTTTATTATTTATTTTACTCATTAAACATGAAACTCAGTCAACTGAACTTATTATTATTATCTATTTTACTCATCAAACATGAAATTCAGTCAACTGAAATTATTATCTATTTTATTCATTAAACATGAAACTCAGTCAACTGAAATTATTATTATTAATTTTGATTAAACGTGAAACTCAGTCAACTGAAATTATTATTAATTTTACTCATTAAACATGAAACTCAGTCAACTGAAATTATTTATTATTATTATTATTATTATTATTATTATTATTATTATTATTATTTAAAATGCATTATTTTGGTGGCCGCTGGAAAAATTGCTTTTGGACCCCTCTCGCCCCATTCCAGACCCAGCTATATATAAAAAAAGAAAGGAACGCTTGCTTCTCCCCCCCTCCATTTCTTAATGGTTTCTTCTACCCTTCCCTTGCCAGTCGCTTACACACAGTCGCCTTCTCCTCCCCTCCCCCCCCCTCCCGCCCGCTGGAACGCTCCGCCGGTGCGCCCCCCCCCCCCCCCCCCACCCTCGCCGCGCCCCCCCCCCCCCCCGCGCAGAGCTGAGGGGCTCGCGCCCGCGTCGTCACCGAAGAGACAGAGAGAGAGAGAGAGAGAGAGACGGAGAGCGCATGCACAGCAGCCCTTCGGCAATCCCTCGTGGGCGCCTCGTTTAAATCTCCGCGTCTGAATACAATGGCAAAGCCACGCCCCTTCGGGGGCCACAGCCACGCCCCTTCTGCGGTCTGGCCCGATGCCCGCTTCCAAGATGGCAGCGCTGACGTCATTTTACCCTTTCTTTTTTTTTAAAAAAAAAAGTCTGTCATTCGTGGTTGTTATTGTTGGCACGTGGTTGCCTGGTTAACCACAAATCTGGGATGGTTTATTTTTTTCCCCTCCCCCTCCTTTGCATCCTTGCTTGATAAGCAAGGAGCCCAGAATTTAATCCAAATCATTTTAATTCCTTATCTGCCTTAATTTTGGAGCACAAATGCACCAAGACAAATTCCTTGTGTGTGCAATCACACCTGGCCAATAAAAAAATTCTATTCTATTCTGTTCTGTTCTGTTCTGTATTTTCTATTCTGTTCTGTTCCATATTTTCTATTCTATTCTATTCTATTCTATTCTTTTCTATTCTATTCTATTCTATTCTATTCTGTGTTCAGCAGGCAGCAAATTCCCAGTTTGCAAAGAAAGCACCCCCTCCCAAGTGTTTTTAAATGCATGCCCTGCATATTGAAGGAGCATAGTGATCAAACCAATATTTGCTGTTTGCTTCTGATATACTGCTAGAAATCATTTATTAGGAATTAAGCTTTATTATTGGCTTCTTATTAAATTAGTTGTTAGGAACTAATTCTAGCTTAGTACATTGTAACCTTAATACTGGTTGGCATTAGTGCAAAGTTTGTTACCTCGCTTCTGTGTCTCGCTTCTATTCTTGGCTTCAAAGCTAGGCACATCCCTGAAAATATAGAAGAAACCGTTACCCAGGAATAATTTATTTATTTATTTATGTAATTTATATATTTTTTATTTATTTATTTTTATATGCCGCCCTTCTCCAGAGACTCAGGGTGACTTACAATGGGTTAAGCAATAGCCTTCATACTTTTGTATATTTTTATACAAAGTCAGCTTATTGCCCCCACAAACCGGGTCCTCATTTAACCCACCTTAGAAAGGATGGAAGGCTGAGTCGACCTTGAGCCTGGTGAGAATTGAACTCGCAGTAATTGCAGGCAGCTGGATGTTAAATGCTGCCTTAGTAGGAGGCATTAGCCTCCTACACCACTCAGGCTCCTTCTCCCATAAGACTCAGGGTGGCTTACAAAAACAGAACAAGGAATTACGTAAACAATTAAAATCAGTTTAAAATTAAATTAAAATCAATTAAAAATTATTAAAATTATTTGAAGTCACCCCTACGGATTCAGTCCATCTGGTGAAAAAGCCACGTCTTCAATTTGCGGCGGAAGGAGAGGAGGTCCGGGGCTGTCCTGAGGCCAGTGGGCAGCCCATTCCAGAGAGTCGGCGCTCCCACAGAGAATGCTCTCCCCCTGGGGGCCGCCAGCCGACATTGTGTGGCTGATGGCACCCTGAGGAGGGTGAGCGCACCGGACGGTGGGAGGAAGGCAGGAGATGATTCTGCAGATACCCCGGGCCTAAGCCATGTAGGGCTTTATAGGTGAGCACCAGCACCTTGAAACGAACCCGGAGAGCCACCGGCAGCCAGTGCAGCTCGCGCCGGAGAGGTGTCACACGGGAGCACCGAGAAGCTCCCGTAACAACCCACGCGGCCACATTCTGGACTAACTGTAGTCTCCGGGTGCATCCCAAGGGCAGCTCCATGTAGAATATCAGGCCCCATAGATAAAGGAATCAGAGTAGGGAGTTTTCCTGCCTCATAGATTCTGAATCCTGAAAGCATTCTGCTGGATTTCTCCATACATAAGGTAGAAAGAGACAGGGGCTTCAACAAATAACTTTTTAAAGACCACTTTAGTAACGAACCTTTCAGTGGTGGGATTCAAATAATTTAACAACCGGTTCTCTGCCCTAATGATTTCTACCAACAACCAGTTTGCCAAACTGCTCAGAAAGTTAACAACCGGTTCTCCCGAAGTGGTGCGAACCGGCTGAATCCCACCACTGGAACCTTTGCCTCTGATTGGGTCAACTTTGAAGAGCCTGTAGTACAGTGGACTAAACACTGTTATTAACATCTGCTGCTTGCAATTACTGCAAGTTCAAATCTCACCAGGCTCAAGGTTGACTCAGCCTTCCATTCTTTCAAAGATAGGTGAAATGAGGACCCAGTTGTGGAGGCAATAAGCTGACTTTGTATAAATATACAAAAGTATGAAGGCTATTGCTTAACGCATTGTAAGCCGCCCTGAGTCTCCGGAGAAGGGCGGCATATAAATTAAAAGCAGAAAAAAAAAAAAAAGCAAACTTTGTTTCTATCGGCGTAAAATGTATATAATACTCTGAGCCACTCTCGCAGGTGTGTGGCTATTCCTTACATGCATTTTGTCTGTAAGTTTTGGATATTAGTTGTGTCACCCAGCCTTTTTACTTTGGCCATAAATAAAAAAGCTGTTATTTTTATTTTTTTGCAAGCCTTGTTTTGAATCTCACTCTCTTTGGCATCTCAGTGGCTCGGGGAAACGTCTGGGACCTTACAATATAAAACGATGACAAGAGAGCTAAAAATAAAAGGCTTGTGGCTTGAAATCAGACAACCTCAGCCCGCAAGAACATCATAATAATAGTTCAGGTCACTGATTAACTAGATAAGGCAGGTTTGTCGCTCTTTAACGTGCCATAAACTTTCAGTGGTTGCGACATCCGGAGTCTGGTTGGAAGTGTACACAGGCCCTGCCTGTCTGAAAACCTTTGGCCTATTTTCCGTAGCAATCCAGACATGCAGATTGGTGGAGAGGAATATGTTTGAATGGGAGTGTTTGGAAAGGTTAAAAAAAAGTCACAGGAGAGAGAGCTTGTCTGCTTTAAGGTGTTGGAAGAAATGTCTATCTGGGTTCAGTTCCAAGTGGAGAGGAAGACACTGGAAACATGGTGGCTGATTGGAAATATAGTTTTTAATGGTGGACAGGACCACATGGTTTGAGGTCCTGGGCAAAAAACCACATGGGAGAGAGAGAGAGAGAGAGAGAGATTTATACCCTTTGTTGGTAACTTTGTAGGTTGTCTGTGTTCTAGGCTTGGTTGACTCTCGCTGGATGGTGATGTAATGAAAGGCCTTTGGGCAATTCCTACTCTAGCTCTGCCTGAAGGAGGTAGATCTTTGTTATGTAGAATAGACTGGCCCAGGCCTTAATGGCCCATTGACGAAGGTGTGGGGGAGGCTGAGTTTCTGCCTCCCTTTTAGGGGAAATATTCTGCCCTTTTAATATTTCCTAAAATATCGAATTTTCCTAGGAGAAGGGTGTGTGCTAACTTTCTACAAAGGGGAAGCAGCAAAAACAGCCAAATGCATGTTTCTCAAGGTTGAATTAAGGCTTTGTTTTATTTTTTGGATTTATTTATTGTGACATTGTACCATAGGATGTAGGTGGTTGGTTTCTATTGAAAAAAAGAAATTGCTGAAACCCCTCCTCTTCGTCAGTGCTTATAATAATAAAGGTTTAATTTTCCCACAAAGGCCACCACAGAACATCTCTTTCATTTCCTTGGGTTTTTTAAAAAAAAACTTCATTTTTTATTTTATTCAGAAGGTTAAAATACAAGGCTTAGAATAACTTTATTGTCACTTTGAATGTACACTGATCGGCATGCATTAAAATGAAATTTCCTTGCATACAGCTCTCAAAGGGAGCGCTCACCTCCAATATACTACATGAACATGATAAAATAATTAAATAAATAAATACTGTTGGAAGAAATATCCTTCTGGGTTCTGCTCCAAGTGGGGAAACAGACACCGGAAACATGGAGACTGCTTGGAAAGATGGTTTAATGGTGGACAGGATCACATGGCTTGAGTTCCTGAACAGAAAAGGGGCAGATACAGTGAGTCCCTGGGTTTTTATGCTCTCCCTGGCTCTGAACTTCCTGGGGCCCAGAAAGAGTATCCTGATTGGTTGTCAGACTCCCAGGGGGTGGGGGTCTTAGCTAGCCTTGCTGGCTGATTGGTCACATGTGCTTCCCAGGTCACATGTGCTGAGTTTCTGCTGCTATTGTGTAGAGGGCTAATCCTATCTTTGTTGGATCTTGGGCAATTCCTACTATGGCTCTTCCTGAAGGAGGTAGATCTTTGTTATGTAGAATAGACTGGCCCAGGCCTTAATGGCCCATTGACAAAGGGTGGGGCAGGAAGATGGGAGCTGCTTCAAAACATGCTTATCCCAGGGAAATATAATATTCTGCCTTTTTCATATTTCCTAAAATATTTCACTCTTCCAGGAAAGGGGTGGGTGCTAACTTCCTACAATACAAAATTACGCATATACTTCCAGACACAAGATTCGTTTTTCTTGCCATGTACATGTATACATCCGAACTAGACTGTTGTTTCTCTATGTCATATTATGTGGGTACATGCATAATTTTATATTTATTTTCTTATTTGGTCATGTTTATATAGCCTATATTGGAGGTGGTGACCCTTTGAGAGCTGCATGCAACAAAATTTCATTTTTAAAAAATATACAAATACAAATTTCTTTACAAAATAGAAAAGAAGAAAAAATTAACAGGCAAGAACAAAAAATGTGAATTAAAAAGGACAAAAACAAAATATATTGTTTTTTTTAGAATAGAATAGAATTTTTTATTGGCCAAGTGTGATTGGACACACAAGGAATTTGTTCTTTGGTGCATACGCTCTCAGTGTACATAAAAAGACAAGATACGTTCGTCAAGGATGATAAGGTACAAGACTTAATGATAGTTGTAGGGTACAAATAAGCAATCAGCTCATACTAGGAAACAATCAGATAGATAGATAGATAGATAGATAGATAGATAGATAGATAGATAGATAGATAGATAGATAGATAGATAGATAGATAGAATTCTGTATTGGCCCAAGTGTGATTGGACACACAAGGAATTTGTTCTTTGGTACATAAAAAGAAAAGATTGTTGCAATTGATTTGTCAATGTTCAACTAGGGGTGATAATATGTTTTTTGACTTTTTGTCCATTTTGTTAGTTTTGCTTTGTTTTTTACGATCGCTCTGAATTTTCTCACAGGAAAAGCAATATTGCTTTGGGATAATATATAACCCCAAGCCCAGTTCTTTGAGAGAGAGAAAATTATCAATAGGGACATATCACTGCTGCTATTATTATTTCTTTAAATTTATTGTTCTCCCAACTCCCCATAAGAAATTCTGCTACTAATCATAGATTTAAAAAAAAAAAAAATCTCTATGGTTATTCTTGAGGAAGGCTCCTATACACAAAAGGATGCATCTCTTCCTAGCTCTACAGCTCCACTTCCTGTTTCGCGGCCCACTTTCAAGATGGCCGAACGAACAACTTCCGCCCCGAAGCCGCCGTCTCCAATGAGCGGAAAGCTTTCTTAAAGGAACGCCTACCTTTTCCCGCTTTTCTGCGCCGGCTCGGAGGATGGTGGTGGCGTCTTTCCGAGAGGCGCATGCGCGAAGGCGGGCTGCTTTTTGGGGGGCACCAGAGTGGGCTTCTTGAGGGACGACGATGGCGGCGGGGTGCCGGGGGGGCTGTTGCGGGTGCTGCTGCTGCTGCTGTGGGGAAACAGAGAGCCGCACTCCGGAAGAGCTGGTGAGGGGTGGGCTAGGAGGGGCTTTCCTCGTTGGACCCCCCCTTTTTTTTTTCAACAGATATGGGGGTGGGGTATTACATTTGCATATGCAAATTAGGCTGGGTCTGGTAGCACTTTTTTTTTTTTTTGGCTGTTACCTCATGGCAAAGGCGAAGAGGGCGCCTCTGAGCACGTACAGAGTTCCTTGTGGAACCCAAGAGGTTGAACATTCATATATATATATATATATATGTGTGTGTGAAATAGCAGAAATTATTATTTGTGAGAATATTATGCGCAAGAAAACGACGGAAATAAAAGCCAACCAAAACGTGAAATTAAAAGCGGGAGTCTTTTAAGTATTGTTTCATTTGCAAAGGCAATGACTTCAGCATGCCTTGGATTTCCAAGGCACTCCATGCAAAATCTCGCTTTTTAGGTGTTTTATTTTTCCCCTGCATGTTGGTTATGAATATTTATATTTATTTTATTTGTTTGTCAAACAAGTCCAAGGTAACAAGTATAGGTATGAACAGAAGCATGAGCAAAGGAAGTAACTATATCTGGTTTGCCTTTATCATACTGATCTGTTAATTATTTCTTTTATTTTGCAGACCATCCTTGGAGAGACGGAGGATGAAGACGATGAAATTCTGCCCCGTAAAGACTATGAGGTGAAGTGCCTCAAAAAAGAGCTTCATTTGTTAGAAAGAGCATGAAGCATTGCAGAAAAAAAGGAGAGAGATGTTGCTGGGAGTTTCTGCTTCTCTCTTAAAAGACTGAAAGTAAAGTTAAGAGTAGTTGCCCAAAAATGGGACGTGGGTGGCTCGGTGGCTAAGACGCTGAGCTTGTCGATCAGAAAGGTCGGCGGTTCGAATCCCTAGTGCCGCGTAACGGGGTGAGCTCCCGTGGCTTGCCCCAGCTTCTGCCAACCTAGCAGTTCGAAAGCACATAAAAAAAATGCAAGTAGAAAAATAGAGACCACGTTTGGTGGGAAGGGAACAGCATTCCATGCGCCTTTGGTGTTGAGTCATGCCGGCCACCTGACCACGGAGACGTCTTCCGACAGCGCTGGCTCTTCGGCTTTGAAACGGAGATGAGCACCGGCTCCTAGAGTCGGGAACGACTAGCACATATGTGCGCGGGGAACCTTTACCTAGTTGCCCAAAGCTGTTTCATTCCCGAGTAGGTCTCTTCTAAATGAGCCTTTTTTGGCGAAACTCTGCGACTTCAATCGATGTTGGGAAACTAAGCAAGGTCAGAGTTGAGTATCCTTGGAAAGGAGACCATAAAGAAACCCCTGGGAATGTAGGCAGGACAGGAGGATCAAAACAACAGAGCCTAAAAGAATGACAAATTTCTTTTGTACAGCTGGAAAGAAAATGGCTTGTACAAATAGGTTTAGTCACCGTTAAAGTGATTTTAAGGTGGCAATTCAGTTACTCCGGAGAGGGTGGCTTTCTTTACTTAGCAGCCAACTTCTTGCAGCACTCAAAATTAGGGTTGATGAATTAGGTTCAACTACCGTGTTTTCCTGAAAATAAGACCCTGTCTTATATTTTTATGAACCCTGAAATAAGCACTTGGCCTTATTGCCCTGCGCTCAAAAGCCCCATTGGACTTATTTATCAGGGGATGTCTTATTTTGGATGAAACGGGGTAGTTTTTCATAGGATTATGGATTTATTTATTTAGCGTATGGCAAATACACGGACTTATAGTAGTTCAAATGTTCATGTCCAGTCCACCCAGCCATTTAAGGACAGGGTGGTGTATGTTGAAAAAAATCAGACATTGGGCCGGTGTAGACTCTTGATGGACATTAGGACACAATGTGGTGGATATTTTGAGGATTATGGAGTTTGACATACAGTCCTCAACTTACGACGTTAAGTCATAATTGAGCCCCTAATTTTTGTTGCTCAGCAAAACATTTGTTAAGTGAGTTTTGCGCCATTTTACGACCTTCCTTGCCCCAGATGTTAAATGAACCACTTGCCATTGTTAAGTGAATCTGGTTTTCCCGTTGACTTTCCTTGTCAGAAGGTTTTAAAAGGGGATCATGTGACCCCGGGATACTGCACCTGTCATAAATATGAGTCGGTTGCCCAACGTCTGAATTTTTTATCCCTTGAACGTGGGAATGCTGCAGTGGTCGTAAATGTGAAAAATGGCCCCTATGTGACTTTTTTCAGTGCTGTTGTAACATTGAACGGTCACTAAACGAAGTGTCATAAATTGGGGACTACCTGTAGTGTGAGGTGTGGATCCAGCTATCGCATGAAATGGCTTTTGCTTGAAAGTTGGCTATAACCTGCTGTCAACCTTTCTGAAAATATTGGCATTTCGTTTCTCCTCTCCAGAGTTTGGATTATGATCGGTGCCTCAATGAACCGTACTTGGAAGTCCTAGAAAGCCTCGATAACAAGGTAAGACGTAACGGGAGTCTTGATCGCAGTGGGTTTAGTAAATCAAATTGTGAAAGGGGGCTTGCGTTCCTGGGAATAGAGGAATATTTGAATTTGCTTCAAAGCGTATTAATGTTACTGTCAGGCAGGGGTGAAATGTTCCCAGTTCGGACCGGATCGCCCGATCCGGTAGCGATAGTGGCAGGCGGTTTGGAGAACCGGTAGCAAAAATCCCTGCCCCTCCCATGCCCAGCTGAGCTGTGCAATCATCAGAGGCTTTTAAAAAAAAAAAAACATTGTTTCTACAACCTCTTCGGCCGAAAAAATGCTTTTAAAAGTAAAAAAAAAAGCCTCTGATGATCGTGTGGCTCAGCTGGGATCATCAGAGGCTTTTAAAAGCATTTTTTCTACAACCTCTTCGACAGAGGTTGTGAAAAAATGCTCTTAAAAGCCTCTGAGGGCAGAGGCCAAGGCTTTTTTTTTCTTTTATAAGCCTCTGATGATCCCAGATGAGTTGCCTGATCGGCAGAGGCTTTTAAAAGCATTTTTTTTTACAACCTCTTGGGCCGAAGATGTTGTAGAAAAAATGTTTTTAAAAGTTAAAAAAAAAAAGTTGGCCACGCCCACACAGTCACATTACCCCCACCCCCACCAAGCCACACCCACAGAACCGGTAGTAACAAATTTTACATTTCACCACTGCTGTCAGGTCTGGAAGCCATCTGCAGGCCTGCCACAATTAGTGCTGTGGGAAACTGGGAGGGGGGATTGTATGGAGCTGGGGAGATATGTAGTCAAAATAACATTCCTTTCTCCAAGAGTCAAGGCCACTCTGCCGTGCACCTGGAGGGGTGTGACTGGAAAGCATCTCCAGTTGGGACGGTGCATTGATTGGACCATGTGATGGACATGTGGGTGCTGGTGCAGGGACCTGGACTTTCTTTTGGGTGGGGAAAACCTGGAAGCTTTCAGATTCGGGTTTTCCCAGATGTGCCAATATGACATCATGCCTAACCTCGGAGTTTTCTTTCGTTGGGGGTGTTACTTGGAATCCTGACATTTACTGTGAGAGGCACTCTACATTTCAAATGCATGCTTCCCTCCATATTCTCCATCCAGTGTGTAGGTAAAGAGCAAGAGTAATTACAGGGAGTCCTCGACTTACGACCGCAACTCAGCCCAACATTTCTGTTGCTAAGTGAGACATTTGTTAAGTGAACTTTGCAACCTTTCTTGACTCGGTTTGTCAGGTGAATACTGCCGTTCTTAAATTAATAACACGGCTGTTAAGTGAATCTGGCTTCCCCACTGACTTTGCTTGTGAGACGGTTGCACAAGGCAGATCACGAGATCCCGGGACGCTGCAACCGTCATAAGTACGAGTCAGTTGCCGAAGTGTCTGAATTCTGATCACGTGACCATGGGGATGTTGTGAAAAACAGTCATAAGTCACTTTTTTCCTGAGCCGTTGAAACTTTGATCGGTCACTAAATGAACTGTTGTAAGTTGGGGACCACATGTATAGAACAATGTGTGTGTTTCTATTAGTAAATTGCTAAGGTTTACGGGTCTGGGAATCTATCAACATTGGTTGCTGTTGATAGTTTTTCCCTTTGTAAACTACCATATTTTTCACAGTAAAAAACGCACCTTTTTCCCCCCTAAAAGGGGGTGAAAATTTAGGTGCGTCTTATACACCGAATGTAGCCCCGCCCACCCACTGGCCCCCACCCTTTGGCCTCTGCCTCCCAGCAGTTACCTCCTTGGAAGCAAACAGCAAGGAAAAACAGTTCCTTTCAGCTTCAGCACAACCTCATTAGCACAAGTTGATTGGATCGGCCTCCCGACTCTCAGCTGATTTGCTCTCAGCTGTTTTGCGCAGGGCTCTGCTGCTTGCTGCAAAGAGGTAAATTGTTGGAGCAGGTTTTTTTTCCCCTTGTGCTAATCAAGCTACGCTGAAAACGAAACTGAAAGTAAAGCAGGCTGTTCGTTGCAAGGAGGCAAAACTGCTCAGAGGCAGAGGGAGATTTCTTTTTCTTCTTTTCCTCACCCAAAAAGGTAGGTGCGTCTTATACTCCGAAAAATACGGTAATCTTATCTTTGCGGATGAGGCTGAGTTGGAACGTCTGATTGCAAGCACTTCCAAAGTTGAACTGTGTGTTTCGGCGTGGATTTGACCAACGTGTAGCTTTTATCATCCACGCCCCCAGGTGCCCCGTCCGACCTTTGCCTGGGGAATGTTGATTGAAGGAAAAACACTCAGACCATCGATTGGCACAAAGGAGTTATCAAAATGCTCTGAGCACAATTTGGAGCTGAAAGTGAAACACACAATTCTGGGTTTAAATGTCTGTAGAGATTCTCCGTCATCCAGTCACACTTGTCCTAAAGGTGCTTTTTTTTTCAAGAGGCAACTGGACTTTCTTGTTTTTTTCTTTTGAAGACGTTTCGCTTCTCATCCAAGAAGCTTCTTCGGCTCTGACCGGATGATGGTGGGGAAGGGAAGGATTTATACTCCTTGGCAGACAGCTGGTCATTTCCATCCTTTTAAGAGAGCCCTTGAGGCTACTTGGAGGTTTGTCTGTGTCCTCAGGGTCACCTGAGTAGTGCAAGTGGTTCTTGTAATCTGCAATTTTTCTGGAAATCCATTCATACCTCCCACACCGTTGTCCAGAAAAGAGATTCTCAGAAAAAGGACCTTTGGGACAACCTGTTGTGGTCCGCCAGCAGCCTACGGAGCTGTCAGCGGAGTCAGACAGTGAGGAGGCTGAGGAAGAACATGGGCCAGTCCTGGAGGCTGGGGAAGGCCCGGATGAGGGCTCTGCGTCGGAGGCAGAGATGGGGCCAGGGCCATCAGGGAGTGATGTGTGGATTCCAGAGCCTCCAGAGGCTGACAGTAGAGAGGCAGAGGAACAGGAGGAGCCTGTTCCTAGTGCACGCATGAGAAGAGCTGCCAGAAGGCAGGAGCAGCTACAGCAAAGAGGATGACTCGGGAGTAAAGCCAGGAGATGATTGGCCCCTCCCATAAGGCTTAAAAAGACCAGCAACGGCTCTTGGGCTCTTTGTCGGAAAACAACGTTGATAGTCTTGCTGCGCTTATCTCTTGTTGGCGTCTTCTGCTTTTGAACTTTTGCCAAGAGATGCCTTTGGCAGTTTGCCTAATTATACCAAGGTTGGTGATTAGACTGAAGAATGGTGTTTTGAGAACTTTGCTTTCATTTAATTTGGAAGACGCTGAGAATGAGTTAATTCTCAGCTGTTTTAATAAAATCTGTTTGTTTCTTGGAACTGTGTTTTGCATTTAATGTTAACTACGTGGGCCTGGGACACAACACAACCATGATCTGGATGACTGGGAATTCTCCATAGACTTTTAGCTATGCCATTTGGGATGAACGCCCTTCCAATGGTGTGGGAGGTATGAACGGATTTCCGGAAAAATTGTAGGCTGCAGGAACCATTTGCACCCCTCGGGTGACCCTGAGGACACAGACAAACCTCCAAGTGGCCTCAACGACTCTTTTAAAACACGGGTGTCAAACTCGATCATGTCGCGTGATGTTTTGGGATGTATCGCCATGGATTTTTTGTCTATGCGGAGCCCGGGGTGGGCGTGGCCTGTGCGTGACGCATCCGCCAGTTTGACAGGCCTCCTGTCAAAGGATGCCAATGACCAGCTGTCTGCAAGGAGTATAAATCCTTCCATTATTCCCCACCAGTCAGAGGTGAAGAAGCTTCTTGGATGAGAAGCGAAACATCTTCAAAAGAAAAAACAGGAAAGTCCAGTTGCCTCTTGAAAAAAAAAAAAAGCACCGGTTTTAAATCGTTTCTTTTTTTAAAAAAAATGAAGCATATGGCCATTTGTTTAAGCAAGTTATGTAAGCTATCGCATCTTCCCCAAAGCATCCATGAGATCTAGAAACCTGATGTTTGCCTTTGTCTTTCTCCCTTTCAGAAAGGCCAGCGCTATGAAGCGGTGAAGTGGATGATGGTTTTTGCCATCGGAGTTTGCACGGGGATGGTAAGCCGCGAGTGCTGTCTGCTCCGAGATAGACACGCTCTTTTATTGATTTATTTTATTTATTGGTTCAATTTATATGCCGCCCTTCTCCGGAGACTCAGAGCAGTTTACAGTGCGTTTAGCAATAGCCTTCATACTTTTGTATATACCTGCTTAGTAGGGCTTTTGGCCCCCCCCTAAGCGGTTCTTTTTTATACAAAGTCAGCTTATTGCCCCCTACAAACCGGGTCCTCATTTTACCTACCTCGGAAGGATGGAAGGCTGAGTCAACCTTGAGCCTGGTGAGATTCGAACTTGCAGTAATTGCAGGCAGCTGGTGTTACTTAACAGTACTTTAATCTGCTGCGCCACCAAGGCTCTTCTTATCTTTTCCTTAGTGTGCAGTTGCTAACATAAGACAGTAGAAAACAGGCACGTAATCCTCGACTTACGACCACAACTGAGCCCAAAGATTCATGCTGCTAAGTGAGGCATTTGTTAAAGTTGAGTTTTTGCCCCCATTTGATGACTTTTCTCGCCGCATTTGTTAAGCGACTCGCCGCCGTTCTTAAATGAGTCACATGGCTGTTAAGCGAATCTTGATGATCCCCATTGACTTTTGCTTGTCAGAAGGTCGCCAAAGGCGAGATCGATCGTATGACTCCGGGACACTGCTAACGTCATAATTACGTGTCAGTTGCCAAGCTAGTCACGTGACCGTGGTGATGCCACGGTCGTAAGTATGAAAAAATGATCGTAAGTCGCTTTTTTCAGTACCGTTGTAGCAATAGCAGAGTTGGGATTCACATAATTTAGCTACCGAAAATTAGCACTGAAAATATGAGCATGTGCAACCTCCGTGCATACACCCGGCCTTTCATGCATACGCTTTACTTGCGAGCGTATCTTCCGCGCATGCGCCTGGCTTCGAAAACGTGCCTAAATAAGACAGCATAGAACCGGGGTGATTTCCACTACCGGTTCGCCTGAACCAATCCGAACCGGCTGAATACCACCTCTGAGCAATAGCAATAGCCCTTCTACTTATATACCGCTTCACGGTGCTTCACAGCTCTCTCTAAGCGGTTTACAGAGTCGCCCCCCAAAATCTGGGTCCTCGTTTTACCGACTTTGGAAGGATGGAAGGCTGAGTCAACATTGAGCCAGTCAGGATCGAACTTCAGACTGTGGGCAGAGTTAGCTTGCAGAACTGCATTCTAACCACTGGGGGTGGGAAGGAAGGAAGGAAGGAAGGAAAGGGAAGGGAAGGGAAGGAAGGAAGGAAGGAAGGAAGGGAAGGCAATAGCACTTAGACTTATATACCGCTTCACAGTGTTTTGCAGCCCTCTCTAAGCGATTTATAGTGTCAGCCTCTTGCCCCCAACAATCTGGGTCCTTGGAAGGACGGAAGGCTGTGTTAACCTTGAACCGGTCAGGATTGAACTCCAGGTGGTGGGCAGAGTTAGCCTGCAATATTTTATTCTAACCATTGGGAGGGAGGGAGGGAAGCTGCATTCTAACCACTGGGGGTGGGAAGGAAGGAAGGAAGGAAGGAAAGGCAGTAGCACTTAGACTTATATATCACTTCACAGTGTTTTACAGCCCTCTCTAAGCGGTTTACAGAGCCAGCCTCTTGCCCCCAACAATCTGGGTCCTCGTTTTACCGATCTCAGAAGGATGGAAGGCTGAGTCAACCTTGAGCTGGTCAGAATTGAACTGCTGGCAGTGGGCAGAGTCAGCCTGCAATGCTGTATTCTAACCATAGGGAGGGAGGGAAGGAGAAAGGAAGGAAGGAAGGAAGGACGCTTAGACTTATATACCGCTTCATAGTGCTTCACAGCCTCTCTAAGCGGTTTACAGAGTCAGCCTCTTGCCCCCAAACAATCTGGGTCCTCGTTTTACCCACCTTGGAAGGACGGAAGGCTGAGTCCACCTTGAGCCGGTGAGATTCGAACTGCCAAACTGCTGGCAGCCGGCACTCTTAACTTTTGTAACTTTGAACAGTCACTAAATGAAGTTGTATCGTTGTTGTTGTTGTTTTAAATTGCCTTGTTCCTTCCTCCCTCTGCAGGTGGGCCTTTTTGTAGACTTTTTCGTCCACCTCTTCACCAGAATCAAATTCCACGTGGTTCAGAACTGTATCTTTTCTAGTTTGAATGGTGGGTTTTGAAAGTTGACAGGAGAGAGAGAGAATGCCAATCGCCCCGTTAGAGGAATCCTGCTGGCCTCGGGCAGGGCCCAGCGTTTGGGGCAAAACAATTACAGTAACGGTAACAGTCACGGAAGGGACCTTGGAGGTCATATAGTCCACCCCCCCCTCACGCAGGAGACCTGTACTAGGGATTCGAACCGCCAAACTGCCGATTTTTCTGATCGAGAAGCTCAGTGTCTTAGCCACTGAGCCCACCTAGTCAGGCGTTGTTACCTTGCTCTTAAGCCAGGTACTTTTTCATGAACATCACTTGGTGCTTCTTCCTTCCTTTCCTTGACTCCGTCTCTGCAGCGGTGGAGGACTGCAGCGAGAAAGGTTGCCTGGCCATCTCTCTGCTGGAGCTGTTGGGCTTCAACCTCACCTTCATCTTCCTGGCCAGCCTCTTTGTCTTAATCCAGGTAAGGCTTCTCTTCCGGTTCTCCGTTCACAAGGAATAGATTTACAATCAACAATCTGTCTGTAGAGATTCTCAGGTGGTGGTTGATCCAAAGCAGTGGTGAAATACAAAAATTTGTTGCTACCGGTTTTGTGGGTGTGGCTTGGTGGGCGTGGCTTGTTTTTTTTGTTTTTGTTTTGTTTTGTTTTTGTTTTTTGTTTTGGCTTTAATTTATATGCCGCCCTTCTCCGGAGACTCAGGGCGGCTTACAATGTGTTAAGCAATAGCCTTCATACTTTTGTATATTTATACAAAGTCAGTTTATTGCCCCCACAATCTGGGTCCTCATTTCACCTACCTTTGAAAGGATAGAAGGCTGAGTCAACTTTGAGCCTGCAGTAATTGCAGACAGCTTGATGTTAATAACAGTGCTTTAGTCCACTGTACTACAGGCTCGTTGGGTCATGTGACAGTGGGCGTGGCTGACCTTTTTTAAAAAAAAATTTTAAAGCATTTTTTACTACCTATTCGCCCGAACCGGTAGCATTTCACCCCTGACCCAAAAATGCTTTTTTAGGAGGCAAATTGGATTTTCTTGTTTTTTTTCTTTTGAAGACGTTTCACTTCCCATCCAAGAAGCTTCTTCAGCTCCATTCCCCACTAACCTGTCAGTGCTGAAGAAGCTTCTAGCTGCGGTTAAGACATGTAAAATTAAGCATGTATTCCCTTTATTATATTTTTTCCGGTAAGCTGCCCAAAACAAGAATATTTCTGATTTTAAATCTATATTGTTGTTTTATCATTTTTTTTTCCAACCACATATGTACTTTTCTCCAGTATTTTTTGACTTTCGGGCATGTCCATCACATATGATAGTACGAGCCTGATGCCTGATGACATTTCCAACATTTAGCAGAATTATCCTTAAACATCTTTGCCAAACTTGTGGGTGTGAAAAACGCATCTGTAAAACATTTTATAAATGTCCTGTGTTGTGCCTTCCTTTCCAGCCAGTAGCTGCCGGATCTGGGATTCCAGAGATCAAGTGTTACCTGAACGGAGTCAAAGTCCCCGGGATCGTACGTCTTCGGACTCTGATCTGCAAAGCCCTGGGGGTCCTTTGCAGCGTGGCTGGAGGTAACGCCCAAAACCGTCGCTCATTCTTGGTCCTTGTTCTTTCTGGCGTTGGGAAGGTAGCTGGGTTTTCCCGTAACCGGACGTATCTTTTCTCCCAGGTCTTTTTGTAGGGAAGGAAGGCCCCATGATCCACAGCGGCGCTATCGTCGGGGCTGGCCTACCTCAGGTGAGCGCGAGTGCTAAGCTCGTCCCAATGGGGCAGTGTGAGATTTTTAAAAAACAGCAAACCTCATAAAAAGTGAAACAGAGACTATGAACAAGTAAAAAGCAGATTTATTATATATGTATGTATATATGTATGTATGTATGTACGTATATGTATATATGTGTATTTTTCTTCAACCGGGTATTTTCCTACCTAAACCAAGTTTCTCAACTTGCAGCCATAACTCAGTGAAATCACATCCACTATCCTAGGCTTCTTCAGACAGCAAGCAAGCATTTTGCTGCCTTTTGGGAGACTAATATAGATCTATTTCGGACTGATTGGTCCTAATCAGTTAGCCACACCCTTACCATATGTTCCCTCCCCGTAGAGGCTAAGTATTTGCTTTCTTCTCTTACCGTAGGTTTTTGTGTGTATTTTTCTTCAACCAGGTATTTTCCTACGTAAACCAAGTTTCTCAACTTGCAGCCATAACTCAGTGAAATCACATCCACTATCCTAGGCTTCTTCAGACAGCAAGCAAGCATTTTGCTGCCTTTTGGGAAACTAATATAGATCTATTTCAGACGATCAGCAAAACAATTAGAATGCCCCCGCCAGATATTGTTTTCGGTTGTTACATAACATTTTGGCTTTCATTCACATGTTCCCGCCCTGGAGTTCCCCTCCAAAATTCCTCTCCAAAAATACGTCTCTTCCTCTTTTTCAATAGAACTTAGGTCAAGGATGGGCAAATGTGGCTCTTTTACAACCGGTGGACTTCAACTCCCAGAATTCCTGAGACAGCCAAGCTTGGCTGTCTCCGGAATTCTGGGAGTTGAAGTCCACCGGTTGTAAAAGAGCCACATTTGCCCACCCCTGACTTAGGTCAACCTGACCCAACTTAGAATGTACCAAAACATCTATTTCCTCAAAACCAAGGAGTCATAGTTCCCTTATTTTTAGTCACAGTTCCGTTTCCCAGAACAAAATGCTTACCCATGTCCTATTCTGATTAATGCTGGAGAGCCAAACTCAGGTTATATAAAACAGTTATATAAAGCATGTTATATAAAGGTTAAATATGGAGTTGCTTAGGTTTTTTAATTTTTACAGGAATAATTCATCTTCTCTCAGGCAGAAATGTTTTTTTTTCGAAAATGCTTCTCCGGATCTGTGCTTGGTGTGTTCCAATGCAAGATAAAAAAAAGCTGAGTTTTAGTTAACGCTTTCCAAGGTTTTCATTTGGGGCAAAGATTTCTGACAGGAAAATCCCAGTTTTGCTAACCTGCATTTTTCAGAATTTGGCCAACCTAGAACAAGCGCCGATACCTGAGTCCCAGAGGTCTGTCTTTGTGTCTGGTTTTACAGTTGTGAGATTAAGAAGAGTTCATCGCCTTTTCGGGTTTTTCTTTCCAAAAGAAAAAACGGACACTTCAGATAATTACAGGTAGTCCTCCACTTACAACCACCATTGAGCCAAAAAGTTCTGTTGCTAAGTGAGACATTCATTAAGTAAGCTTCGCCCTATTTTATGACCTGTTTTGCCTAAAACGACCTGTTTTACGACCGTCGTTAAGTGAATCCGTGCAGCTGTTAGATTAGTCACACGGTTGTTAAACGAATCTGGCTTCCCTGTTGACTTGGGTTTGTCAGACGGTCACAAAAGGGGATCACATGACCCTGGGACTCTGCAACCGTCATAAATATGAGTCAGTGGCCAAGCCTCTCAGTTTTGTTCACATGACCACGGGGATGCTGCAACGGTCGTGAGTCCCTTTTTTTCACTGCTGTTGTCACCTTAGACGGTCACTAAATGAGCTGTTGTAAGTCGACGACTACCTGTGTAGTATCACTCCCTGTGAATTTTGTCTGGTGTTTTTTTTTATATGTGTGTGTGTGTGTGTGTGTTAATATTTCGCTGACAAAGAAATAAAGGGAGACTAGTATAGATCTATTTCAAGCTATTTAGCTCTCATTAGCTAGCCATATTCTTACTCGGATTCGAACTTGGGCTGCCTGCATATTAGGCAGTTGTATTAACCTCTGAGCCACAAGTTCTCCTCCCTTCATCAACTTGAGCCAGGGGAGAGATTAAGTGTTTTTCTATCAAGGCACTTGGTCTACCCCAACATGTGGGATATGTATATATATATAAATATAAATAACTTGGCAAACCAGCAATTATCCTTCAACATTCACTTACTTTTCCTTCTCTCTCTTTCTCTTTTTCGTTCTGCAGTTCCAGAGTATCTCTTTAAGGAAAATCCAGTTTAATTTCCCCTATTTCCGAAGTGACAGGTATGGTGGCTCCTTGAGTGGAGAAGGCATGGCTCTATGTGTAGGAGAAGGATGTGTTTTCAGATTTGCTGTTTGCCCAGTGGTGAAAATTTAGCCATGTTTTGCTGTGGGATGGTGTTGCCATGTGGTGTCTCTTTTAGAGAAGCAATTGCACCCTCTCATCAATGGCTGCCTTCGTTATTGGCTGCCAATCAGCTATCAGACAACAACTGACAATCCATAGATGGAGAAGCTCCCGTGTTTCCCCGAAAAGAAGACCCGGTCTTATTTTCTTTTGACGCCTGAAAAAATGGCTAGGGCTTCTTTTCGGGGGGTCTAATTACTGACTCATCTTGTGGTGGCGGCACCAACAGCTCTGGCCAACAGGAGCCCGCTGCCGGCCCACTTCTGCGGCCGCTTGCTGTCGCTCGCATGCGTTACCCCCGGCTTCCGTTTCGCCGTTAGAGCCTTCCGGAAGTCCCTCTGCAGCTGAGAAACGGGCTCCGGATTGATGTATGCTTTGCCCCCCTGCCTTGGCTTCCATTTCGCCTTCAGAGGCCTTCCAGAAAACCCTCTGCAGCTGGTAACAGAGCCCCGGATTGATCTGGAGCTCTATTATCAGCTTTCCGGAAGCCTCTGACAGTGAAACAGAGGCCGGGGGTGACACACGCAAGTGGCCACAGAAGAAGGGGATGTGTGGGATGTGTGAGGCCTGGTAAGTAGGGCAGCTTCACCACCCCGCATCCCCACCCTAGCTTAATTTTTACCTGTGCACCCTGCACCCACCTCTTGCACCCCACCCCCTGCACCCCGGGGTAGGCAGGATCTCAGGGCTAATTTGGGGGGGGGTAGGGCCTATATTGGGCACATGTGTAACAATCAAGCTAGGGCTTACTTTCGGGGTAGGTCGTGTTTTTGGAGAAACACGGTATTTATTTTCCTCTTCTTTTAAAATTTCTAACTCTGAAATCTGCTCAGCTGTCAGGCTTTGAGGTCGTCTCAAATAAATTGCATTTCAAACAAAGTCTTTGAAGGAAAACTCCTATTTATTAAGCACGACATTCTAAGTACGACTCCATCGAAGCCAACACTGACTTCCAGACCCAAAACCCTCCCTTTCCGTTCCCCACTCCCCTGCACTCATTGGCCATCCTCCAAGTCATTCTACCCCTAATCTACTCCTCCAGATCAAAGGAATTTCCCCCCTCCCATCCCATCTCCTAGGGGATATTATCTCCAGGGAAAATAAGTAGGTGAAAAGTCAAACGTCCCTTTCCAGACGCCTCCACTTCTCCTTCTTATGTCAGCACTAGAGTAAATGCAGCTTGAAGTGCTGACATCAGCTTTTTAAAAAGTCTCCAGCTAGTCCATGGTGAATAAGTCCAACTGCAATTTTTTTCCTCCCTTGGTATTTTCGAGGGTCCCTAACAGGTTGTGACTGTGAACTATGGAGGAACTCCTTTTCAAAACCCCTTTTAAAACCATCCAGATCTGAATCGAAGGCCATATTTGCTACTCTGAGAATCTAATTTGCCTTCATTGCTGTGTGACGTTTTGCACTATAAGCCTTGGCACTCAGTAAACTGGCTCAGTACAGGTAGCCAGCTAGAGCTTTCCTGACAGACCATCACTAAGCAGACCATGGTTTAGCTTCCAGCCAGCATGGGCAGTAAGAAATTCTGAGAAGGATAGTTTTAACCATCTGTGTCTCACTAGGACTTCCCCCTGGGTCTTTTTCGATTCATTGATTGGTCAATTATTTGTCCAGAGTGGTATACGGTCTCCTGCTTGAGCAAGGGGTTGAATTTAGGAGACTTTCAAGATCCTTGCTTACCTTGTTATTCTATATTCTGTGAGCCACTTAATGTATCGTACTTTTCGGAGTATAAGACACACTTTTTCCCTCCCTAAAAGAGGGTGGAAATGTTGGTACATCTTATACGCTGAGTACAGCCATTTTGGGCCTTCTGAAACCCCGCCCTGTGTGTCCCGTTTTCATCAAAAACAGGCCCATTTTTCGTAAAAACGGGGCCTGCAGAGGGTTTGGGAGGCCTGCAGAGTGCTCCTGGGGGCTGGGAAGGGCAAAAATGCAAAGCGTGGGGCGGGGGGGGGGGGGTGGGGTGGCAAAAAATGGGCCTTTTTTTTTGCAAAAAAAGGCATTTTTGCCCTCCCCAGTCCCCAGGAGCACTCTGCAGGCCTCCCAAACCCTCTGTGCACTGCATTTTTGTGAAAAACGGGCCCGCTTTTGGCCTCCCAAACCCCTCCACGCGTTGCGCTTTTGCCCTCCCCAGCCCCCAGGAGCACTCTGCAGGCCTCCCAAACCCTCTGTGCATCCCGTTTTTGCGAAAAACGGGACGCCCAGAGAGTTTGGGAGGCTTCCAGAGTGCTCCTGGGGGCCGGGGAGGGCAAAAACTTTTTTTTTTCTTGTTTACCTCTTCAAAATCTTATGCGTCTTATACTCCGGTGCATCTTATAGTCCGAAAAATATGGTACTTCTTAAAACATGCCCGTTGCCCTTCCCCAGTGGGGGTGTGGAAAATACAATGCTGCCTCTCGTGTTTGTTCTTTCTGCCTCAGGCACCTCCTGTTTTTTTTTCCCCCCTCTCTTAGGGACAAAAGAGATTTCGTTTCTGCTGGTGCGGCTGCTGGAGTCTCTGCAGCCTTCGGGGCGCCCATCGGAGGGACGCTTTTCAGCCTGGAAGAAGGCTCCTCCTTTTGGAACCAGGGCCTCACGTGGAAAGTGGTGAGACCAAACTCTCAGCTTGGCCCTCGTGGGTCTGGCTGGTGGGTCAGGATGCGAGACCCCTGCCGTCCCCATGTTTGTGTGTTCCCTTGAGGGCTCTCGGCAGGCCTTTTAGCTCTGAACACGGCATAGCCAGGCAGTCCTCAACCTACGACCGCAATGGAGCCCCGAAATTTTTGCAAAGCTAAGCGAGGTGGAATATTTTGTTCCTATTTTACGACATTTCTTGCCACAGTTGTTCCATGGATCTTGGCAGTTGTTTAAGTTAGTAACACCGTGGACGAGTGAAATCTGGCTTCTCCCGTGGACTTTGCTTGTCAGAAAGTCGCAAAAGAGGATCACACTGAAGTTTGAAGTTTATTCAATTTCTATACCGCCCTTCTCCCGAAGGACTCAGGGCGGTGTACAGCCATATTAAAAGTCATAGATTTATAAAATTTAAAACCAATTAAAATCGAATATATAAAATTTGGCCCGCGAATTAAAACACACATATTCCCATAATAAACACCCCAAATAACACTCAAACCGTCATAAATATGAGTCAGTTGCCAAGCTTCCGAATTTTGACCGCGTGGCCATGAATAGAGGCCACAACAGTTATAAGAGTGAAAAACGGTCATAAGTTATTTTTTTTTTCAGTGCTGTTGTAACCTCAAACAGTCACTAAACGAGGACTACCTGTAGGCAAGCTTTGGGACCTCGAAAATTACCCACACAGATCCTGGGAATGACCTGAATTTGTATGTCTTTTCCTTCCAGCTGTTCTGCTCCATGTCCGCCACCTTCACCCTCAACTTTTTCCGCTCCGGCATTCAGTTTGGAAGCTGGGGGTCTTTCCAGTTACCGGGGTTGCTGAATTTTGGAGAGTTCAAGGTAGGCCTTACTTGACTTTGAATCTCTTTTCCTTGATTAGAAAACCATCTGTTTTCCTAAAACCAGTGTAGAAAAATGTCCTTGGCTAATAATAATTTAGCCTTCTGGCAACAAGTTTCTCTCTCACCACAGGCTAACAGGTCCCTCCGTCCAGAAGATGAATAGTTGCCTGCCACATCTATTCATCTCCGCCCCCTGCCTTTTATCCCCAGAGTTAGGGTGGGGCTTCACTAGCAGCAGTGGCTCTTCCGTCCCAAGGACCGGCCCATAGATTTTCACTGCTCTCCTCTCCTCTGCCTTCTGTGCATCCGTGCATCAGGCACTGGACCCAGCTGCTCCTCCTCTTCCTCATCAGTCACCTCCAGACCTGAGGGCTATTGACTCTCCATCTGAGGGCTGACGGACGGCCCAGGCTCCGCCTCTGACTCTGTTGTGACCTCGGCTTTCTGAGTGACTAAAACAAATGAGTAGTCCCAAAAACCTCTTTTATTGCAACAGCTGTGAATTACGTTCATTCACAGCTGAGTCCCAATTAGTTGCAAAAAGTCCTTCGGGATAATCGCCAACCTTTCTCTCCCTTGACACTCTGCCAAAGACCTACTTGGCAAAGCCACACGGATTCCAGAATCAAACAGAGATGCCAACTGGGAACAGAATTAACAACGTTGCTTTCCTGCAAAGGGTCCACGTGCCTTTGCTCCTCTTTTAAGCCTTATGGGAGGAGCCAGTCATCTCCAGCCCTTACTCCCGAGTCGTCCCTTTTGTTTTAACTGTTCGTGCCTTCTGGCAGCTCTGCGCATGCACGCACTAGGAACAGGCTCCTCCTGTTCCTCTGCCTGTCTTCTGTCTGACTCTGGAGGCTCCGGAGTCCGCGCATCACTCCCAGACGGCCCCAGCCCCATCTCTGCCTCCAACGCGGAGCCCTCGTCCCGGCCTTCCCCAGACTTCATGTTCCTCTCCAACCTCCTCACTCCACTGCCAGCTCCGCATGGCGGACTACAACCGTCTCCCTCTCTGACAGCTCCATTCCCTCTTCCCCCTCGGAGCTCTCAGGTTGCCTTGATGCTGACCTGACTCCCACACCACCTCCTCCTCCTCTGATTCGGCTGCTGGAGGGGCCGGCGGCTGACAAGCCACAACAGCAGGTCTCCAGGCCCAGGTTAGAGAAAGCTGGATTGCGGCCATGAAACATGCACCACTTTTCTTTGTCTTGTCTCTTCCGTCTCCAGTGTCCAGAGTCTAACAAAAAATGCCACCTGTGGACCATCGTGGACTTGGGTTTCTTCATCCTGATGGGGGTCGGCGGGGGCCTCTTAGGGGCCACCTTCAACTGCATCAACAAAAGGCTGGCCAAATACCGTATGAGGAACGTGCACCCCAAACCCAAACTGGTCAGGTACCGGGACCTTTTCTGCGTTTGGAAGGTTTTTGCATGTAACATTTGCTGGAATTGGGTATGTCTAGTATAATGAAAAGAAGGATTAGGGAAGACATGATAGCAGTGTTCCAATATTTGAGGGGCTGCCCCAAAGAAGAGGGGGGGGGGTCCACCTATTCTCCAAAGCCCCTGAGGGACAAGAAGCAACAGATGGAAACTAATCAAGGAAAGAAGCAACTTGGAACTAAGGAGAAATTTCCTGACAGTGTGAACAATTAATCAGTGGAACAGCTGGCCTCCAGAAGTTATGAATGCTCCAACACTGGAAGTTTTTAAGAAGAGACTGGACAATCACTTGTCTGAAATGGTATAGGGCCAAGGATGGCGAACCTATGGCACGCGTGCCACCGGTGGCACGCGGAACCATATGAGTGGGCACGCGAGCTCAGCTCCGGCGTGCATGCGTGCACCAGCCAACTGATTTTCAGGTCTTCTGGGCCCACTGGAAGTCAGGAAAGAGGCCGTTTCCGGACTCCGGAGGGCCTCCAGGGGGGTGGGGAAGGCCATTTTTGCCCTCCCTAGGCTCCTAGAAAGGCTCTATAACTTGGGGAGTGTGAAAAACGGGCCTTTCGGTTCCACAGGAAATCAGCAAATGGGCCATTTCTGGCCTCCAGAGGGCTTCGGGGGGGGGAAGGCTGTTTTCGCCCTCCCCAGGCTCCTAGAAAGCTTCTGGAGCCTGGGGAGGGCAAAAAACCGGGCCTACTGGGCCCACCGGGCCAAAGCAGGAGGGGTGCGGGGGGGCACACGAGCATGTGCGTGCGGGGGCACATAGAATTATGGGTGTGGACATGTGCGTGCGTGCGTGACCCCTCTGCGCTCTCTCCACTTTTGGCACATGATGACGAAAAGGTTTGCCATCACTGATATAGGCTTTCCTGCCTTAAGCAGGAGGTTGGAGTAGAAGACCTCCAAGGTTCCTTCCAACTCTTAATTCTGCGTAAATCAGGAGAAGGCATTTTTGAGAATAGCTGTTGTTCGGGTGCCAGGGTGTGTTGGGGTGAAGAGGAAGGGGGCTATACAGGCAGTCCTCAGCTTACAACCACAATTGAGCCCCAAATTTCTGTTGTTGAGCGAAGACAGTTCGGTGAGCTTTGCCCCATTTTACGACCCTCCTTGCCACAGTCGTTAAGTGAATCCCTGCAGTCCTTACCTTGATAACACGGTTGTTAAGCGAATCTGGCTTCCTCGCAGAGTTTTCTAGAAGGTCGCCGAAGGGCATCGCTGAACACGGCAACCGTCATAAATATGAGTCGGTTGCCAAGCGCCTGAATTTCGATCCCGTGACAGTGGTTTGTAAGTTTAAAATGGTCATGTCACATTTTTCAGCGCCGTTGTAACTTTGATAGGTCATTAAACAGATGGTTGTAAGTCAAGGATGCCTGTACTTTGTTTTCTGTATATGGGGGGACCAGGGGGAAAGTGTGAGGGACCCTTATTCCCATGTCGCCTTGGGTGCCATGAGGAGAAAAATCACCAGTGCATCTTCACATTCAGTACGGTTAGTCCTCGACTTACAACAGTTCATTTAGTGACCGCTCAACATTACAAACAGCACTGAAAAAAAGTGGCTTGGGACCATTTTTCACAGTTGCAACCTTTGTAGCCTCCCCCTTGAACATGCGATCGAAATTCAGACGCTCGGCAACCGGTCCCATATTTACGGCCGTCACTGTGTCCCAAGCTCCCACGTGATTTCCCCTTTGGCGACCTTCTGGCAAGCGAAGTCACCACGAGGAAGCCAGATTCACTTCACAACCGGGTGGCTAACGTAACAAATGCAGTGATTCGCTTAACAACGGTGGCAAGAAAGGTTATAAAAACGAGGCAAAATACACTTAACAAACATATTTTTATCTTGGCTGAGTCCTCCGGGAGTAGGGCGGTATACAAATATGATAAAATAATAAAAATAATAAATAATCTCACTTAACAACAGAGGTTTTGGGCTCCCTTGTGGTCTTAGGTCGAGGACTACCTGCACCTCAAATCAAGGGTTTTGGGGTCCTGTTCTAACCTAGGCTCCTAGGCTTTAAAACCTAGGCTTTAAAAAAGCAGGAAGCAGAGTCTTGGTCCCGGCAAAACCTCTTTTATTTACACGACTGTGAATTCCTTTCATTCACAGTCAGCAAGGCCTGTCCAAACAGTCTTTCGGAGGAATATTTATCAACACAGACCTTATCTCGCTTGGCAAGCTGCCACGTAACTTGTTTCCAAGCGCAATACAAGGCAAAACTCGGCACAGAGTGTCTCAAGAGTCACGGAACAAACGAATTGTATCCTGCAAAAGCCCCCTCCCCGTTCGCTCCTCTTTTGTTTCCTATGGGAGGGGCCAATCACCTCCAAGGTGTGGCTTTACTCCCGAGTTGACCCTGCTTTCTGAGTTGTCCTTGTCTTCTGGCAGCTCTGCGCATGCGCACACTGGGAACGGGCTCCAGCTGTTCCTCTGCCTCCCTGCTGTCTAACCTCCAACGCAGAGCCCACGTCTGAGCTTTCCCCAGCCCCCAGGACTGGCCCATGCTCCTCCCCAACCTCCTCACTGTCCGACTCTGCTGCCAGCTCCGCTAGCAGGTCTCCTAGCTCACCTGGAGGGCGGGGCGGTGGGTATCTCAGCCTCTGTGACTTTTCAAGACATCGGTGTGGGGTTCCAAACCATCCATGTTTTTCGTGTGCTTTGCGTTGCTTGCAGAGTCCTAGAGAGCCTTTTGGTGTGCTTGACAACTACGCTTGTGATATTTTTCGCTTCGATGCTCCTTGGGGAATGCCGGCCGCTCTCTTCCACTGGCCACGGAGACAACAGCTCCTCCTCCTTCAGCCTGCAGGTGAGCGGAGAGCGTTTCGTGCTGACACGTCTCAAAAGATGGATGATGTGCATCTCGGGGTCACCTCTGGGTTGTTTTAAAATCCGTTTGAAACCCTTTGAAGGTCGCCCGGGAATCGATTGTAGAGCCCCCCCATCACAAACCCAATGTCCTTGGGGGTCTTTGGGGGGGGACTCCCTTTTAGAGGATAGATAGAGGAAGGGACATGGTGGCTCAGTGGCTAAGAAACTGAGCTTGTCGATCGAAAGGTCGGCAGTTCAGCGGTTCAAATCCCGAGTACCACGTAATGGGGGTGAGCTCCCGTTCCTTGTCCCAGCTTCTGCCAACCTAGCAGTTCGAAAGCAGGTAAAAAAAATGCAGGTAGAAAAATAGGGACCTCCTTTGGTGGGAAGGTAAGAGCGTTCTGTGCGCCTTTGGTGTTGAGTTATGCCAGCCACATGACCACGGAGACGTCTTCGGACAGCGCTGGCTCTTCGGCTTTGAAACGGAGATGAGCACTGCCCCCTAGAGTCGGGAACGACTAGCACGTATGTGCGAGGGAAACTTATACCTTTATCTTAGAGGAAGTCCTCGCCTTACGACCACAATCGAGCCCAACAATGTCTGTTGCTAAGTGAGACATTCGTTAAGTGGATTTTGCAACCTTTCTTGACAACGGTTTTATTTATTTGATTGATTTATTTTAGAAAATATGTATCTCGCCACCTGCTCCCACATGGCGACTCAAGGCGGCCACACGGATATCAAAACCCTATAAAAGAAAGATAATAAAATAATAAATTAGGAAAATAATAAAATAATTGCCCATCCCAGTGACAACACACATTCATACCAGCCATTTAATAGACTCCATCTTGCTCTGGGGTCCCCAGGCCCTCTGGCAGAACTGCGTCTTCAGAGCCTTCCGAAAGAGAGTAAGAGTGAGGACCAGTCTAATTTCCGGAGGAAGGATGTTCCAGAGAGAGGGAGCCACCACAGAGAAGGCCCTTCTTCTGGATCCCACCAGATGGACCTCCTTAGGGGACGGAACCGGCAACATTCCTTGCCTCCCCGCTCCGATGGGTCAGGTAGATGTGACCAGCAAGAGACGGTCCCTCAGTTAACCTGGTCCCGAGCCATGAAGATCTTTAAAGGTGACAACCAGCACCTTGAATTGCACCCGGAAGCAAATCGGCAACCAATGCAGCTCCCGCAGCAGAGGTGATTCATGTGCACACCGACGTCTGCACAAAACCAGATGGGCCGCTGCATTTTGCACCAGCCAGAGCTTCCGGATGCTCTTCAGGGGCAGCCCCTTAACGGTTGTTACCATATTTTTCGGAGTATAAGATGCACCTACCTTTTTTGGTGAGGAAAAGAAGAAAAAGAAATCTCCCTCTGCCTTTGCCTCTGAGCAATTTTGCCTCTTTGCGGCAAACAGCAGTCTGCTTTACCTTCATTTTCATTTTCAGCATAGCTTGATTAGCACAAGGAAAAAAAATATCTGCTCCAGCAATTTATATTTTTGCAGCAAGCAGCAAAGCCCTTCGCAAATCAGCTGAGAGTCGGGAAGCCGATCCAATCAACTTTTGCTAATTAGGCTGTGCTGAAGCTGAAAGGAGCTGTTTTTTTCTTGCTGTTTGCTTGCAAGGAGGCAGAGGCCAAAGGGTGGGGGCCAGAGGGTGGGCAGGGCTACATTCGGTGTATAAGACACACCTAAATTTTCATCCCCTTTTAGGGGATTTTACTCCGAAAAATACAGTAAGTGACTCCGTAAAGTTGTTAAGTTAGTCATACGGTTTATTTTGCTTGTCAGGAGGTCGGAAAAGGGGATCACGTGAACCCCCCCCTTCCCAGGGCACTGCGACCGCCGTAAATGTGTGAGTCAGTTGCCAAGTGTCTGAATTTTGGCCACGAATGGGTGCTAATGTCAGCGTTCCAGAAAACCCCCAACTCCAGTTAAAACCTCCGAGGCAAGCATTTCTTCCATTTATTAGAGTAGGTATACTAGCACATCTGGGAAAAACCGAATCAGAGTTCCAGGTTTCCCTTCAGTAAATCAAAACTCCCAAAACCATCCCCTCACTCATCAGTCCATCACATGCTCCAATCACCATCCGTCCCATCTCGAGACATCACTCCAACCACTCCCTCTCCAGATGCAGGATCGCCCTGACCTTGACCGAAAGGAAAAATGCTATTTTGTCTAACTACATTCCCTCTACTAAATCCCCTCTCCTACTTTCCCACACACAAGAAGGTGGCGGCATGGAAGCTTCCAGCCTAATATGGCTTCCAAAGCTGACAGGTGCAACAGTTATTAAGTGTGAAAAATCGTCGTAAGTCACTTTTTTCCAGTGCTGTTGTAACTTTGGTCCCTAAATGAATCGTTGTAAGTAAAGGACTACCTGTATTTCCACTTAGCGGGGAAATATTTATTATTATTATTATTATTATTATTATTATTATTATTATTATTATTATTATCATTTTAATTTGATTTATATGCCGCCCTTCCCCGGAGACTCAGGGTGGCTTACAATGCGTTAAGCAATAGCCTTCATACTTTTGTATATTTATACAAAGTCAGCTTATTGCCCCCACAAACTGGGTCCTCATTTCACCTACCTTAGAAAGGATGGAAGGCTGAGTCATCCTTGAGCCTGGTAAGATTTGAACCTGCAGTAATTGCAGGCAACTGTGTTAATAACAGGGTGCTTTAGACCACTGTACTACCAAGGCTTCCAAATATTGAAATTGGAACCAAAGAGATGGAAACCTCAGAACGGTCCCGAGAGAAGGTGCCATCTTAAAAGGTTGCAGCCTTTCAGGGACCTTGGGAGGTAAATTTTTAGAGATGCTTGACATGATTTTGTAACCGGGGTTAAACACAGTGCTCGTTTCTGCCAAGGATTCGTCATCGGAGGAGGTGAATTCAAGCATCAAGACATTCTTCTGTTACAATAATACTTACAATGACATGGCAACCCTGTTCTTCAACCCTCAAGAGTCGGCCATCTTGCAACTCTTTCATCAGGAGGGTGAGTCCCAGCTCTCCTCATACCGGAGCCGCGAGGAAAAGAATGGGCTATTTCCTGCGCTTTTATGCTTGCTTGCCTTCCTTGCTGGATTGGGCAGTGGCTCCAGAGGGTCTTGGTTAGAAATTTGAAGAAGTTTACTCTTGAGATGAAATTCAGGGAACTGGGGTTTTCATGGTCTCGGAATTCGTGGCTTGAGGGACGTGCATTTTTAATTAAGTAAACGAATTAAGCAAATTTACTTAAATGAATTAAGTAAATTTATTCACTTCAGGAGTCAATAAATTCTCCCAAGGTGGCCAACAGCTTCCAGGCAGTTCACACGCTTAGTGTCAGCGTCCCAGCACTGACTTATATAAGGAGAGGAGAAGCTTGAACTTTTGCCTACTTAATCCCTTTGAAGATTCTGTCTCCTCAGAGATGGGAGGAGGGAGACATTCCTGTGATCTGACGGAGAAGGGATGAGGAAAGTGGCTTGAAAGATAGCCAATGAGACGCAGAGAATTGGGGATCGGAATGGGAGGGATTGGGGGGGGGCAAAGGTCAGTACTGACCGCGAAAGAGCCAGGGACAGATCGCTATGCTCAATAAAGAGAAAATTTCCTCAAAGATCGGCAGTTTGGAAATTCATTTATTTTGAGATAGCATCGAAACCTGACACTTAGGGCATCTAAAATTCTCACGTTTCACACAGGAGTGTGAAAACACGGGGAATTACGCAGGTTGTAAGTCCTCCTTCCCTGCCTCTGTGGTACTTGGCTAGCAGTTAAATTTATCCTTTCTTGGTTTCTCGGGCAGGAAGAAAGACTTTTTCTGTTTCCTTCTCTGCTGGCACATGCGCCGTCGCCACAGGTCAGGTCTCTGTGGCGTTTCTTTCGTGAGCTTCTGTTTCCCTACAATCAACGAAACAAGCTCACAAAAGAAAAAGATCTTACCTCTTGCTGTGCTGCCAGTGTTGTGATGCTCCGCCTCCCCTGCATGTCCATGCATGCGCGAGCACGCAGTTTGGACACTCAGTGTCTAAAAGGTTTGCCATCACTGCCCTAGCCCGATTTTCATGCCTGTGCCTAATATAAGCCCTAACTGAAAAATCCTAGTTAAGCCCCGCTCACCATCTGGTTGTATGAGGGGGGATGGCACAGGCATAAAAATCAAGCAGGGGTGAAGCTACACCCCGCTTCTCCTTATCTTAGAACCGCTGCACCCAGCCTCCCATGCCCCCGATGCCGCGAGACTCGTCGCGCCAGTGTAGCCGCTCGCACACGCAACAACATGAACACCATCCTGCTGCAAGCAGCTGCACCAGCGCCATGAGCCACGCGGTGTCTAGCCGCGAGCAGCCATAGAAGAAGTCGGGCAGCGGCACGACAGGTGTCAGGGCGTGGGAGGCCTGGCTGCGGTGGTCCTAAGGTAAGCGGGCAAGACATCCCCCGAAAATAAGACCTGGTGCTTATTTTGGGGCCAAAAAGAATTAAGACCGGGTCTTATTTTGGGGGAAACATCCAAACATCCATACGATTTATTGGCCGCCCATCTTACTATAGGGCAGTGATGGCTAACCTTTTTGCCATCGCGTGCTAGAAGCGGGGGAAGTATGGGGGGGGTCACATGCGTGCGTGCCCACACCCATAATTATATATACCCTACCCCCCACGCATGCACATGAAACCCCCCCCTCGGTGCTCCCCCCGCTTTGGGCATGCGATGGCACGGTGTGCCTGGTAGGCCCGTTTTTTGCTCTCCCCAGGCTCCAGAGCCTCCCTAGGAGCCTGGGGAGGACAAAAACAGCCTTTCCCATCCTCCCGGAGGCCTTCAGAGGCTGGAAATGGCCCGTTTCCCTATTTCTGGTGGGTCCAGAAGGCCCGAAAATCAGCTGCCCAGCCCGCACATGTGCATCAGAGCTGAGCTCACGTGCCCACCGATATGGGTCCATGTGCCACCTGTGGCACGCGTGCCATAGGTTCACCATCACGGCTATAGGGTAACTCTGGGCAGCTTACAGTTACATAAAGTTAAAATCAGACATTAAAACCAAAGACATCTGGGGAGGGCGGGGGAGGAGTGGGGGGCAGAGATGGGATCTATTAGTACTCAGTCCTCTCCATTGCGCTGATCCCCCCCCCAACTGGGCCCCCAAAGTGACTGACACAGCCATGTCTTTAGACCTGTATGAAAAGATAGGACAGGCCAACCTCACATCAGCGGTGTGGGGGAGAGGGGCTAGGTGTTCCAGAAGGCAGGAGCCACAGCAGAGAAAGGTCCTCCTCCTGGACCCGGCCAGCCAGAATAATCGGGCTGACAGGACCCCTAGCAGGCCTCCTGGTGGTACGGTCCAACCCCAGTGGGGAGAGACGGTCCCTCCATGCTTAGGAGGTGCTGGATGGACTTGGCTTTTGTCTTCAGCTGCTCCTCAACCCCCTTTCCTGTTTCTCTTCCTGTTTTCCAGGTACTTTCAGCCCTGTCACCCTCTCTCTCTTTTTCCTTCTCTACTTCTTGCTCTCCTGCTGGACTTACGGGATTTCTGTGCCCAGCGGCCTTTTTGTCCCATCGCTGCTCTGCGGGGCCTCTTACGGACGCCTGGTGGCCAACCTCCTGGAAAGGTGCCCTCTTCAGCTTTCGTGGGTTTGCTTTTCCCCCGGGCAGAGCCTTAGCCCTCGCTCCCCTTTGGCTCCGAAGACCTCCTCGTAACGCTCTTCCTTCCTCCCTCCCTCCTTCTCTCCCAGCTACATTGGCCTGGATCACGTCTACTCCGGCACCTTTGCGTTGATCGGAGCGGCCGCCTTCCTGGGCGGGGTAGTCCGCATGACAATCAGCCTCACCGTAATCCTGATCGAGTCCACCAACGAGATCACGTACGGGTTGCCCATCATGATCACCCTGATGGTGAGTCGGGGGCCTGGAAAGTCCTCCCGGATGTTGGGGATGGTGACAAGTCAGCATCGTCAACATTTCCCCGAAAATAAGACCCTCTCATATGTATAATAGACACCAGGTCTTATTCTTAATAAGCGGGGGGCAGTGGTGAAATCTAAAATTTGTTACTACCGGTTCTGTGGGCGTGGCTTGGGGGGGGTAATGTGACTGGGTGGGCGTGGGCCCCCCCCAAATTTTTTTACTTTTAAAACCATTTTTTCTACAACCTCTTCGGTGAAGAGGTTGTAAAAAAATGCTTTCAAAAGGCTCTGACAATCCCAGCTGAGTTGCCTGATCGGCAGAGCATTTTTTAAAAAGCCAACGTAGTCCAACGGCTTGAGGACATAGACTTGCAATATCTAAGAGCTAGAGCTAATAAAACCTGCTCCCCTCTGATCTTCAGCCAATTTAACAATTACGGACTAAGGGTGGCCTCATATTTTTACACTTTAACCGTCCCTAAGTAGAGAAGAGTCTTCTCCCTTGCTCGTTTCAACATCTTGCCCTCAGCATTGTTGGACGGACAATTTAAGAGGCTCCTGATAAGTGAGTGATTATGCCCCTGTGATAGAGCTGAGGTCGAAATTGTGGAGCATGTTCTTTTATTGATTGATTGATTGATTGATTTTCTATACTGCCCTATGTATAACGCAGGCAGGACTAAATTACTGTCTCTCTTAGAAACAGATCTCTCTGGATCCAATGCTAGTAATTTGACCTTACATTGTATAGAGGATGGCTTCTCCTCACACGTTACTTTTCAGGTTTCTAAATTTTTTTTTAAGAGCTGTAACTATTAGAGGAGAACGATGCAATTCCTCTCAGCCAAGGCTTCTGGTAGCCAGCTGTTTATGATTTCCCCACGTTCTTTTGCAATTATATTTGTATTTTGGTCTGTGACCGTAAATAAAAGTTGTTATTATTATTATAAAGCACATGCACAAAAGGCCCCGTGCGCGCACCCATATTTTTGGTGTGCGGGGAACCAGTGGTAAAATTATGTGAAACTCCACCTCTGGAAAGAACCAACTCTTGCCTGTCCCCCTTCTGTTTGCAGGTGGCCAAGTGGACAGGTGACCTCTTCAACAAAGGGATTTACGACATCTACGTGGCCTTGCGTGCGGTCCCTCTGCTGGAGTGGGAAGTCAAAGCAGAGATGGACAAGTAATGTCGGCCGATCTTAAGGCTGGGAATATCTGCCAGATTTATTTATTTATTTATTTATTTATTTATTCATTCATTCATTCATTCATTCATTCATTCATTCATTCATTCATTCATTTATTTATTTATTATTTATTTATTTTGTATACCGCCCTTCTCCCAGAGGGGACTCAGGGTGGTGAACAGCCAAAATTAAAAAACATACAAATACAAAAGTTAAGATAATTAAAAAAAGAATTAAATCATTAGCTTCCCAATTTAAAACCCCCAAATCCATAAAATTTAAAATCCCAATTAAAAACCATTTAGGCTAGGCCGAACAACAAACTTGTTGTTTCCCTTTTTAGTTCAATCTAAAGTGGCATTCGAGCAGCCCCGATTTTCTAATTATCTTTATTCTCATTTCAATTTCTTATTCAGTTAATATTTATTTTTATTTCATCATTTGTGTACGTTTTTATAATATCTCACTTTTTTTCCCCTTTTCCCCCCCCCCCCATTTCTCCTTTTACTTGGCATCATCTGAGTATCTATTTTTTTAATTGTTTTCTCCCATCTGTTCTGTATCTATTTTATCTCTATACCCTTATTCATTTTTCCTTTCTAACCAATCATAAAATTTTTCCCATGTCTTGAAATACATCGACTCCTCTTTCTCTTTTATTCTCAATGTTAATCTATTCATTTCTGCACATTCTAAAATTTTCTTTATAATTTCTCCTTCCGGGATTTTCTCTGCTTTCCAATTTTATGCAAATACAATTCTAGCCGCTGTTATTATATGAATAATCAAATATGTATCTTCTTTACTGTAATTCTCTGATAAAATTCCCAATAAGAGTATCTCTGGTTTTAACTCTATGTTGCTGCAACATTCCCTCTAACCATATTTGTATTTTCACCCAATAATGTTTTGCTTCTTTACACAACTACCACCACATATGATAATATGATCCTGGCAACTAGTAACATTTCCAACACTTAGCTGATTTATCTTTAAACATCTTAGCTAATCTTTCTGATGGCATATGCCATCTATAAAACATCTTATAGAAATTTTCTTTATAAGCTGTTGCCATTGTTAATTTATAGTTTCTTTCCCAAAGTTGTTGCCATTTGTCCAATTCTATGGTGTATCCAAAATTCTTTGCCCATGCTATCATTGTTTCTTTTACTTCTTCATCCTCTAGTCCAGGGGTGGGCAATTGTGGCCCTTTTACAACCTCTGGACTTCAACTCCCAAAATTCCTGAGACAGCCAAGCTGTCTCAGGAATTCTGGGGGTTGAAGTCCAGAGGTTGTAAAAGGGCCACAGTTGCACAGTTGCTCTAGTCTAATATGCAATAAATAATTATATCATTTCTTAATCATTTTCTCATCTGTTCCTGTCAATATTTCATCCAGTTCTGATTTCCCTAAATTAAAGCCATATTGTCTACGACTCAAACTTGCCTGGCTATTTCCAAAGCTCGCTTGCTTTTGATTTCACCCCAACTTTTCTGTCGCCCAAAGGCTCAGAGCGAGTGACATCATGGAGCCCAACCTGATGTACGTCTACCCACACACCCGGATCCAGTCCCTGGTCAGCATTCTCCGCACCACGGTCCATCATGCCTTCCCGGTGGTGACCGAGAACCGGGCCTACGAGAAAGAATTTATGAAGTGGGACCAGCTTATCAGCAACAATATTAAATTCAAGGTGAGCATTTTGATCGGTGACTTCCTTGTTCCTCTGGAGGAGGAACCGCGGCAAATAATGATTATCGACTCCGTTGCTCAGCTTTCAGCAAATCGGTCTCTTTAGTTTTATGCTTTGTGTGTATTAGTATGCACTGACATTGTGAGCTTAGGAGACGTAACTGGAGCAGGGGTGTCAAACTCGATTTCACTGAGGGCCATATCAGGGTTGTGTTTTCATGGCCAGCTCAACGGCACTCGTGTTCTGGGGGTACCTGTGGTGGCCAAGTGCTAAGGCAGGACTTCCCTCAGACCCTCCCTCCCTCTCATTATATCCTTCCTTCCTTCCTTCCTTCCTTTCTTCTCTTCTCTTGTCTTCTCTTCTCTTCTCTTTTTCCTTCCCTCTTCATTCTCCTTCCTTCTTCCCTCCCCTCTTTCCTTCTTTTTCCTGCCTTCTTCCCATCTTCCCATCTTTGTGTTTCCTCTGTCCCTTTCTCCTTTCCTGTCCCTTCTTCCATGCTCAAAGGCAAAAGGGGAAACATTTCTCCTTTTGTTTTGTTTTGCTTTTAGTTTGTTTTGCTAGCCCTTTGACAGTGAAAACGGAGCCCGGGGGGGGTGCAAGCGGCCCCTCCCTCCCCATTTTGGCCATGACAGCCTCTTGAAGCCCTCTGCCAGCAAAAACAGAGCTGGGGGGGGGGGACTGCTGGCAGAGGCACCACAGGCTGGTCCCTTGCTGTTGGCAGGGCAGCTCTGCGGGCCAGATCTAAGCGCCCAGCGGGCCGAATCCAGCCTCCAGGCCTTGAGTTTGATAGCCCACCTTTCAGAGGGATGTCCCAGTTCTGAAGAATTTGCTCAAGTCAGTCATGCATGAATGTTGCCTGTTTAACATCAGTTGAAAGAGGATTTCAGCAGCGGCTTGCTTAAATTGAGATTCCAAGCCTGGAAAGTTAAGTATTCTGTTCTGACGGGATATCAGATCTACAGGCTCAACTGAGAAATTGGAGGAAAAAAAAATCTCTAGAAAAATCTAGTAGTAAACCCCTCTGTGCTGTTTGCAGACTGGTTGTGCCAGTCAATATGGAGTCGTTTTTTAAATCTTTTTTTAGACTTAATGGGAATTAAAATGGCCGCAGTGTGTTTAGAATAGACCAGTGGTGGGTTCCTCCCGGTTCGGCCGAGCCGGTAGCGGTGACAATATGACGTCACCGAACTGGTTCTCTTTGTTCGGGAGCTGGGCCCTCCCCTCCCCCCGCGTTATTCTTACCTTTTATTTGGCCCCGCCCCCAATCTATTCGCTGCCTCCGAGTCCCAGCTGATCGGCTGGAAGGAAAAAAACTGTTTAAACTCTTGCCGCGGGGCTTCAAAGGGCCGCCCTACAGCTGATCAGTGTTAAAAGGCAGTGTGGTGGTAGACCAGTACACTCGAAAAACAAATGGGTAGACCGGTGCCTCCAGAAACAAATGAGTAGACCGGTGCCTGTAAAAACAAATGGGTAGACCGGTATAGCTCTGCAAGCAGTTAAAAGCCTGGTAGATCAGTACTTCTGCTAAATCCTAAAGAATTGTCATATGACCATCAAGCCACACCCACAAAATAAGCCACGCCCACAGAACCAGTAGTAAAAAAAATTTAGAACCAATCCCTGGAATAGACAGGTGAATCTTGTTCTTGATTCTGAGGGGCTGACTCGCATGAAATAATCCTGGATGTTTCCCCCCCCCCAAAAATGATCCTTGGGTAAACGGCGTCCCGCTTTCCCTGTTCCAGAAATCCAGCATCCTCACTCGGGCGGCCGAGCAGCGCAAACGTAGCCAGTCCATGAAGTCATATCCCTCCAGCGAGTTGAGAAATGTGTGCGATGACCACAACGCGGCTGAGGAGCCTCCGGAGACGGAGGACATGCTGCAGCAGATGTTGGAGCGGAAGTGAGTGTGGGGAAGGGGGGCGCTTTGCGTCATGAGGTGCGTAGACCCTTGGCTGCCTGGGTGGAGAGGCCACCGCATCCAGCAGGATTAGTAGATCCCTTCTTATATATCAAAAGTGTTTGGCACTTAAAGACCAGCTGATTTTTGATTTTCATGGATCCTTATTTGCTTAAGCTGCCTTAAAGCTCTTCCTTGACTGTGTAAGGAAGAAATGTGGACATGGCTCAGAAACTGATAAACGCAATCCATCCCATCCTTCCCGTTCCTTCCATCACATCCATCCATCCATCCCACCTCCCCTCCCTTCCATCACTTTATTCCTTCTATCCATCCATCCCACCTCCCCTTCCTTCCATTACTTCCCTCCATCCCACCTCCCCTCAATCATATCTCTGCTTCCTTCCCTCCCTTCCTTCCTTCCATCCCATCTCCTCCTCCTTCCATCATATCTGTCCCACCTCCCATCACATCACTTCCTTCCTTTCTTCATTCCTTTTATCCATCCATCCATCCCATCCCATCCTTCCCCTTCCTTCCATCACATCCATCCATCCCACCTTCTCCTTCCATCACATCGCTTCCTTCCTTTCTTCATTCTTTCCGCCATCCATCCCATCCTTCCCCTTCCTTCCATCACATCCATCCATCCATCCCATCTCCTATTCCATCACATCTCTGCTTCCCTCCCTTCCTTCCATTCCATCTCCTCTTCCTTCCATCATATCCATCCCATCTCCCCTTCCATCACATCACATCACATCACTTCCTTCCTTTCTTCATTCTTTCTATCTATCCATCCCACCTCCCCTCAATTACATCTCTCCCTCCCTTCCTTCCATCCCATCTCCCTTCCATCATATCCATCCCACCTCCCCTCAATCACATCTCTCCCTTCCTCCCTCCCTTCCATCCCATCTCCTCTTCCTTCCATCATATCCATCCCATCTCCCCTTCCTTCAATTATATCCCTTCCTTCAATCCTTCCATTATATCATCCATCCATCCATCCACCAATTACATCCATCCATCCCACTTCCCCTTCCATCATATCTCTACCTATCTTCCTTCCATCCATCCATCCATCCAACCTCCCCTTCCTTCAATCCTTCCATTACATCATCCATCCATCCATCCATAACAAAGCTGTATGGTTCCTTCTAGATACACTCCGTATCCCAATCTGTATCCAGACCAGTCCCCCAGTGAGGAGTGGACGATGGAGGAACGCTTCCGGCCTCTGACTTTCCACGGCCTGATCCTGCGCTCACAGCTGGTCACTTTACTTGTCCGAGGAGTCTGCTACGCAGAGAATCAATCAGTGAGTTCCGACGAAGAAGTGACCGGGTTGTCTAAATAGATGATAATTCAGCAGATTTTTCTGGGAGAGGAGAGATTCTTGCTTTAATGCCCCAATTGGGTGTGTTTTTTTCCCAAGCAGAAACCCTCTTAGGATGTTTTTTTAGTGTGTTAGAAAAGTGGTGTCTCTATTTCTTCTTGTTTCGCCCCTTCTTAGAGTGCCAACCAGCCTCGTCTCTCGTATGCAGATATGTCAGAAGATTACCCACGCTATCCGGACATCCATGACTTAGATCTCACACTACTGAATCCACGCATGATTGTGGTAAGGCCTTCTCCTTGCAGATGTGCAGTTTCTTTCTTTCTTTACTTTCTTTCTTTATTAAATTTGTATACCGCCCTACTCCCGAAGGACTCAGGGCGGTCAACAGCCATAAAATAAAACATGTAAATACAAAATTTAAAATAGAGATAAAACAAATTAAATAAATTTGGCTGAACCATTTTAAAACCCCAATAATTTAAAACCAAATTTAAAATTCCCATTTAAAAGAGGAAAAGTTTAGGTCAGGCCGGCTTGCTGGAATAGGAACATCTTAAGCGTGCGACGGAAGGTACACAGATCCGGAATCCTCCGTATCTCGAGGGGGAGCTCGTTCCAGATAGTAGGTGCCCCCACAGAGAAGGCTCTCCCCCTGGGGGCCGCCAGTCGACATTGTTTGGCCGACGGCACCTGGAGGAGCCCCTCTCTATGGGAGCGTACTGGTCGGTGGGAGGCTATTGGTGGTAGCAGGCGGTCCCGTAAATAGCCAGGTCCTAAGCCATGGAGCGTTCTGAAGGTGATGACCAAAACCTTGAAGCGCACTCGGAAGACCACCGGGAGCCAGTGCAGCTCGCGCAGGAGAGGCGTTACATGGGAGCGCCACGTCGCTCACATCACCACCCGCGCGGCCGCACTCTGCGCCAGTTGGAGCCTCCGAGTGCTCCTCAAGGGGAGCCCCATGTAGAGAGCGTTACAATAGTCCAGACGGGAGGTGACGAGGGCATGAGTGACTGTGCGTAACGAGTCCCGATCCAGAAAGGGACGCAACTGGCGGATCAGGCAAACCTGATGAAAAATCCTCCCGATCACGGCTATCAAGTGCTCTTCTAAAGACAGCCGTGAATCCAGGAGGACACCCAAGTTGCGAGCCCTCTCCATGGGGGCCAAGGCTTCGCCCCCAATAGTCAGCGATGGCACCAGCTGACTATATCGGGACGTCGGAAACCACAGCCACTCGGTCTTGGATGGGTTGAGTCTGAGCCTGTTTCTCCCCATCCAGATCCGTCCCTCCAGGCACCGGGACATTACTTCAAGGGCATCGTTGGGGTGGTCTGGGGTGGAGATGGACAGCTGGGTGTCGTCAGCGTACTGATGGTACTCCACCCCGAAACCACGGATGATCTCGCCCAACGGCTTCACATAAATGTTGAACAAAAGGGGCGAGAGGACCGATCCTTGTGGCACCCCATATATAAGGGGCCTCAGGGTCGACCTCTGCCCCCCTGTCAACACAGACTGCAACCGGTCGGGGAGAAAGGATGAGAACCACCGTAATATGGTGCCTCCCACCCCCAACCCTTCCAACCGGTGCAGCATGATACCATGGTCGATGGTATCAGAAGCCGCTGAGAGATCTAATAGGATCAGGATAGAGGAACAACCTCTGTCCCGAGCCCTCCAGTTTCTATCTTGTTTCCTAGAAAAGGCACTTCCGCAAATCTTGGAATGTTTCTAGACTCTTTTCCATACTTCTGTGTTTGTTTTTGGAGGTTACCTATCCAGAACCGGCTACAGAGGACAAATGGTTAGAGACTTATAATGCAGACTTTGAGGGTATTTTGTTCACCTAAATAAATTCCTCTGTGAACATCACAGGCTTTTGAAAAATAAAGGGAAAATAAGAGAGGAAAAGGTGTAGGGAAAAGGAGAAAAGAAAAAGAAAAGCATTTTCATTTCTCTTCGCATTTCTAAATTCTATATTTTGATAAACTACCGTATTTTTCGGACTATTAAGACACACTTTTTTGTCTCCCAAAATGGGGCAAAAATGTCTGTGGGTCTTATAGACTGAATATTGCTGAAGCCCCACCCACTCACTAGCCATTTTTTTGGCCTCCGCACGCCCTGTTTTCGGACCTTTTTTTCCGGCCTTTTTCAGGCCTCTTTTGGCCCATTTTTGAGTCTTTTTTTGGCCTGTTTACAAAGCTTTTTTGGCCCATTTTTGTGGCTTTTTTTGGCCTGTTTTGAGGCTTTTTTTTGGCCCATTTTTTCGGAAAAAACAGGCAAAATAAGCCTTGGAAAACGGGCTGAAAAAAGCCTCAAAAACAGCACCCAAAAGCCTAAAAAAAGCCTAAAAAATAGGCCAAAAAAGCCTTGAAAACAGGCCAAAAAGCCTCGAAAACGGGCCGAAAAAAGCTGCAAAAATGGTCCAAAAAAAGCCTCGAAAATGTGCTGAAAAAAGCCCCGGAAACAGTCCGGAAAAAAACTGGAAAAGGCCCAAAAAAAGGAGGTCCAAAAACTTTTTTTTTGTTTTCCTCCTCTAAATCTAGGTGCGCCTTTTAGTCTGAAAAATACGGTAATAAAAATTTAAACTGAAAGTCGAGCTTATTTTCTTCCCAACAGGACGTCACGCCTTACATGAACCCTTCTCCCTTCACCATCTCGCCTAATGCTCACATTTCCCAAGTCTTCAACCTCTTCCGGACGATGGGGCTGAGGCACTTGCCGGTGGTGAATGCCGTCGGGGAGGTGAGTCTGTCTGCGGGATCTTTGGAGAAAACTTTCCTCTTTTCTGATCCGATTTGTAATTTGCAGTTGCTTAAAAGTTGAGCCAAGGTGAAAAGTTGAGGTTTCGCCACTAGATGTCGCTGCAGGCCCACAAATGGCACTGAAGCTCTCAGATGACCTAGGAAGAAATATCATCGGCTTGTGGGTCTGTTCCTTGTTGAACTTGCTGCAAAGGCAACTTTAGAGCAGGAGGGTCCAACCTTGGCAATTTTCAGGGTCGTGGATTTCAACTCCCCGAATTCCCCAGCCAACTTGAAGCCCAAATGCCTTAAAGTCTCCACCCCTGCTTTAGAGTCTTTACTCAGAAGGGGAAATTAGTGTTAGGCTAATTCTAAGATGGGAGGAACATTGCTGGACGGCAGAATTCGCTTCCCTTCCAGCTCTGCTTTCAGTTTGAGGGAAGTTTGAAATTTCAAAATAAGGTTTTTTTTGGAAGGAGAAGAGTATTGGGATGGGGTTTTCCTGCTGGGAATGTGGGTTTCTTGCACCGATTTCATGGGTTCAGCTTCCCTTGTCCCATTCCTGAGGGCAGTGCTTCTGAAACAGGATTACGATTTCCTTGTAAAGCCGAATTCAGACAAACCACCTGCCCACTAATTTAGGGAAAGGTTGCTGGGAAAGGAATAACTCTCTAAAGCAGCAGAGGCAGGGATTCTGGTTCACCAAACCGGTAGTTACAAGGACTGGCTCTCCCCATCCCACCCCTCCCAGAAGTCTCCACGCGGCCTGTTTTGGATGCAATGTAAGTGCAGGGCCTGCGCGGAGGCTCTGGGAGGGCGAAAAATGGGCCTACTGGAAGTCTAGAAATGGGCCCGTTCCGGCCTCTGGTGCCCGGGGGAGGCCGTTTTCGCTCTCCTGGAGGCTCGAAGAAAGTCTCCGGAGCCTAGGGAGGGCAAAACCGCCCCCCTACCCCCCACCGTGGTGCAGGAGGCCGAGTAGGCCACACCCACCCAGCAATCGGGCAGCAAACCGGTTGCTAAAATGTTACAATCGCACCCCTGTGCAGAGGGAGCACCGTTCAGGGTGAGACAGAGTGAAACCAGAATGCAATGCTGGAAAGACGTCCCTAGCCCGATTCAGAAAAGCCGACCCCTCTGGCGATTCTGCTGTTGTTGGTTTTTTTTGCTTTCACGCTTGACAAATTCACTTGCTTTTTTTCCCTCTCTCTCTCTCTCTCCTCCCCCCCCCTTCCAGATTGTGGGCATTATTACTCGACACAACTTGACCCACGAATTCCTCCAGGCCAGGCTGCGCCAGCATTACCACACCATCTAAACCTCGTCTCCCGCCTCTTCCACCTCCTGAGACCCCCTCTCTTCCTCCTCCTCCTCCTCCTAGGGATTCCTGGGCCCACCGTGTGCACTTTAGTCAACAAAACGAGCCCGTCGTCATTGCCCCTCTTTCGGAGCCGTAAAAACTGTACATCCTTCAGGCTAGGAGGGGGAAAAAAGCATAATACGTGGGGAAATCTGGAGAGCTGGCTGTCGTCTTCTTGTTCTAGCAGCCACGCGCTTCTCCGTGGATTGCGGGTCAAACCATCCCAGTGCTTCGTCGCTCAACCCTGCAGACACCTGAAAGGATTATATCTCTACCTTATTCCAGAGAGAGAGAGAGAAAAAATGTCATTTTTTTTCCTCTTTACCTTGCTGAAGTTTTTGCCAATCTTGCAGACTTCCCTCTTTTGGGCCGATTGGGACACCGTTATCTTCACTTCAAACTTTAGCCACCTGCTTTTCGATTTAATTAAGGTTATCCATCTTAATTGGAACGGGACAACAACAACGATTTTCTGACTGGGGCTTTTGACTTCCTGCTCTTCGCACCTCTCTCCATCTTTCACTTTTGTTGACGTCTTTCTGAGATCAACCCCCACCGGGCGTCAAGGATGTCTCCCGCTTTGGGGAGGTGGGGGAGAGATTCAGATCGAGTCCTCGGTTCTCCGGATCCTCCCTTGGGATCCCCTCCAAAACTTTGCAAGAGTGAGGAATCCAGAGTGGTTGGACTTTTAAAGCATCGGAGCTGCTGTCGCTAGAACGGGGGAGCTGTTGAACCCCGGATTTCGAGCACGTTCGCCTCCTTTGGGTGCTGAGCTTCAAACTGAGCCTCCCTCTTTTTTTTTGTTAAAAATCTGACGCAGAGACAGTTCGTTGTTAAGTGATTCTCAATGTGCAGAAGGGAACCAAGATTTTTTTGCGGGGCGGGGCGGAATATATTGTCTGGCGGGACCAAACCGTGATGTTCTCTCTTCAACCCCTAAAAGCCCCACTTTGCATGCTGTTTTCCAGCTTGGCTGGTTCTCTCTCTCCTCCCCACCCCCGCTACTTTCCTCATCCTGTCCAGTGTTTCCTTTCTTGCCATCTGACAATTGCCCCCCCCCCCACCCCTTCCTCTGTTTTTGGCTAGGAAGGACTGTTCTCTCCCAATTCTTCAAAATCCCGATAGCCTTGCATGCAAGGGCGGCCTGCAGAGATGTCCCCAAATAACTTCTCCTCTCCTCTCGGCCAGACCTTGCCTGGAAGGGGGCAGGGGGGGCGGGGAAAGGGGTACATAGTTGGTAACCAACACCTTTGTTCTCTGCGGGTGGTAGAAGTTTCCCTTGCCCTGGCATGACCCTCCTGGCACTCCTCCTCCCTTCCCCCCCCCCCCGGTTTGTTTGTTACCTTCAACAAATCTGGTTTTTGCTGTAAAGGGCTGTAATTTCCAACCAGGGTGGGGGGGTTGCGGGGTGGCAGGCAAGGGAGGACACCTTTAATAGTTACGAGGGATACCCAGGTAGGACCGGAATGGATCTCGGACGGGAGGGGGGGGGCGCGGAATGTTTGCAGCGGCTGCATTCAAGAGCTTTTCCATCCTGCCGCCGGCTGGCTCACATAAAGCCTTGAGCCGGCTGTGACCGGCTGAGTCCTTTCTAACAAGCCTCATCTCACTGGCTCTTGTGATTCCGGCATCCGCCTGTCTTTGTAGCTTGGTGTGTGTGTGTGTATGTTTAACCTTTGCATAAATCTCTTTTTCAAGGGAAAGCAGAAATTGAGGCATGGAAGAGAGCTGATCCAGCCTTGATAAAGCACAGTCGTCGATGTTTTGGAAGGAAGAGGGGACCTGGGCCCAGCTCTTTCGTTCTTCCTTCCCCCCCTCTGGTTAGACGACTTAATCCATGCAGCTGCCCCCCCCCCACCCCATTCCCTCAGTTCTCCGCTAAAGAAGAGGAGCACCCATGTTGTGGGGGGGGAGTGGGGGGGCTCATTCACTCAAAATTTGGTCAAATCCTCTCCAATTTCCCAGCGGGGCAGGAGCCGCAGCTGGTTGCAATCTGGAACTGCCGGATTTTGTAAAGGGTTGACCAAACGTAACGATTCCTTGCTTATTTTTTGCCCGCCGATGCAATCCGGCAGCAAAATAATTCGATTTTCTTAGACTTAGACTACGAATTTTTTTTTTTTTTTTTGCACAGGCGAAATTTTGGATGTGCTCCGATGCTAATTTAAGTCTCCCATCCAGTGTGTTTGTGTGTGTGTGTGTGTGTTTTCTCCTTCCACTTTCCAGTAATAAGATTTATCTCTAACCTATTTTGGAGAGGCGCGGTCTGGGCGCCGAGCGGAAGTCCAATTTTTGAATACCGGTTTTGTCTACTCAAGACAGGAATGCTTTTGCAAGGTTTTTTTTTTTTTTGGTTCACCTCTCCAGAATACTCAGTTTTATCTTTTCCCCCCCCTCCCCCCTTCCTAATGTTTCTTTGCTCCATTCTCAACCCAAGCGAGATTGTACCTCCTCCTTTGCCCCCTCCTGCTCTTGACCTTAATATATATATATATATATATATATATATATATAAGTCATTTTCCTTTTCCAAGGTGTTACCTTCCCCTGCCCTCTTTATAACCATTTCTGGTTCGAACAGGTCCTGTTAGCGACTCTCCGTGGGCCTGTCTTACACGGCATCAGCCCGTCCAACGTTCCTTTTGCAACTTGAATTTTCACAAGACCAAAATTATCCTGTCTGGGGTTTTCTTTTCTTTTTTTTACTTTGTTGTCCTGGGCCAACGGGCATTTTTATTCTAAAGCGCGGGCTATAAACGACTATTTTATCTGCATCTCCGTGTGTTTGTGAAACAGACCAATATTTTTATTTTCCCAGGAAGCTAAAGTTGTTTTGTTCTTTGGGAATTCCAGAATTCACAAGAGAGAATAAGAGAGTGAGAGAGAGAGAGAGAGAAAGGAAAACAAAAATAATTTATTCGATATCTACTTCAATGCTTTAAAAGTGGATGAGGGGAAAAAAATCCCAAGCTAATATTTTTGGGGCAGTTTTGTATGATTGCTGGCCAGTTATAACTTCCTTTCTCATTTCTAGAAGCTTGAAAATATAAGAGCGTAAAAAAAAACTTGGATTCTCAGCTGGGTTCATCTGTATACCCAATAATTTTTATTATTTTTTTTAACTTTGATTTATAGGCCGCCCTTCTCCGGAGACTCAGGGCGGCTTACAATTTGCTAAGCAATTGACATCTTAATAGGCTGGGAATAATAATATTTTTTCATTTAAAACATGTAAAGGTAGCCCTAGAAATTCAGGCGACCCTACAGTCCATTGTCAAAAGTGGGTGCCCCGTTGGTTAGCAGGTTCTCGCTTCATCATCCAGAATGACCACTGTCTCTTTTCTCCCAGGTGTTGAAATGTGTGCGTGTTGTTACTGTGTGCATTATAATCAAAAGATTTAAAGATTCCAATTACGCGGTTAACACCTTTCAGGTTTGTAAAGAGATGCGGGAGGGCTTCTCTGTCTTATGAGTCACGGCTTAAAAATCATAGAATTGATTGAAGGGACAGCGATTCCCGTAAAATGACACTAATCGCTCCTGCGTTCCACGAATTGTGTTGAGAATTGTCTTCTGTCTTACAGTAATGAAGAGGTTTTTCTCGCCTTCCCCAGAAAACTCTTTATTTATTTAACATTCGCACGCCAAATTTGGCTAGACCCACTTCCGTTCCGGATCGATAGGCCCCTCAGAATTCATGTCTTGGGATTTTCATGGATGCTGGGAGAGTCTTGGAATTCTCATTATTTCTGGTCTCTCGTCCCTTCAACAGTATTAATATCCATTCCAGAGGGAGAAGCACACACAGGGCATTTCTTTGGTTTCTAAGCTCTTATAAATATCTTGATTTCCAATTGCACTGTCCCTCGTCAATGTGATCCGAATCTCGGGGGGAACGAATTTTGTGTGCATAACATTTTTGTTTTTAATAATGTTTCAAAACATTCCCGGGCAGAGAATGTGCTAGATATATATATTTTTTAATTTTGGTTTGAGCACTTGTATTCTATAACCATGGTCCTTCTCTTAAAAAAAAAAAAAAAAACACAATAAAATTCCTCCTTTATGTCTTTGGGGTCCCGTCCCCACCCCGATCTCTGTCATTGTGACTCTTTATCGCCGTTCTTGATTTATTTTTCCCCCAGCGTTTAAGCTTTGTCGCATTTTTATTTTATTTGATATTCAGAAACCAGCATTCTCATCCCCAGAGACATTTTAACAGCTTATTGGAATGTTTAAAAAAAAAAAATGGCGTTATAACCAATTCTCTTTTCGTCTCCATGATATGATATTCAAAGGTAGAGTGCTTCCGAACATGCAGGCTCGCTTCAACTGTCTCCCAGTCTGCTTTGCAGGTGCATTGGACTTCAGTTCCCATGTACCGTATTTTTCGCTCCGTAAGACGCACCTAATGTTTAGAGGAGGAAAACGGGGGAAAAAATATCAGGCGGAGCCTGAGAGGACCACAGATAGGTGTCCTCTCATGTGCCAGCTCGGCCTATTGACTCATTCACACTCAGCAAAGTCTTTCAAGGGAGAATTTACAGTCACAGACTTTATATGGCTTGGAGAGCTGCCAAGCCGATATCTTCAAACCTTGGCAAAGAGTCTCGGAGAGTCACGAACCAATTAAGTGAACTAATTGACTCCTGCAAACTCCCCTCCCCTTTCGCTCCTCTTTATTCCCTCTGGGAGGGGCCATTCATCCACCTGCGGCTTTACTCCCAAGTTGACCCTTATTCTTTAGCTGTTACCTTCGTCTGGCAACTCTGCGCATGCGCACTCTGGGAACAGGCTCCAGCTATTCGTCTGCCTCACTGATATTTCACTCCGAAGGCAGTTGATAACTCAGACGGCTCTGGCCCCCTCTCTGCCTCCGATGCAGAGCCCTCATCAGAGCCCTCCCCAGACTCCAGGACTGGCCTAGGTTTCTCCCAAACCTCCTCACTGTCTGAATCTGCTGGCCACTGGCAGGCCACAACAACTTTTTTGGCGGGGGGGGGAAGTGTGTCTTATGGAGCAAAAAATAACGGTATATTAGCCAGAGATGAGAGCGACAGGTTTTTAACACAGCTCAGCTGTGTTCCTCTCCCATTGCTACTTGAGACCATTGCGTTCGTAGGACATTTTTAACTCACTAATTTTGGATTTGCAAAGTTTGGATTTTTAAAATCACAAACCAATTCATACCTGAGTTTGCCCAAGGCCTTAAATTCCCATGCAGGGGGGGGGGAGGAAAAAGCATAACCACGTTTAAAACTACCGTAGCCGAGTTTCCTTTTTTTATATGTGCACAATTGCTGGATCATTTGTCATCCTGAATAAGCATTTAATGAAAAGATAGTTGGTTTCAGGTGTTTGTTTGTTTTTTTCAGGAAAGGTGTCCGTCTGTTTTTATCGTCTCGTTTTTATCTCTGAAATACTTTCTTGGTTACCGCTTTGAACCTGAAAACATTTTGCTATGTTTGTGCCTAATTTTTGCCAACCGGAATTTTCCCTTCTTGGGAGCAAAATATCCTAGTGATACCTCTGAAGCAGCAAACAACTTTAAACTAGAGTGATTTTTTTTTTTTTTTTGCAATCCCCTCAGTCGAGATGCTGAGTTACACAAATCATTTACACACACACACACCCAAGAAAAATAGCTACACACAAAGGTCATTAAAATCCTGTTTATTTAGTCATACCAGTGTTCCACAAAGCCTTGGTTGCGTGCAGATTAAATAAAGCCACCAAATTAAATATCTTCTCGCTGTATCCTAACAATTCCACGATGCTTGTTGATGGCGTCCGTTCAAACTTGAAGGGATGAAAAAAATCTCTCTCAAAACCGATTAATAATTCAAAGAATGGGTTTTTTTCAAATTTTCCCACAAACCCAAAATCTTAGTACAGGTTTTTTTTTTTTTTTGGCAACAAGCCATTTTAAGGGGATTTTCTTGCCCTGTGTAATTTTGGAAAACAACATTATTCCCTGTCGCCGTCTCTTTATCTTCATACTTCAGTGGGTTTTATTTATGGGGAAGAAAGTAAATTATTGTTTACACTCTTAATTGATGGATAAAAATTGTGCAGAGTGGAAAGAACTCACCCTGTCTCTGTCCTTGGTGCTGAATTTAAGAATTCCTGGTTTCAAATTATCCAGGAGATTAAATGCATGGATCGGAGGGAAAAACATGTACGTATTTAAATTCACATGATTAGGGGGAAATGTTAGATTTTTTTTCCTTATTCTTGACCTGAGAACGGTTGACTTACAGGTTATGTGTGGTCTTGCTTGGACCTCAAAAATTGCCCTGTGGGGTATATTTCAGCTGGAACAAAATCCTGATATTCTAGGATCTGGTGTATTAAATTTTTCCGGTGGAATACACTCTTTTGGCCGGAAGAATCTTCAAGTCACAATGAAACAAAAACGCCTTTGGGATAAGATGACTTACAAGGTGATTTCTTCCACAGAGTTTCACTTCTGTTAAAAAAAAAAAAGGAAAATGAATAGGTTTACCTTGACTGCCAATCAATGTTTGGAAATTGCAGTCCTGTGGCCAAGTTAGATTTTGAGTTTATTTTACAGGCAGTTTAGAAATCAGAACGCATGAATAATCGCATCAAACATGGAGCAGAAAACTGGCGTTTCCCTCCCCCCCACCTTTCTCGAAGTTAGTTTTTAAGGTCTCCCTCCCTCCTTACGATAATTTTCCATTTATCTGGAAAGAGAGATACCCATAAAAAGCTGACACTTATAAATAAATGTATAAATGCAAAACGCCTTTAAGATGACCCTCTTCTGTTCATTTTTTTTTTTTTATTTGATTTATATCCTGCCCTTCTCCGGAGACTCGGGGCGGCTTACAATGCATTAAGCCTTCATACTTTTGTATATTTATACAAAGTCAGCTTATTGCCCCCACAATCTGGGTCCTCATTTTACCTACCTTAGAAAGGATGGAAGGCTGAGTCAACCTTGAGCCTGGTGAGATTCGAACTTACAGTAATTGCAGACAGCTGAATGTTAATAACAGTGCTTTAGTCTGCTGCGCCACCAGGCTCCTTTTTTAGCCCCCAAATTCTGCTCACTGAGCCCTTTGTGGAGTTTTAGATTGTTCAACCCTCCCCGCAAACATTTTATTATATGAAAATAATGTAATAAACACTACTTTAACAGCGCTACGAATAATAATATTTAACAGGGTTGGAAGGGACCTTGAAGGTCATCTAGTCCAGGAGTCAGCAACCTGCGGCTCTGGAGCCGAATGTGGCTCTTTTCATCCGTCTGCTGTGGCTCCCTGTCACTCAAAATATGCGTCACAACAAGCAGTGTGTGACACCCGCCAGCACACGATTTATTGAGCTTTTCAAATCCTGATAGGCCAACCATGGATAAATCCAAGAAAAAAAATTCAGAAGAAAACAGAACATTTAATGCAACTACATATGCTAGTTTTCAAGTTTCAAGTTTCAAATTAGATTTCTATACCGCCCTTCTCCCGAAGGACTCAGGGCGGTGTACAGCCATATTAAAACACACAGATTTATAAAATTTAAAACCAAATTAAAATCAATATATAAAATTGGCCCGCAAATTTAAAACACACATACACTCATAATAAAATTCATATTAGGCCAGGCCGGCTTGCTGGAACAGGAGAGTCTTAAGGGCGCGGCGAAAAGTACGCAGGTCGGAGCTAAGATGGAGCTCTAGGGGCAGCTCATTCCAGAGGGCTGGTGCCCCCACAGAGAAGGCTCTCCCCCTGGGTGTCGCTGCTCAAGAAATAGGCTTGGGAAGGGTTTTGTGGCTCCCGGTGTTTTCTTTTCTGTGGGAAACGGGTCCAAATGGCTCTTTGAGTGTAAGGTTTCAGACCCCTTATCTAATCCAACCCCCTGCCCAAGCAGGAGATCCTACACCATTTCGCCTGATTCGCCAGTTGCATCCCTTTCTGGATCGGGACTCCTTACGCACGGTCACTCATGCCCTTGTCACTTCCCGCCTGGACTATTGTAACACTCTCTACATGGGGCTCCCCTTGAGCACCCGGAGGCTCCAACTGGCGCAGAGTGCGGCCGCGCGGGTGGTAATGGGAGCGACATGGCGTTCCCATGTAACACTTCTCCTGCGCGAGCTGCACTGGTTCCCGGTGGTCTTCCGGGTGCACTTCAAGGTTTTGGTTACCACCTGTAGAGCGCTCCATGGCTTAGGATCTGGTTACTTACGGGACCGCCTACTACCACCAATAGCTTCCCACCGGGTGCCGTCGGCCAAACAATGTCGACTGGCAGCCCCCAGGGGGAGAGCCTTCTCTGTGGGGGCACCTACTATCTGGAATGAGCTCCCCCCCGGAGATACGGAGGATCCCGAATCTGCGCACCTTCCGCCGTGCTCTCAAGTCCTTTTTATTCCATCAGGCGGGCCTGGCCTAATCTTTTTCCCTCTTTTTTAATTATGTAAATTTTAATCAGTTTTTAAATGATTGGGGTGTTTTAATTTGTCTGGGCCAAATTGTCTAATTCGATTTTATTCTGTTTTTTAAATTTTGTATTTATGTATTTCTACTGTTTTGGCTGTTCACCGCCCTGAGTCCTTCGGGAGTAGGGCGGTATATAAATCAAATAAAGATAAAGATAAAGATTTCCGACAGATGGCAAAAATATGGACAAGGCCAGCTGACCATCCAAATCTGGTCACCCAGTCTTGCCAGTAGCCACCTCATCTTCAGGACCAGGGACTCCAGAAAAGTAATTGACCCCCTATTGACCTGCCATCATTTTTTTTTTGACCACCTCTTAACTTCCATTTATCTTTCCCTGGGATAGGCCCATCAACTCATGGGAGTTGGTATTGACCACTTGACCAATGATTTGGATGCTTTCCTGGGCGACGAAGAGCTTCTGATTCATCCCCCCGCCCCCCAGCAATTGAACTAACATCGCAGACCTTCCCCATGTTGCAACTTACGTGTCTCCTGTTGCACCCGAGTCCGCTCACCGATCCTATTCTGTCCAGGCGTTGTCCGAAGCAGCTGGATAACCGTCGGGGGGCGTTGAAAAAACCCCTCAGTTTGTTCCGCGCGGCTGCTGCTGGGGCTCTTTCGGGAGGTTGCCAGTTGGTGCCGTCGCTTGGGGGTCTGGAGTAGTCGCCATCCCAGGATGAGAGAAGCTGGGCGGCATCGCCCACCGGTTCCTCGTTGGCATCGTTGGGATCCCGTTCGATTTCATCCTTTTCTGCCAGCGCCACTTTACTCTCAATCCGCTGCAGAAGATCCTAAGAGCAAAAGGGGGAAAGGAAAAACATATTTGGCAAACTCTTCAGTTAAAGTCAATCTCTACTGAAGTGGTTGTCTATATTCCCACTAGGGCAGGGGTCCCCAACTTCCGTTCCATGGGCAGGCAGCGGTCGGTGGCCTGCCAGAAACTGGGTCGCGCAAACAAGCAAAGCCCCATCCGCGGGATGAAGGCAGCATGTGAAACCATACCCCCTCCGGTCCACGGAAAAACCTCTCTCCACAGAACCACTACTCTCCTCTTAGGCCACTACTCTTAAGAGTATGAACAGACACGTCAGGAAAAAAAAACCCCAGTTAGAGCTGTCCAGGTACGTCTTCAATCATTTACTAGTTGCAGTGAAAATGCAACATTCTTTTCAGCATTTGGCTGTGCTGATTTCTTTAGTTTAACAGAATAACACGATTGGAAGGGACCTTGGAGGTCATCTGATCCAATCCCTGTTCATGCAGGAAACCTATCCCATTTCAGACGGATGGTTGTCCAGTCTCGTTTCAAGAAAGGTCTCTTCCCATCACCTGTTCTCTGAACCTGTCTATAGACCGAGGAATCTTGGTGTGCCAAGCAAGTGTCCACCAACGTTGAGGTTCTCCCCAAGTTATCCAAGGCTTCTCCCAAGTTTTGACCCAACCCTAGATGGCTCTTACCTTGAAATCTGTTAGTTCTGACCAAGAGATGGGCTGGGCTCCAGATGGACCTTGGAGGTGAGCCGTAAGGAACAGGGAGAGCAGGAAAGGAATCCTTGAACCCATCATCATCTTCTCCACCAGGACCCTCGTCTTCCTCCGTCCTCTGCCCGCAGTTGTGTCGATTTCCGCGCCCTCTATCTTTATATCTTTAGGGCGGTTGAAGCCCATGCCTGAAGAATGAACCCCCACATTCCATCACCCTGACTCGATAAAGCATCTCAGACACCGGAGCCAGGAGAAGATTCCCTTTTAAAGTGATCTTCGTGGGGGCGGAAAACAACCTTCTGTGGTTTCCGACCAGCGGGGACCGTAAGGGCACCAGCGGGGAGGGGGGGTGGACGGACCCGTGACACACACATTCCTTGGGCCTTGTCTGAAGAGCTTTCACACTTCCTAGGTGTGAAAGAAGCTCTAAAAAATCCCTCTTTATCTGTTTTGGGAGACGGCCTTGTAGGACGGAAGAGAGGTTGTTTTAGGAGTGGAAAATCTGATTGGCTGGGGAACATGGGCCTGCTTGGATACCCCCAACAACAAGCCACGGCGGATGTGTGCTGATTTATTTATTTTTGTCAAACATGTACAATATAACAGATATAAATATATATATATATATATATTTATTAGTTTAATTTATATGCCGCCCTTCTCCGGAGACTCAGGGCTGCTTATTTATTTATTATTTATTTATTTATTAATTTAATTTGTATACCGCCCTTCTCCAACAGGACTCAGGGCAGTGAACAGCCAGAATAAAACAGAACATACAAAATTTAAAAAACAATTTAAAATAATTAAATATTTTTTGGCCGCAATTTTTTGGCTTACAATGTTTTTAAGCAATAACCTTCATACTTTTGTATATACCTGCTTAGTAGGGCTTTCGGGCCCCCCCCCCAAGCGGTGTTCTTTTTTATACAAAGTCAGCTTATTGCCCCCACAATCCGGGTCCTCATTTTACCTACCTCGGAAGGTTGGAAGGCTGAGTCAACCTTAAGCCTGGTGAGAATTGAACTCGCAGTAATTGCAGGCAGCTGGCAGCTAAATACTACTTTAACAGTAGTTTAGTCCACTGCACCACCATGCTCAGTATATAAACATGATTATGAATACAGTAAATGGATACCGATAAATGGGGACAGTAAGACAGGGACGGAAGGCACGTTGGGGTGCTTATGCACACCCCCTTACAGACCTCTTAGGAATGGGGTGAGGTCTACAGTAGACAGTCTAAGGTGAAAGTTTTGGGGGTTTGGGGATGTAACCACAGAGTCAGGTAGTGAGTTCCAGGCATTGACCACTCTGTTGCTGAAGTCGTATTTTCTGCAATCGAGTTTGGAGCGGTTTACCTTGAGTTTGTATGTATTGTGTGTTCGTGTATTATTGTGGTTGAAGCTGAAGTGGTCATTGACAGGTAGGACGTTGCAGCAGATAATTTTGTGTACTATGCTTAGGTCAGACCGAAGGCGGCGTAGTTCTAAGTTGTCTAAGCCCAAAATTTCAAGCCCGGTGGCATAAGGGATTCTGTTGTGAGCAGAGGAGTGGAGGACTCTTCTCGTGAAATACCTCTGGACCCGCTCAATTGTATTAATGTCTGATATACAGTGCAGATTCCAGGCAGATGAGCTGTATTCGAGAATTGGTCTAGCAAAGGTTTTGTATGCCCTAGTTTGCAGTACAATATTACCGGAGAAGAAGCTTCGCAATAATAATAACAACAACAACAACACCACGAATAATCATTTGTCAAACTCCTAATGATTCTGGGCAGCTCACACAAAAAATTACGATACAGCCAACATAAAGTGCGACGCACCAGTTGGGAGGGGTTTGGTTTTTGTTTTATCTTGTTGAGAGTTTGGGGTGTGTTTTCAGAACTGGAGGCCTCAGCGTTAAAATCCTTCCAAATGTGCGTACCCGTTAAGAGGGGGAGAATCAGCCCCTGATTAATTATGGAAGATACGTTAATGATAGAGCCAAAACATGATGAGGATACCAAACTAGAGAAGGCAGAACCCAGGTTTTCCACAGCTATGAATGCAAAAAAGGAAGGAAGCCTTCAGAAGTTGTGGATGCTTCATCACTGGAGGTTTTTAAGAAGAGATTCGATCAGACTAGAGCTGGAATAGAATAGAATAGAATAGAATAGAATAGAATAGAATAGAATAGAATAGAATAGAATAGAATAGAATAGAATAGAATAGAATAGAATAGGAAATGAATAGAGTAGAGTAGAGAGTAGAAAATATGGAATAGAATGGAATGGAAAATATGGAATGGAATAGAATAGAATAGAATAGAATAGAATAGAA